GATTTGTGATATCAAATGTTTACCCATCAAAGCAGGTGAGTCATTTAAAAGAACGTTTTTAATCAAGGAATATTGAAGACTGCTCCAGTACAAAATTTATCCTTATAATAACCTCCTTCCTACAAAAACAATTGCTGATTATCGCCACAAGGCAGGTGGAAAAGAAGCATCAGCTGCATTGCATTCTCAAAAATTCTCTGAATTTGACCGTCCCCTGCAGTGCCCAAGAGATGCAAAGCAAAGTGTTTGCAGAATTAGATGCAGCCGAAATCCATTGCCAGGACAGAGAGATGCCAAAATGAATAAGTATCTTGTGGTGGTGGCCAACAGCAGTTTCTCAAATTTTCAAATGTACCCATGGTCCCAAAAGGGTTCAGGGACTCCTGACCAAATATGCCTCTTTGGCTTTGCATTGCTAGTACAAATTCCTAAACAAACGTACCTTATTCGCACTTCCTATTTTAACATGTACCGCAAAACTCAGGCATACTTCGGATTCTGAACTTCTCTGGATTTTGCAATGCAGTCCTAGGTTTAAAAAAATCCATACAAAAATGTCCATCAGGGAAGTTTGCTTTATGATACGTATGTCTAGGAAAGTTTTGCACACAGATGGATATATTAGGAAAAGTTGCATATGGAAACAAAAAGATATTTGAGCATTTGCTTAAGTTGGGTACTGATGTGGAAATTAGGTGGAATAAGCGTATCAATGAATGTGTGTAAAACTGATGTGAACTGGATAGAGACTAATGTGTCCAACGCCTAATTGTTGGTATGCGGTACTGTACAATCTATGGATGGCACAATATTAAAAGTAGGACTTACAACAAAACATTGCATTGCATATTCCTTCTTGTACTTTATCCTGCGTTGTGGGGTTACTGGTGTCACCCTATTTCACCTTCTGTACCCTAGCTTACACATAAGTAGCCCCACGGATAAAAGGTCAGTGGGGGAAATATTCTAATGAAGAGTCTCTTTTTTACTTCTCATAGGAAAGGATTAAAATGTACGATTAAATGAACTTTTTGAGAGAAGCTGATTGAAACCTCCAAGGCAAAGTTTCAGCCAGAATCAGCATTCGATATTAGGTGGAGGGATGTTTTAAATTCTATCCATGAATGGTGTTTAAACTGTATACCTTTTGTTGTTATCTCAGAAATGCAAGATGCTCACATCACATTGGGCAGCTCCAAAATTAAAAGTCAGCTTCCTGCAGTAATGTACGGTACTTTCCTCCTCTGTGACGCTTTCCTCCTCAGAAAGTCCTTTTCTGGATTGTGCTTTACTCTGTGGATTGCACCAAAGCAACATCTACCAACAACACACAATGTACATGTCATGAGCAGAACCGGCTGGAGTCAGGGGTCAGACCAGATGGCCTGGGAAATCCCTTCTGACTCACTCAGTTTCTATGTTTCTACATCATCAGTTCCTAGAAAAAGAGAGAGCCATTCCTCAAACCAATGACTTGCTCTGGTGGGGAGGGGAAAAATAAACCCTCTCCCAGCCATGGGGAAGAACCAAGTTGAAGGCCAAAGTTCCCAACCTGGCATCTTCCAGATGTGTCAGAGTGCCATTCCCCCCGGCCATGCTGGCTGGGGAGGATGATGGGAGGTGTAATTCCTAAGGATGACACCAGGGGGAGGAAGGCTGCTTTTCACCAATAGGACTTTCTCCATTGGAAGGAGATGGGCTTCATCCATGGAAGGGACCCCTTGACTCCGCTTCTTGGTTGGTACTTTCAACACAAACCAGGCGGGAGAGAGGAGAGCAGATCCATCGCACAAAGTCTGCTTGGGCAAGCAGTCTCGGCAAAAAAGGGGCAGTGTGTGGAAAAGAGCATTTCTTTCCAACCATGTAGATCTGAACAGACGGGATTCAAAACCCAGGTGGGTCAGGGAGGTGGGCAACAAAGCCGTGTGGAGGTGTCTGGTGAACCACACACACACTGTCCTCCCGCCATCGCGGCAGTCCTGTGCACTTGGTAGGATGACAATGTCCTTGTGTGCTAGGGAACGCATTCTTCAGCCTCATGCTGCACTTTGTCCCTGACAGCAAAGGGGCTGCAGAGTGGGAGGAAAGGGGCTCTGTTTATCCACATAAAGAGGTGATTTGCTTTTGGCAAATTCAACCTCATGGGCCAACTGCACATGAAATACCAACCCATGCAAGCAATGCTCTAGCAGCAGATGGTAGAGAATCAATTGGCTGGGATGTGTTGTGGTGGGGAGCAGATGGTGGGCAGAGGTGTGGCCAGAGAGAGGAAACAGGTATGCTCTGCACACTTCCTTTTTTCCTCTTCCCAAGCTGCTTTTTTCTGGCCCTGTGGGGTCTTAGATGTTACTGGCTGATCAAAGCTTAAGCCACTGACATTTCCTTCCTACTTCTGTGCTCTAAATCCCTTCCTTCCCAAAGCAGATTTGCTTTGGTCAATATACTCTATCCCCATGGACACATCATGACTCATGCTAGAATGGAACGTGCCCATTAGCATGCAGATCAAATGAAAGGCATCTTTGCATTTAACATCCAGGGTGGCTGCTTTTATATATTTATAAAAATGCAAATAGGAAGAGGCACCAATCTTACTAAAACTGGAGCGAGCAGGTCCATCCTTCCTGCAGCCATGACCTTGCAGAAAATCATTTCCCTGAAGCTGCCCTTTGTACTGACAGAAGACTTCCACCTCTCCACCTGCAAATTATCTCACGGAAACAAGCCGGCACATTAAATGCAAGGACATATTTCGCATCATCTCTCATTTGGACCGGATAGGGTAGTCTTCCTCTTCCCCAGGCATGGAGGAACTAATGAGCCAAGGGCCCATAGTGGCCCATGCTCTAGGCCTTCCCCTCTCCCCCAGAGCCTTTTCAGACATTACACAGCAAAAAAGCCAAGTTGTCCACAAGCGGAAACTCAACAGGAAGGAACAGACAATCTTGGCTTCCTGGCTGCACCTGTATAAGGCATGTATCAGCAAAGACTTTTTTTAAAAAACGGCTATCGCACACAACCTTTTTTGATGGTACCATAAACAAAGAAAACCATGTGTCCTTTGCACATTTCCTCTGTGTTCCATTAAGCCAATGCCTCAAACAAAGAAGCTCACCATTAGCCACTTTCCCCAATGCTTCCCTGCCCTGGAAGTATTTTGTGTTGCTGCTTCCCCATTCCATTCACTCTCGAACCGTGAGGTCACCGAACACTCCATGTGGCATCTCTGGCCAACAGTGCGAGACCCACCTTGCAGGAGTTACACAAGAGTTAAAGCAGGAGTTTTGCCCGTTAGCAATATTTTCCTCAGGCATGGAACAAATGTGCACATGCATGCACACAAATGCGCGCACGCAAAACAAGAGTCCAACCTGCAAACACACGCACACGCACAAAGAAACACCCCAACACACAGAAATCTCATCCCTGAGAATCAGAAGTAGGTTCCCCTCTTGTCCAATTCCCTCTCCTACAACAGTCCCTCGTCATAACTCTCTCCAGCCTCTCTCAGCATAAACAAAGACTGCGATACGCATCCAGTGCTTCTCTAACCAAGTTAAGACTTGGAGATGTAAAACCTCTCCCATATTTTGCAAAAGCGTGCACTCCAAAGCTGAGCGCATGCTTGACTTGAATCTTCCTAATATCACCATGCCTTTCTCCATGGCCAGATTTTAGACTTAAAACAAGATCAATTCTTTGGCCCTCTCTAGTCGATCGTTTCCCAACCTAGCAAGGTCGAAAAACCATCTTAGAGCCCTTCCAAACTCCCCTTGTGAGGGTAATGTTCCCCACCCCACTTCTTGCATCCTCCAGATGTGTTGGGAACACGCAATTGCATCATCACTGTGAGATATTCCCAAGGTTAGGCACTTAGAAGTGAAGAACTGACGCCTTCAGTAAGAAAATTGGTGGGGTTGGAATGACAACGGGGTTCATTCTCTACGGTGGAGGACTCGCAGTATTTTTGTTTTGTTTTTCTTCTTTTACTGTACAATTTACAAAAAAAAATGCACACACTGAAAAGTTCAAGTTTATCTAACAGCTCGATATAAAACATATTTCCTTCACCTGCCCCTTCCCAGTTCCCCTCCCAATTTTTGCTTTTCTTCTCCAAAGTTCGGATTTGTAAACAAGATCAAATGGTGAAGGAGCCATCTTGCATGTGAACGAGGGAAAAAACCCTTAAGTACGTTAGCAGCACAAACAACAGCCTGGAAGCTGTCTCTGACTCCAAGCAGCTCTCCCCTGGGGACCTTCCAAAATCGTCCGTGTGAAGGACTCCAAATGTGGAAACAGAATCCACGGATCAAAGTAGTCACGGAGGGCGACATGGTACTTTTTCCAGCGGGAAGCTTTTGGTTCTGGTTCCGTCAAAAAGGGCTGTTGACGCCGGATCTTACGTGCCATCGCCACTTGCGCAACGTTCCTTCTTAAAAAGTGTGGACCAGATAAATTGTAGGCTGTTTTGCACGCAGCAGCGTTTGCCTTCCCACCTGATCATCCCAAACTGTGCAGAACTTCAATTGCAACAGACCCCAGATTGTGTTCTCTCTCCAGGCCCTTTGCTTAGGTTGCAGTTTTGCCATCTGGTCGTGTGTGTGTGTGTGTGTGTGTGTGTGTGTGTGTGAGTGAGAGAGAGAGAGAGAGAGAGAGACGTTTACCTCCACGAGGCAGTAAAGCCACGGAACAAGAGCAGTTGTTCCCCTTCCTGCCCCTCCAAAGGATGGCCTTTTTGTATTGATCGAGCGCTCTCGAGTGCAAGCAGAGAGGGGCTGCAAAAGAGAAGAGTGGCGTCACCCCCAATGGCATCATGCGCCCACACAGGGTAGTCTTCTCGGCGGGGGTCTGCATGGGGAGGCCCGCCTTGCCTTTGTGCCCCCCCCTCCAGCAGCCCCGAGGGCGGGGGGGCTGAGCGTGCAGGTACACACAGAAGCTTGGTGCTTCCTAGATGATAAAACTCATCACTTTCCCCGGACAGGATCCCAGGCTCTCTGCTGCTAGCACCAGTCATCTTCGTCCCGCTCGTGGTAATAGCTACGTGCTCTGGTCCCGGTCCCAGTCCCGGCCCCGGCCCCAGGGCCAGTTCGTAGGCCCAAGCTGTAGTGGAAGCCATTGGGGACTCTGCGGATTTGGTGAGACTGGGAGGTCAGGGAAGAGACGTAAGACGTTCGCGAGGACCTTCCTGAATTGGTGGCCACGGCCTCCTCGAACGTGAGCGTGTCCTCGGGGACGGCGTGGTACGGACTGCTGCCGTCTTCCCGGTGGCCCAGGTACGGGTCCGACCCGATCCGCGCCACCAGGGTCTGCGAGAGGCCCTGGGAGTCGCCATGCAGCAAGGCGTTGTGCTCAGAAAGACCCCGGCTCAGGCGTCCCGGGGAGAAGGTGGGGAGGCCAGTCAGGTAGCCGGAGAAGTGCACGGGCGAGGAGTTGGCGGTCTTGTAGGTGATGCTGGGGCGGGGGGTCAGCGGCGTCTGCGGCAGCTGCCTCCGGCCGCGGCACGGGGTGCTAGCACCAGAGGTGGACGGCATAGGGCTCCCATTAACTGAACCACTGCCCTACACGAAAAGTGGAATAAAGCGAATGAACGAAAGGAAGGAAGGAAGAAAATAACGAGAGGGGGAGATACCAGACAAACAGAGAGGCACACGGCAGGGCAGGGCAGGGCAGGCCGAACAAAGGACGGGAGGATGGGGTGGCGGGGAGGGCGGGACATGTCACAAGATGAAAGAGAGAGGAGAGAGAGAGAGTTTAGATGCACACTGCCGAGGAGGAAGGGTTTGTTAAGGAGCAATTTGGAACAGGGGTGCAGGCCCAAAGGCAGGAAGGGAACCCCAGATGAAAACATCTGGTGTGTGAGTGTGACTGTGCAGGACAGCTAGCCTGTTCTAGTGGGAATGGAGGCCACTGCACAGGCCCAAATGCAAGAGATTAGTTCTAAGTTGGGAAGGTTACGGGGAATTGTGGATGGCGGGATTGCTCCCGCAGGAATTTGTCTTCCCCTATGAGTTCGGTTCCTAATTAATTATCAGATTCGGGGCTTGATTAAGGCCTGGTCCAGTGCTTTGGTCGGTCACTTACTGGGACCTTGCATAGGAGCCCAGATACAATGACTGTCCTCACCCATTCTGCTTGCCTGTGAGTTGCATGGACAGAGTTGACTGCAATGGTGTACAATTGTATTACTCGCTGTGAATCCCAGTGTCTCATCAAAGGAATGGCCAGCCAGTAATTTGGAGATAAAGAGACCTCTGCTCCTCTGAACACAGGAGTGTGCCAGCAGGGATGCTGTTGGCATCTTTCAGGCTTATGTGTCCATCAGGTGCAATTGTTTTTAAGGGACATGATAGAAAATCTTTTAGATAAATAAATGAATAAATAAAATTGTCTTTAAGATGACAGATCTCTCTGATTTTGGCAGCATAGTTAGTTAAACATAGTTAAAATGTTTTTGAAACCTACCAAAATGCATCAAGAAGTGTTTTTAGGATAAAATGTGCCTATGTCTAGTTGTTGGGGTGAGAAATGTTCAAAATGTGTTTTTCAATGTGTAGTTGGATACACACTTTCATGAGGGTTACAAAGATCTGAAGCGACGAGGAAGTGGGACAGAACAGACTTGTGAATAAGCACAGGCAAAACTGACATGGACAGGAGCACCACAGGCACATGCTCCGAGCGGCATGCGCACCCTCTTTCTGCTGCACCAGCCCTAGGACTCCAGTCCATGCAGGGGCTGTTCCTTCGGATGGAGCACCTCATGAGCGTCAGTCTGCGAGAGCCCCCCAGCACAGATCTCTCCTCCCCGCCTCGTCACATCTCACCTCTTCCAGCATCCCAGTGTTTTGATCACACAGACACCATCATCCTTTCCCCCAACAGCGAGGTTAACATGCAGCCCTCCAGCCCTTTGGACTACAATTCCCATTATCCTTGGCCATTGGCCATGATGGCTGGATCTGATGATCAAGGCCAACCACATCTGGCTGGAAAGGCTGATCAAGGGCATGGGCTCTCATACAGGAAAGCCATCCATGCACCTGTGGGCAGTATGAGGAGTCCCTCCCCTCCGTTTTTGGATTCTCACCTGCTTCTGTACCCCATGCTGCTGCCCTCCACTGGGGGAGGTTGGCCTACTGCGCTCGGATGACTTGGGCTGAGAGCGGTCTCGGCTCCCGTACCGATCACAGGAGTAAAAACGCTGCTTTTCAGACGAAGAAGAGGAGTGGAGCTTCCGTTCCTGTGACCGACCCCGCTCCTGCTTTCTGACCTTGGAGGTGGCTTCACCTGCATGGGAGACCAAAAGGAAGCCAGGTGAGTGAAGCAGCTCTCCAGGGGCCACCAGAGGGCCACCTGACCAAGCCCAGACTATGGTGGCTCTTCTCAGGTCAAACCTTGGCCCACCAGCCCCATCGCAGAAATAGACTGCAAGAGCCAACAAGTTGTGGGGACTGATCCAGCATCCTTCTTGATATTCCCATGTCAGGATTTCCACCCATTATGGGGTCAGAATTTGGGTTTCCAGTCGTAGAATGTCCATTCCAGAGAGGTCTTCCCAGTCCTAATCTCAGGTCTTTTCACTGCTAGGCAAAGCAAGTTTTCTTCTCTTACGCCTTTTGAATCATGCTATTTCCTTGTTGCCCTATTCGTATCCTAAAATGATTTTACATCTCATACAATCATAGAACCATGATATAAAATAGTAGAGCAAAATCATAGAATAGAAGAGCTGGAAGAGGCCAAGTCCAACCCCCTGCTGTTGCAGGACACCAGTTTGCAGCATCCCACTCAGGTGGCTGCCCAGTTTCTTTTTGCAACCTTTTGAATCTGTGAAACTGTTTTCCTTATGACCACCATCTGTGCTGCTTCAGCCCTCCACTGGCTGGTAGCAGACTTCTTAAACACCGCCCTTAATTTTGACCTGATTGGGGGTTTCATGGGCACTTTATTTACTTACAATTTATTTATCGCTTCGCTTTGTATGCTGCTACAATAGCCCATTGCGGTACATACCATACATGTATATGTACGCTCTCCTAACACCAGTAGATGGCCAAGTCATGGAACAATCACATAAACAGATGCATGCAAGCAGAGTTCTTTGCCAGGTTGGCATCCAAAGACGAAGTGGGGAAGGAATTCCATCAGTGGCCATTAAAAGAAAGGTCTCCCCCTGGTGGCAACCTGCCTCCTGAGCAGGTACGGGTTGGTGGATGGGGGAGCGTATCTCCCTTGGCATTATAGTCTCTGTATAACAAGGCTGATTATACTCAGAAGGAGTGGTGCAGAGCTGGGACCCCAGTGATAAGACCCAGCACGGGGAAACCCCCCATTCCCCCCTTACCGGCAGGATCGCCGTCAGCCAGCTGGTTGGGGGGCTTGTCGACGGACTTCTGCTTCTTCTCTTTCCGTCGGTGGCAGCGGTGGTGGTGGTGGTGGTGGGTGTGCTCAGCGGGCCGGGAATGCTCGTAGAGGTGCGTGGCATGGGGACGCTGAGGGTTCAGGGTGGAGATGGAGCGCTTCATGGGGCTGGTGTCCGGGATGGGCTACAGGTAAATGCAGGTGAGGGACAGGGGAGTAGAAAGCAGGCAGGAGAAGAGAGCAGGAGGCGGGTAAGGCCCTGTGTGCAGCACCCTTCTCCTGATCCCAGGCTGTTAAGACAGTAGAATTCACTGCCACAAGATGCAGTGACCACCACCAGCCCAGGGAGGGAGACCCATCCATGGGGGACACGGGCTGCCAACGGTGGCAGGTCATGAAGGGAGTGAGAGGAAGCTCTTGCTAGTGAAGCCGGGAGGGCCGGGCCTTGGCCAGCGTCCCGGGTCCATTAGCCAGGGGGGACCCCAGATGGCTACTAGGAGACCAGCAGGTGATGAGGGCAACATCACGGCAGCACAGGGAAACTTAATTCCTGTCATCATGGCAGCGCTATAACTTTAATGAGTGTATAAGGGACCACCCATTCCCTGCACTCAGTTTCTCTGCCGAGTGAGTCCTGGACCTCCGCCCCAGAGTCCTGACCTCACAGCACCGTGATGATGGTGCCCAGTTTCCTGTGCCAACACACCCCTGGCAAAGCCACCTGGAAGGAGAGGACTGCCAGACAAGACAGCTACCACAGAGAGTTAATCATGATCAGAGGAACCATCCCTGAAACAACTTTAGATGATGCATAACAGAGTTCAAGCAAGCTACATACTGCTAGGAAATGCCCCGGAGAGCGCGCCTTTCTCTTCTGCAAGCAATTCGGACAGAAAAATATTGGATGCAGCCCCCAACAACACAGCCATTTGTCAGAAAGACGAGATGACGAAGGAGAGGTGGGGTGGTGGGTGGGGTGATAAAATGAGAGCGACCAGATCCGGAGGGAAGCCGGCAGCAGGAGGAAGAGGGAATGGAGACAAGAGACAGAAATGGGTGTTAGTCAACAATTATCCATGCAAAGAGGTGGGAGACCAAGAGTGGAAGGGAGTTATTTGAATGAACCTGTAAACTAGAAAACACTGCTTTGGTTAATGGAGACTTGCTCAGAAGTCTAGGGACAGGGCTCCTCAAAGTAGCCTTGGCTAATCCAGTAGAGAATCCCCAGCAATGTGTGAATTATGACATGGTGTGGGAGATGACATGATGTGTTGGGCTGCGCTTGGACATGCTGCCCCGAGTCAGCGTGTGAAGAATGAGGCTCTGGGACCCGTCTTGCAGATGAAATGTTTTGGATGCTCCTGCCAATCCAAAACAGATGCCGATACCTTTTGGGATGCAAATCCAGGTGAGGAAACCCAATGGAAGCTGGGCTCAAATGACTCAAAGCAATGGCACTCAGCTGATGATCAGCGCATGGTCCTGAAGGCCACTTCCCACAGACGCACTATCAGTTCGTCATCCCCGAATGCCTAGCAGCAGCTCCAGGACCATCACCTCTCAGTTGGAAATGGGAGCACTGAGAGTTTCAACGCACCCTTGTTTCCCCATTGCTTTCTACCAATTCCTTGTGCCTGGAGATGCCGTGGATTGAATCTGGGACTTTCTGCTTGCAGTTCAGGGGCTCTGCCATAGAGCAATGGTCCACGCACCCCAGCAGATCAGCTGGTCTACACTTGATGGTGCAAATGATTTGCCGCAAGATCGCCGTGGGAGGGGGAGCTACGTGTCGTGCCAACAAAGCAACAGTAGGTCTACGTGCACTTTTGGTAGGAGGTCCTTGGTGTTGGGTCTCCAGGGTGGCTGCTCTTGAGATCTTCTGGAGGGACACCAGGGAGCATTCCTTGCATGAGCATCAATATACAGCTGCTGAATTTCCACCTGAGCTGTTGCACCTTAGAGCCAGATAGCAGTGGGGTCTTTCTTTCTCAATCAGCAATTGATAAGACACGAGAATCAACATGGAACAAAACCTCATGGGCCACAAGGCTCGAACCCAGAGCTCTGTGGACCAGATAAACATCACTGAGGAGGTTGCTTTAGCTCACCTTCTCCTCTTCCTGGTTTGTGTCTGTTCCCTTAAGATACCTTCCCATGATGAGCCAGGGAATCTAATGGTCAGTTATCGGAATGGGACCAGTTCATGATGGACTGAGAGCCACTCAGTGTCTGTCTGTCTAAAAAGCGTAGCCCATGAGTAACAAATACGGACCGTGGTTGGTCAATGGGTTAGGTCATTGCAGCTGAACAAGTTTGGGAACTTACTTGAAGTGGATGAGTCTTAGGTGCAGAAAGGATCGGTGTAACAAAGAAAGTGAAAGCAGGCTTTAGAAAATGTTATACAATGTTATATCTTTTTCTGGGTAAAAGTAAAAATTGACTGGTTGAGGCAATACGACAACCCACACTCAACTAATAGGGATGGGCTGACACTGAACCACAGATGGTTGTCGGAGCAAGGGTTATTGTATTGTCTGGACCCAGGTGAAAGAACAAACCATGGTGAAAAACTCACAGTTCTCAACTTGAGAACAAACCAGGGGCCTTCTTCATGGGCTATCGGTGGTCGACCGACTATGGCATGTTAGTGCAACTGGGTTCCGACCACAAGATAACTCTTGGTTCAGTAGCAACCCCAAGTGTTGTCTGAATCCAGACATCATATCCCGCTGCGGTTCTTTGGTGGCCTAGGCCAGGCTGTTTGGTGGGATGCCCAGGCATATGTGCAAGGTGACCCTATCCAGACGAGCATTTACACCCACGAAATTCAGCCAACGAATCTGCACAGCAAGCCCAACATGGAGCCTTTCCTTTCTGGATAGATGGGTGGCAGAGGAGGTACCTATGTGAAGAATTTCTAGGAATAATCCTGCACCTGCCACAATTATGCTTAAATGCACAACCAAATAGTCCAGGACAGTAACACAACTTTTCAGATTTCCAGACAAACACCTTTCAGAAGAAAGAAAGAAAGAAAGAAAGAAAGAAAGAAAGAAGGAAGGAAGGAAGGAAGGAAGGAAGGAAGGAAGGAAGGAAGGAAGGAAGGAAGGGTTGAATTATTGACTTACAACAAGCCTCCAGTGGCCAGTTAAGCCTCCCACGCTCACCTGAGTTTCTGCTGCCAGGCGTGGCATAGAAGCAGCCCGGCCCTGGCTCTCCAGGCTGGCCTGATGCTCACCATTGGCCAGTGTCGGGCTTATTTCTCTCATTTCCACCACCTGAGAGGAAGAGGCACAGAAGGTCAGTGTGGTGGAGGGCTAGCTGCATCCGCGCAAGACATGAGCTCGTGAGAAGCCTTCCACCGGCTTGGGGGAGAGCTGAGGCCCCCAGTGAGCTTCAACACCAGCTGCATTTCTTCTACTGTGCCGCATCAGAGAGGCAGGTGAGACCGTGAGGGCCACTCTGTTGGCCTGGCTTCTCCAATGGCGGTTGGGCTTCTGCACCTCCCCCCGCAATTGCCTCCATCCATCACCACTCCATTGGGTCAATTCACTGCTTCCTTATATAAGGATGTGGGACCTGACTGATCTCTCTCTTCCCTCTCCATCCATTTTTTCCTTTGGTATCATGCCTGTAAAATGGTAAGCGATGATTTTATCTGCATGTTGCCTCAGGTGCTTTCTTAGAAAAGCAAGCTATCAAGCTTGCAATACATAAATAGAGAGAGAGGAGAGGAGAGGCCAGGAGAATTATCCATAGTGGGAAAACTATTACAGGGAAGCACCAAATTACAGCTTCCATCATTGCCATCTGGAAGCTGAAGCAAATCACAGACAGGATTTATCAGCAGAACTTCGGTTTCTCCCTTAGAAAAGAAAGCAAAACACCCATTTACAAGGAAGAGTTTTGTGCAACTTGGAACAATGAACACTCGTCTTTGCATGTGGGTGCATCTTAAACTGTCTGTGAATTTATTTTAATAGATCAATCTGGCTCCCTATTTTTAATCCATTAGAGAAAGTAGCTTGGTCCAAAAGCTGGAGTTGTGTTCTCAGAAAGGAAGGGAAATTGGGGAGAGGGAGAGGGAGACAGGCTTATCTAGAGGAAGAATATTAGCCTGTGAAAGGCCTTTCCTTCTCTAACACAGTGCACTTCGTTTGTACCTGTTTGCTCGCCTGCTCAGTGGGAATTTCTTCTGAACGGCCCCTTTCAAAGGCTGGTGTCCTGGTTTCGTAGAAGACATCCTGCGTCCGCTGCGTACCCCATGACACAGATTCCCGGATGCCTCCTCCCTCAGGCATGGGTCTGTTGCAGAAGGAAGAGGGAAAGGACAGCCACTGGTCATACACAGACAATGTGGGGCATCTCTGAAAACAATCACACCCATTGGAGCCCAGTGGAATTCCTGGCCTCTTTATGGTCTGATGATCAGAGGGGGCTGAATAGTTCTCCCTGCCCCCTACTGGACTTCTGCCTCTAAAACAGGCTGCCGTTTGCACGTGTTTTGTGAACACTACAAAATTTGCGCAAATTATGCTATTTGTGCCATTTACCCAAATTAACCCAATTTACTCAGAACATGGGTATTTTGCACATTTACACAAATCAGCACCCCACAAAAGCAAACAGTTCTTTTGCGATTTGCACAAACTGCAAAAGGATCCCATGTTTTTCAGGATGTGGTTTTGCGCAAAATTTCCTTCATGGCTATTTTCGTAAAATGAAAATGTGCAAACTGCAGCCCATCTTAGAAATGAAAGTCTTTTCTTGAAATGAAAGGTTCAACTCAAACCATAGTCAGTCGCCACAGGACTGGCAAACTGGAATTCGACATCCACTAGATTTTCATAGACCCCACCCCCCACCCCTCATGCAAACCAATCCACAAGTCCACAGCTTGGCAGCTGCAGGCAAAACAGATTTAGTCATCATAGAGGCAGAAAACTGTGTTTGGAATGCGTCACTTCAGGTTGCATTTAAGAGTGGGGGCTAACATGAGTACTACTCCCCATAAAATAAAACTAATTAAACCATCTCCACACACTAGCATGCAGAAACTAGCGTATGAGGGAGAAGGCTAAACCAAGAGGATTTGTGACACTAGGTTTTTATGTATACAGTTTTTTGGGGTGCACAGAATGGATGAGTCCCCCACTTGCAATATGAATTCATACCGCCTCACTTCAGTCTACTTCGATTTCTTTCCCTTTTCCAATCTTTGGGAATTTTTCCAATCGCAAGTTTGGAAAGTTTTTCTCAAACGTCGGGACTTTTTAATGGTTTTTATGATGCTTTTCTCTTGTGGTTGTGAGCCGCCCAGAAGTGCTGTGGCACAAGCGGGCAGCATACAAACCTTTTAAATAAATAAATAAGTCTTCAGGAAAAAAATCTTTGTCCGTATTTGCACTTGATTTTCCCCAATACTCATAGCAGGCCCTGTTTCTAGTGCGACGGAGATCCATTATTATTTTTCCTTATTTTCAGGGACAGAAGCATTTTTCTGAACACCTTTCCTAACTTGAACAGGATGCAGGGATTCTGGGTACTCACAGGGCGCCCCCATTGTTGAGAGAAGCTGAGCTCTTTTGACGCAGGAAAGCATTGGGGAATATCGGGGTGCTTTGTTCAAGTGCGGCCTTCAATGGGTGGAACAGGGAGACTGTCCCAGTCTGCAAAGCCATAAGAGGAGGAAGTTCAGGAGATACCTTGACTTATTGTTATTGCTACTACTTTCACACATTACCTCTGCATTACATTACAACCTGCATGACCCCCCTCCTCTGAATTTTATCCTCACAACAACCCTGTGAGGTAGGTTAGGCTGAGAGTGAGTGACTGGCCCAGAGTCATCCAGGGAGTTCCATGAAAGAGTGAGGACTAGAACCCAGAACCCACGGAGTTCTCCTCCACTCCTCCACAACCAGTACTCTGTAAGGAGGTGAGGCTGTGGGTCAGTCGGAGTTTGATGAGGTTCCTTCCTGCCCAAGAACCCCACCTCTAGGAATATTCCCTCCATCCCATGGGAAGTTCAGTGGGATGCAGCACAGGGTTCAAACGCAGGCATCTCCAACCCCAAAGGCTGAGCCAGCAGGGGATGGGAAGGGCTTGTGCCCCTGAAAGGCTGCTGCCAGTCAGAGCCAACCTTACAGGGCTAGAGAAGTGAAAAGCTGGCCTGGAAAAAGGCAGCCTTCCGGCCTGTATGTAGTGGAGCAGGCATGAGCTGACAGAGAGGACTGTACCACACCAGAATGCTGGTGGAGGATCACAGTTACAAGCACCCTCTGTGGGGAAACAGAGGGCAACATGCTAAACTAGATCTTCGCTCTCCAGCAAGCTGCTTCTCTTCTTGCAGAAAGTCTTGTCCCAGTGGCAGTTACGAGTGCTAGAAGGAAGACAGAAGGAAAGAGGAAAGAAGAGAGCTCACCGGGCAAATACCTCCTGAGGCTGGATGGGCGGGGTCCCGGGTGTTCTTATTCTGTTTGTAGAAGTCGAATATCATGAGGGCTGCATAGACTTTCCCCACGGTCATTGCTTCGGCTGGAAAAAGAAACCGAGGTTAGAAAAGAGAGCTGGAAGGATCGAGGCTGGAAGCAAAATCCTATGGGGAAGAGGAGAAGGACTGGGTCTGCCGGGCATCATGAAAAGATGAATAAGTGCAGATGTGCCAGTACTGCTCAAGTGTCTGAGGGGGCCCTCCCAGGAGAGAGTGGTGGCCTATTCTCTATCATCCAAGATAGAACAGAGCTGGAGTTACAGGAAGGAAGACTTCTGTTGAAATGAGCTGGCTTTGCATCCTGGCTGGGGAATCTCAGAGTTTTAATTAAAACCAGAAGTACATCTTGCTAGCCCACTGTCTGCCCACTGCTGGCTGGCCGCGTTCTGGCAAGATTCTGCACCATGTCCCTTCCCAGCCTTGCCTAGAGATGCTTCATTGTGCCAGCAGGATGGGCTTCAGGGCCGACATCTAGGGCCATAAGAGAAGACAGACCCCAGACATAGTCAGACTTTTGAAGCCATGCACGTGAACACCTAGAGGTGGCGCATGATCCCATGAGGCCTGGAGCCTCGTCCCTTCATCCATGCCACGGAGCTACAGCAGAGGGAGAGGCAGGACAACAGTGACTGTCCCACCAGCTCTCCTGAGAAACCAGCTCTGCCAGTGGCACCTCTGGGGCAGCCATTTGGAGCAGAAGCCCAGGGTGCCACTCAGCAGAACAGCAGCAGAGGGCTCCTGCACACAGCAGAGCTGGGTCACCACATTTGGAAGGAAAGGAGCACAGGATACCTGGGACAAAACATAAGGCTTCCTTCGCGCAAACGTCTTGCTCAGTTGCTAAGGCCTAGTCCTTACCCAATAGGGTTAATGCTACCTCCCAGCGAAGGCTGGTGACTCCTACATGTCCTCCTATGTCCTATGTCCTCACCCATTGCAAGCTTCCTTCTCAGATGGATGGAAGCTACATGTGATGCTCCTCAGCTTAGGAGGATGAAGTTTATTTATGGGATGAAGCTCAGCATCATAGATAGCTCCATGCCACAACAGATGAAGAGTCCCACTGCCCTAGAAGCCCTCATCTTGCTCACTTATCTCCCCACAGCAGTTACCAAGGGAAGCACGGCACTTACGTTTATGAGGTGGTACCAGGAGATCCAAGGTCTTTGGGGACAGATTAGGCCAAACTAACGAGATCTCCTTCCTCAGCTCAGCATCGCACTGGTGTTGCAGGACCCCTGTCCAGCACAGGCCAAGAGAAACAAATGGAGAACATTGTCTGCTCTTACAGTGGGCTGTACAATAACCACCTTGCTGATGGCTCTGCGCGCATCCTATTTCACGCAGTAGCCCATGAGGGGCTTCTGGGAAGACCACACAGGGCACAAAGGCAGCATCTCCCCTCCCTCAGCTACCCTCAACAACTGCTACACATTGGCACAATGCCTCTGGACCTGCGGTTGCATGTAGCCGTCATGGATGCAGGTGGCCCGCCCCTGGATGAAGCCAATGGGTCCTTCTCCACCTCCGTCTCACCTGATGCAAGTTTGATTTCCAGGGCAGTCCGGATCAAGGCCATCAGTGTGGAGGTGAAGTGGACACTCAAGTCATCATTGGAGATGGGCATGTTCATCCTTACCAAACGCTGAGAAAGAGAGAAGGCCTCCATCAGTGCTGGGCAACATCTCCCTGGCCCCAAACCTCAGGCCCCACCACCTAATCTCATTTCTCCTAGTGAGGCTTTATTCGATTCCCCTCCAGAGTAAAGCAGAGAGATTCCCCAGAACATTCTACAATGCTAAGCTTTCTTGTGCTGACATGGGAGGTGGGTACCAGCTTTGGGATGAGAACCACCACATCCTCATTAGGGTTCTTCTTTCAGCATGGAGCTGCATTTGCCTCTTGGAAATCTCCACATGTAACCCAAATCTATCTTCTGGAAGATTAAAACCACCACCTCATGTATTCCCCTCCATGGGCGGAGCAGCTTTTAAAAAGCAATCAAGCTAATTCATGGTGATAAGGCTAGCCATGGTTAATGCCTGTGGTCCCCAGCCTCTGTTATCAAGAAGCGTACTGATCCTGGAGGGAATACACAACCAAGACTAGTGGCCATCAACAGATTTATTCTACCTACATACCTTTCTCACCTGCATGTACAACTCTTGCATGTCTCCCAACCTTATCCCATCCGTTTGTCTAACTGAGAAGCCCCAGATATTACTTCTGTTCCTCCCAGGATGGTTGCTTCAGCATGGACCCTTTGGTTGCTCCCATCCACTACAAGAAGCGCAAGGCTTGAAGTGCTCCAAAATCGAAGAAAAGCCAGTTGGACCATGGCAGAAAACAGGGCCACTGGGACACAGCAGGACCTGGGAGACTTGAATTCAGGCCTTCACTTAGCTGCAGAGCTCAGTGGGTGACTTTGAACCATTCACTGTCGTCGGGGTTGTTTTGGGAAGAACATCAGGATTGGCAGAATTATGCCTCCTTGAACCCCTTGAAGGCTAGGAAGGATACAAGTAAGGGGACATCACAAAGAAATATGGTGAATTGCACCTGGTGGTGTTGAGCTGAGCCCAATTTTTCCAAGAATATTTCTGAGATGTTTTTCTCATTCCACATCCTAAAAGGGTTGGGTGTGGGATGAGAAAAAGGTGGCCGCCCCGTGGAGTTGTCTCCCAAATGCTCCCTAGTTCATGATGTTAGTCCTGGCTGTTGTGAAGGATGCAGAACGGGGGCTGCTGCTGCTGCTGCTTTTACTGCAGGCAACAAGCACAAACAGTAGGAAAGAAGAAAGCGACCGTGTTGTGCCGAGCGGGGAGCCCCCTGCAGAGAAACTGGAGAATTTCTCCTCCCACGAGAGTTAAGTGCATTGAAATGTTTTCCCCAAGGGAGTGTGGAGAATTTGGGAGGCCTACATTCTCCATTAAGCTGCCTCACAATGATTAGCTGATAAAGTCTTGTTAGTCTGCCGACTGCTACGCAAAATTATTCCCAGACATTAACCAGGGTTGATGCCAGTCTCTTGCAGAATAAATGCAGTTGGCAGTGGGTGATAATGGGGAACAGAACCCGTTCCCAGGAGTTGCTGAGAGTTGAGAGGCACCCGGCCCCAAAGCAATTCCAAAATAAACATTGTTGCACCACCCACCCAGCTGGTTCCTCTACAGCCAGCACAAGAAAGGTCAGCAACACAAACTCACATTACATAACACACCTCAGCGGTCCAGACTTACTCAGCTAGTCTCACTGAATCCATTTCAGTGAGAGAGAGAGAAAAACAACAAGACAAAAGAATGCATGGAAGTGAAGTGCAAGCAGATGAAACAAGACAAACACTCTTTTCCCAGGAGAGCTCTATCGTCGTCCATTTGGGGCAAGCCTGAAAACCAGCAATAATCAGCCCAAGGGACACCTGTTTCCCATTAATTTGGAACAGCTCCTATGCAGTTGGTGGCTTGCGGTCGCTATCCTGATTCAGCATCTACAGGAACAAGAGACAGCAGAATGCTTTGGTCCCCAATGCTGGATTCTTCACTTCGTGGTGACTGAGAGCTGAGTGGCAGCAATGTCCATAGGAAGCTCTCTCAGATGGAGTCAAACCCATGGTCCCTCCAGTTCGGTTTTGTCAGTAGTGACTGGTAACAGCTGCCTTGGCTTTAGGGCAGGTGCTTTCCCCATAGTCTGGAGATTCTAGGGACTGAACTAGGGGCCTTTGGCAGGACTTATTGTCTTTCCCCTAAAAAAATAAACATCCTGCTCCAAATGACTAACAAACTGAACTGAATGGGAACGGTCAAGGCTGGTCCTGCCATTAGGTGAGGTGAGATGCTGCCCCCAGGTGGAGCTGCTGGGATGCAGCAGCTAGGTGTTGGACAGAGCACTATGCAAGCAGCTGCCTTTATGCCACCTAAGCTGGCCTGTTGCCTTCAGGTACAGGGACAGGTACAGGTAGCCATTGTTTTGTCCATAAAGAGGAGGCACCATTTAGCCATAGGCTGCAAAAAGTCTTCGGTTGCTTCCGGGAATGTAGGAAGCTGCTCAATTGGAGCATTAGTCCCTGTTCTTCGGTATCACCTGCTCTGACTGCAGATCCCCAGCATCCCACAGAGGAATCTTTTCCAGCCCCATGTAGAGATGCTGAGAATTGGACCATGGATGGTAAGCACGTTGATGCTTCCAGATCTGTTTCCATCACTTATATAAGTCCATGCGACATTGGCAGACGGTTCTTTTCCAGGAGATGCAAATGGACCTTGTGACATTCCATTGTGTCATCCGCTTTCTCATCATAACTGGTGGCCACTAAAATATTTTCTTTTCAATATCTTTCTGGCTACCACGTGCTCCTCAGAACCAGAGATGGGATAGCATTGTAAGAACTATTAACCAATTTTACACTTCTGAACTACTGTGGAAACTAAACCCAATTACTCCTTAAGATTTGCACGACTTCGAATTTTGAAATAGAATAAAAAAGGCATCCATAAATAAATATGTTGGGGGAAATAACATGAAAATGCTGTATATTAGGAAAACTGCTTGCAAAACTGTATATTACTAGGGGAAATGCAATTATTAGGAGAAATGAGTATGAAAATGCCTATGAATTTTAAGTCTTAAAGTTCAGGGGGATCTGAATTTAAGAACTAATAAATTCTCAATGTTCCAGATGAATCCATTTTAAGGTTGCAAAATGAACCTTAAAAAAATGACATGGAACAAGGCATTTTGGGAAATATAACATGGATGCTGGCAACAAGATGGAACTTCGATGACCCTGGCACTCACCCTACCTGTGCACTCTCTCCATCCTAAAGGTGAAAGAGGGGAAGAAGCTACACCTTTGCTTTCACATCCAACATCAGAATTGAGGGAAGGGTGCTCATTTACCCTGCTTAAGGGCATGACCCTACGGCCCCCCAAGGGTGCCTGGGATGCCAAAAGATGATTTGGGACCCAGCCCCAAGGTCTGGTTGTCCTCAGTGGTGACTGCCTTGCTCTCCTCACAACATACTCCTGGTTGCATCTCTGAGGTCTCAGATGAGGTCAGAGAGGAGGAAAGGGGGCGTGCCGGTGGGAAGGGACCAGCTTGGCGCCAACGGCTTATGCCATACCCAGGTGGCAACAATGTCTTCTCCTCTCCACTCCACGATGCTTCATTTAGATAGCCAAAAACACCCGAGTTGGATGGACACACAACCAAGGGAGTCCCTCTGAGCTGAGCCCTCTCGATGATGCCTAGCCCACCCTTCCCCACCCAACTATGATTCCCATCAGCCCCAGCCAAAGTTGATGGCAGCATGCTGGAGTCCAAAACAACTGGAGGACACCAGGATGAGTATATCTGCTCATAGTATCCTCCTCCTCCTCCTCTCTGCTGCTTGAAAGCCAAAACTCTCCAGGCAGGCGCATGGAGTAGGATGAGCTGCTCAATCATGCGCCTCCATGATCAAAGCATTTCTCCCAGATACTTCAAATGGCACTTGGCAGTGCCCAGACCCTTTCTTTCTAATTAGGTGCTTTTGCTAACATCTTGGCTCCGGAGCATGAGCCAGCCAGAGGCTAACCAGAGAAAGCAATCTTGCATCTGCGTAGGAAGTGCTTGCTAATATTACTGTGACACACGCATGAAGTCTTTCCTCCTCAAGGGGAAGCTGCAGCTGCAAGGCTCTCTCTCTCACCTTTCCTAATTAAGCGCTTGCAAACTAGAAAATTGGCCAGAGAACAGGTGACAGTACGCCGGCGCATGAGTGACAAAGGCAACACTTTCTTGTTCCAGCTAATCCTGTGCGCAAGGCCCAGCTTTTCTGCTAAAGGTGAACTGTGCTAAGTTTGCATAAAGTAAAGATTAGAGGGAACCTCCTTCAAATCGCTTCCAAAAATCACTGGGAACACCCGTCACTGCCACCATTGTCACGGATGCACGCACACACACACGGCTTGAGAACAGGGCTGATAATTAAGGGGCCCCCATTTCAGGATGACTTGTGTGCGCCATCCCACCTTTTCAGCAAAATAAGGAACAGCCTGGAAACTAGACTTATGATCAAAGTTGTCCTCTTTGCACCATTAAACCAGAGTCAATTTGGACAAGAGCCTCTTCTGGAGGAAAAAAATCTGAGGAATTTCTGGGGAAGCCAGAAGCATTAAGATTCCAAACATTCTAATCCTGTTCAGCTCTGGCCAGATCTCTGGCTTGTTGCTTAAAACTTCAGAATGGCAACCACTACTCCTTGGGTCTTTGTCGGGGTCCTTACTGGGACAGCTGGTACCAAGGCTGGAATCATGTCAGCTTGGTCAACACAGAGACCCCAAGTGGGCCTCACACAGATCTAGGAGGAATCTCATCTCAACCCAAGACCTTCTGCTTCCTGATGTGAAGGACCGATCATGTTCCTTCTTCCTTCCTGCCCTTCCCACATACAAAACTTGACTCATCAGTACCAGTCATCCTTCCCTGCACCTGTGAACAACAGGTTAGTTCAAGGGAAAAGGTTAGTGTGTGGGTGTTGGGGGTGGTAAATGGCACCTTTGACCTCTGCTGCCTGAGGCAGCTAACAGTGCGACTGGCCCCAAGAAATGCAAACCTCACCAAGGTGCACGTGAGAGACCAGACAATAGCTATGGAGAGATTGGAATGAACTGTTTCCCTGAGAAAAATGCTCCAGACGCCTCCTGCCTGGAAATGACGTTCTGATGTGGGAGCTTGGTAGCCCTGTAGCAGTGAAGACCATAGCAGAAAGCCTCAACATCTTCTCTGTCCCAAAATGTGAGCCCTGTTCTCATCATTTGGATCCTGCTACACCTCCCAGTACTCCCCTGACTTCTCTGTGGATGCTCAGACACACTTGTATGTGCAAAGCTCCCCATTCACACCTTCTGTTGAAAGGATGTCGTGAGGTGGAGTCAATAAGGATGCTCTTAGCCTCTCCATAACAAGATCAGAAGGCGAACATGGGGCTACAGTGAGAAAACAGGGCAATTGCTGGTCCAGCGTTGAGATACAACTCTCCTGTGATGCCACAGCACAAGACCACAAAAATACTAGCCCATGCACTTCAAACAGAGCAAAAAGCAAGTATCATGCACAATGCTGCAGGAATTGGCTTTTGCCAGCAGAGGGGGCCACATACAGACCTACAGGGATGGAACAAAAGAAGTGGAGTGGAGTGGAGTGAATACAGCCTATAAGTAGGGCAGGGAGAAATACAATGTAGACAGAGGAGGATGTTTGCTAGAGAAAGAAAGAGGAAGACACCCTGGTGGGCAGTCCAGCTCTTCAGAAATGGAAGGGAAGGAACACCATTTCTCTTTGACCAGAAAAGTAGCATTGGCAAGAAAAAGTACCAGCTTTTGCAGGGTGGGGAGATCATGGAAGGGCAGGAAAGGAATGGGAGAGGAACAGAGACAGGTGGATCTCTTTGAATACTAGCCTTCTTCATAGCCGGCTTCAAAGCCTACTCTCAGATGCAGCCTGAGAAATGGAAGCAGGGGCCAAATTGTACAGAGCTGTGTCCATATTGGTTGTGAAAATGGGAGTACACAGGTGGCAGTTGGGTGAACAATAAAACTGCCCTGTTGCAGTCGGCTGTTGCTGAAGCAACGCCTTCTCCTGACACACTCTGTGACACCTTTGCTGAGCAGCTCCTGTCTGGAACACATGGATGTGGCATGCTTGATCGGGCAGAACTTGAGCCTGAAGGTATGGGGAAGGGGGATGTGTGTCCACCATCTCGTGATTACGTTCCTGCCATGCTCCAGAACCCCAACCTGTCCTTTTCAAAGGGTGAGGCACCAGAGTTAAGAGGTCGGGGGGACGCCTGTTTATGGAAGGACTTCATGCCTTCCCCTGCTTCAAGACCTAGTTCTCCAGGGAGGGGCTGGGGACCAACTCCCTTGTCTCCACAGGTGGTCACATTGCCATCCTTGGAATCTGAAGGTACCGACCATGAGGAGGCCAGCATGTCGCAGCCTCCTCCAAGGGTGCAGAAGGACTAGGGACCATTGAAGGGAGAAGGCCTTGGTGAATGAGGAGGCAGGACTAACCAGCCCCAGGTCAGCCTAAGCCGTACGAGGGCTCATTCACACATGCTTCTTAATAGAGCAACAGAGAGAGCATGTTGCTTGAGGGTGGCGTTAAACAAGTTTAATAAACAAATCCTGCCAAGAGGGGTGCTAGCTGCAGCATCTTTTGGTGTTCCCCTATTTCTATTGCCTTTCTCCCTCTGAATCCTGCTTTTTCAGGATCATGAATCCCAGCTACCATAACCCAATGTTGTGGTGCTCACCGGCACCAGACGTCCACAGCAGCTGGGCTCCCAAGCCGACACAAATCAGCTCCAGCCATTCCCAGAGGAGGATCGCTCCTCTTTTAAGGACACTCCACAGCCCAGACTGTATGAGGTCCAGAGCCATTCCACTGTCGTCTTGGGCAACGGACTAGTTTCTTTTATTTGTTTACTTAAAGTTTTTAAATGCTGTCCAATACTAAAGTCTCTGGACGGCTAACAAAAAACACCACCACCACGTACAACAAAACATGGAGTTTGCACTCCATTCCTCCCTACACATTCGTCAGTGTCTTGTTTGCCTTCCTTGCAATGCCTTCCTAGCTCTGATGTTGAGCAGCAAGAAATGAGCATATACGGGAGCGCAATGCACTTTCTGATTTAATTAAACTGTTAGCCAGAGCCCATTATCATGTCTGAATGAGTTTGTAGTTTCTTTAGAGTTGAGTGGGGTGATCCCAAAATGATTATTTCTTGAGCGTGTATTTAAAGGGAGCTTTTCATGGTGTTATCTACTTTAAATAAGCAACTCCCACCTTCAGTGCTGCCTACCCTAATTATCTCAGAGCTCATTAAAAGACAGCCGAGATCCCATCCTTACCCTGAAATCTTTCAAAGGGAAAAAAAAAGGGCTCAGAAGAACCAACAGGCACAGGGAGCGGATACAAAAGTATTAGGTGGGTGTTTTGTTAGCAATGTCATTTTTCTTGGTTGCTTTTGCAGGGACAAAAAGGAGAATAGCTATTCATGTAGGGGTCATTAGGAGAGGCAGGCGCTGGCTTGGTTTTAATACTCTCCAAGCACAAGCATAAATTGCTCTCTAAGTAGAGGATTATTCTCAGTGAAGGCAAATTAGCATCACCACTATCCTTTTTCCTGCATTCTTTAGAGAGGAGCAAAACCGTCTTTTTGAAGCAGATTCAAAAAATGCCAGGTTGAGTTCAACACACCACTGGAGTTTCCAGAGCATCAACATTTTAAGAGGCTCAGCAAGCCGGGTCCCCATGTTTTATCTGGAATTACCACTCCTTTTGGCAAAGAATTTTGTCCTGCGACACAGACAAATCTTGTTCTTTCCTATAGGAAGGTTTACTCCCCTTCCATCCATTTTTTCCCCGGCTTCTCACAGGTGTGGGCATGGGCCTAGCACTTAGTGCTCTGTCCCTACCTTGTGGAACTCTGGTCCAACAGATGCCTGCCAGGTGCCATCCATTCAAGCGGGTCCTAGAGAAGTCCCAGCTTGACCCGCAAGGATTGCACGGCATGCTTTCCCTCAAGAAGCAACCCAGCTTGCCCTTAGGACAGAGCTGAGGTCCGTGGATGCAGAGGATTTGTTAAATCTCACTTAATACTCTTGTAAACCGAGCTCAGGTTGTCACTGCTCTCTCAGCAGGCAGAAAAGGATGGAGGGAGGACTGGAAAAATGGATTAAGAGAGTTGTGTTTTTCAATGGACAGGAAGAGATTTGGCTAGCTAGGAAACAGAATGATAGAACTGCGATGACTGGCATGAGGAATGTTGAAAGCTAGAACAGGGGTGTCAAACTCAAATTGCTCAGAAAGCTGCCTCTTCACCCAAGAGACGTACTATAGAAAATACAAACTCTTCACATCTTTTCTCAACATGTGCATAAGCAGCATCGCCAACGGAGGGGGCATGTTCCAAACCACCGGGAAGGCAGCAGATAAATCACCCTTTGGGAGGGTGCTGTCCTTTTGAACAAGAAAGTTTTGGAGAACTGGGATCCCCTTCAGACCCTCTCGGTTGTGGGTGCATTCAACATCTGCCTGGGATTGGAAGGATGAAGACATTGGGAGATCCTCCTCTTTTTGGCATCCATCTCGGGGGACATGGGGGCAGTTACCCCTTTCGAAAAAGCCAGGACTGTGTGACATCCACAGGTGTGTCTCACCCCAGATATGGGAAGCGGTCCCATGACAGCATGGAATACATAGCCAAACCAGCCACTTTGTTATGCCGATTGAGCAGGCCAGGCTGGGGAGTCACTTTGGCCAAACGTTGGACACCCCTGAACTAGGAGATCGAAGCATCTGAAAGAGCTCAGAAGAAGCCACAGTTATCACAGAAGAAGGCGGCATTCGGTTTAGCCACCGGGACGCATCATCCAGGAAGGTGCTTCTAACCTTATAGGCAACGCGGGCTGGGCATTTCTTTCCCAGTCCAAGTGGTGGCGACATGTGTCTCAGCATCTCATACATGTCTGTGTAACTGATGCGCCCACTTGGAGCCGGAAGAGGGGGAAGAAGAGAGAAGCAAAAGCCAGGAGGAGGGGAGATCCAAGCAGGGGAGGCGGGGAGAGGAGGGGACAAATGATTCAAGGGAGCGAGACAAGGAGAAAAAACACACGTACAGGGGGAGGCAGACAAAGGGGAGAGAGGAAGGGAAAAAAGAGAGATCCAGTTAATTAGATTGGCTGTTTGTTTTCCGGGAGGGGGGGAAAAAGCAAAACAAAGAGTTAATCGGAAGATTTCTCCCATGGCATCTCCTTGAGTCTCCTTCCACCTGCTCATGGATAAAATATATATATAAAGAAACGAATCAATCAGAGGTTTGTCTCCCTGTGGCAGCAGCACTGGATCCCTGACGTCAGACAAAGGGGTATGGGAAAGGATGGATCTGAAAGCATAAGAGGGACACGGAAAGGTCTGGCATTTGTCTTTCTGTGCGCACGTGTCACGTGGTTATAGTCATCATGCCAAGGAGGGCTGGTTGGGAGCATTCTGGGACAGTCAGCTGGGGCGGAAACCAAAGGCTTGCTTTCCCTTTACGTGGCCGTTTGCTCAATTGGGGAGCAACACGGCTAGGGAGGACAGCTGGAGACCAGTGAAGGCAACTTCCCTTTACCCCAACAGGAGAAACGCTTGGCAGTAAGTTGAGCAAAAGGGCAAGAGCCATTTGCAGCCGAGCTGGAACCCTGCCAGAGGCCAACTTTGCAATCACATGGATAACAAGCAAGAACACCATTCTTTTGTTCCAGCAAATCTGGACGGTTTCCACCTCTATAGTTCCCCCATTCCCCTTGCCTCAGTGGTGGCTCATGGCCAGTATCTTCCTGCTGGGCATCAAGTCTGACTGTAAAAATGGCTTGCGGTGGGCCACAGCACAGCAAAGAGTCAGGGGTCAAGAGCCAGGGGAAGAAATGGGGTTGGGCATTAAGTGCACAGTTCTTGCCCTCAAAAAAGTCCCATCTGACCTAGAAGCCTTTAGAGGACGTCCAGTTTGGTGGTGGCCACTGGCCAGAGTCACTCTATAGCCCAGGACCATTCAGGTTTCATGGAACCATGGGACAGTGGAGTTGGAAGGGGTCAATAAAGCCACCGGGGCTGCCCCTTTGTGCGGTTGCCCGAACCTCTGGTGGAAGGGGCAAAGCCATGGAGGTGACCCTCAGCATCTCCACACATGACATGCTCTTCTCCTCCAATCTTCTCACACCATGTGGGAAGCTCTAAAGAAGAATCCAAGCACATCTGCCTCTTCAGAAGTGGGAATCTTCTAAGGCAGCTTCCCCAGTTGCAAGCTGAGGCAAATTCAGCAGGGGGCTTGAGAAAGCCACCATCGGTTGTTCCTCAGAGAAGGAAGCCAGAAGGTGGAGCCCATGAGCATGAGGACACAGGAGTGAAGCCACTAGATGTGATTGATCTCCTACCTCCACAGGTTCATGCAATGATACCTTGGTAGGACTATGACCATCCAAGATCATCTTCACTTTCTCCCCATGTGGGTTCTAGCTAATACCTATAGGTCCTACCACTGAACTCAAATTTAACCTCTTAAACTTCTCCAGCCTGTCCCCGCCCAACTGTATTGGACTACAATTCCCACTGTCCCAGGCTAGCTATGACAGCAACTTCATTGGCTGGAAGGCATGGGAGTTGTAGTCCCACACATCTTGGGGGGGGGGATGCCAGGATGGGGGAGCTTGATATTTGATTAGCATTTATAAATTCTACCATTAGTTCAATTTAAGGGTTGCTAAAGACAAATCCATTTCCATGAGACATACTTGCTTTGATGTAGAATCAAGTTACTTACTCCTCTCTGCTGGACGGTAGGCATTCTCTTCGTGCTGTAAAGATGGCCAAGAGGCAAGATAGTTTATAGGAGAGAGAAATAGGAGGAAAGAGTTATGCACTTTCCTTCCTTTACACTGAATTAGGCCTTATGGATTATTTCCTTTGAGATGAGCTTCTCCCCTCTCTAGGTTATTCATTGCACCTGGCAAACATATTCCTGTAATGTTTTTTGGATGTTGCCCCATGGATTGTGGAGTCTGATATGGCATCTTGACGTGTGTATTTTTTTAAATGGGAAAGTTTGAACAATGTTATGGGCACTTATCTAAGGAGGACTACAGAAGAAGCTGGACCAGCATGATGAAAGTCCAGCCCATGAGTGGGATGAAGTCTCTCAGGCCTCTGTATCCAGTCAGAACATCCTTTGTGGCGCCACTGGAGAGAGAGGGCAAGAGGAAGAGGAGGACAGGGCAAGAAGAAGAATAAAAAGGGAGTGAGAAGAGAGGGACAAAACAGAGAGAAAGTGGGGGAAGAGAAAGGAAACAAGGAAAAGAGAGAGAGAGAAACAGAGAAAGAAAAGAAAGGTGGGGAAGAGAAGAGATAAAGGGAGAAGGAATATGGGAGAGAAAGAGAATGAGGGAGAGGAGGGAAAGAAGAGGGAGAGGGAGAGAAAAGTAAAGGGAGAGAAAGGAAAAAGAAAAGAATGAGAAGAGGAGGAAGAGACAGGAAAAGGGGAGTGGAGAAGAGAGAGAGGAGGAGGGAGGGGGCGGCTCTGGCTCCTACCCGCCACAGGCATGTGAACCTGACGAATTTGTCCAGAGGAATATGCCCCACCAGGGAGAACATTTCGCCACTCCACCGTGGAGGGAAAGGGTGGGGAAATTCCCACAAAGTGCATGGCATCACTTGCTCTTGAGTTGCCTGGCCTTCTTGGCTAAAGATCTGCTCCATGATTTCGGGTGGGCTGGGCTACCTCCAGTCACTCCCATTCCTGGCCTCCAGGAGTTAACATCTGCAAAGCTGACTCTCTCACAAGGCTGCCCAGGTCCAGGCCAGTGGGATGCATAAGGGTGCATAAGGAGGGAGATGCATTGAGGGACACGGAGCACGAGGTGGGCAGGAGGCTGGTCAATCATGCCCATTCAGGCAACAAGTTAGTTTCATTCCAGGTTCTTCTTCTTTTGCTTTGCCTTTTGGTCAGACTTAATTGAGACAAATAAAAGGATTCCAGGTTCAAAATCAAGGCCGAAGGAAGGAAGGGAGGAGGAAAGGATGAAAAACAAAAAAACTAATGTACTGGATGGAGTTTTCTGAAATTCCAAACCTTGTATGCCACCCTATGAGGGCAGTTCTTTCCTAATCCCAGGGGTGGAGCAATAGCTCGCAATAAATTGTACATATCTTTATAATGAATCCGGCAACTGGAAAGGAAACAGAATCATAAGTTATGGCAAAATTTTCATGGGAGAGATTTCTTCCCAGATCCTCGTACCAACATGGTAAAAAAGGAAGAAGAAGAAATGTGATGGCAATTTTACATTCTGGAGCATTTCCAGTAAAGAATGAACTTCCAATCTGGGCCAAGGAAGGATCGTTTTTGGAACCACAGTAAAAGAACAAGATCTTGTAGCTCTAAAAATATCTCAGCACAATCCATATGCACGTATACTCAGAAGTTCAGTGGGACTTTATCCATCTCAAGCTGGCCGGCCTTCATGCGTCAACTGCAGCCTTAATATCGACTTACTGTTGGTTTTGTAAGTGGTTTGATTTAAAATGTTTATATTTAATATAAACTTTCAAAATCAAGCCAATATCCATTTTGCCTTTTCAGCATTAGAAATACTCTCCAGCAACTTCACCCAGCCTAATGCATTCCAGATGTTCGACTCCCATCAGCCATAATTAGCATGATCTATGACACAAGTTATCATACCATCATCTGGAGGACACCAAGATGGAGGTCCGATAGAGGAGGTCGTTCTGCTGCTACAATCTAAATGATAGTAAACCAAGGAGATTGGAGGTGGAGGTGGAGAGGATGGACTATTTCTCGATGGGACAGCTTCATCATGTGAAGTTGCAGATCCATCATGTTCCCTTCAGAACATGTCTAGCTTGAGATCTGAGATGATCAATTCCTGCATGTCAACCTTCAGGGCCCCAAACAGTTTGGGGTGTAGTGGCTATTTGATGGACTACATTGATCTTGCCTAACACCAGATATGGGAACTCTGGGTCCCGCCAGCTGTTGCTGGAAAAAAGCTTGCACAATCCATTGCCATCAATTTTGCTGGCTAGGGCTGATAGGAGTGGTTGACCAACATCATCTGGAAGGCCCCAGGTTGCCCATCCTGTCCTGTGCAATGGTCCTACTTGTCTCTCTCTGGTTGGTTGGTTCCTGAGAAGAGATGGAGGCTTCTTTGAGCTAGATTGAAGGGCTTTCTGAAGCAAGATGCCATCAGGGATGTCCTCCACCTTGGCTGTCCTACCCTCTCTTTAGCCTTTATCTTTATTCTGCTTTATCTGCATGGACAGCAGGCATAACACTATCTTCTCCATGTTAGGAACCTACTACTGAATTCAGTCAGAATTTTGACAATTTTGTTCACGTCTTTTATGTTTTAAATAACAGCTTACCAAAGTTTCCAGAGTTGTTCCTTCCATGGAATTAAAAGCATTTGAGATACAAACAAAGTTCTTTGGGGACAAAACTAAACTGACAGATTCACTTTTTCCTTGGCTTAGAAGATGGTTCCAATTATATTGGTGGCATAAAGCATTACTGGAGAAATAGTGACTCCATAGAAATGAATGGTAACATGTCAGGTGGGTTCACCATGGAAACATAATTATATCCTTGGCATTTCATGCTATCACCTATAAGCAGAGTGGCTTTTTCAGCTGGCTGAAAAAAACACATCCTCAACACAATGGATAAATAGAAACACATTTAGGGGGAAAGTGTTTGACACAGCAGCTAAGTTTAGGCAAAGCTCAAATGCTAATGTTCCAAATGGACAAAAGCAGATCCCCTGCTTAATAAAATTGCCTTCCTTCCATATTAATGGATATGGAGATGAGCTAAATGAATAACTTCCAATCAAACCTTTAATTAACACTAAACAGAGTGGGATGCAAAGTGGAGAGTTCAATTTATGTCCCAGGCCCAGAGGGCAAACTAAAGGCAAAAAGGTATTTAGGCTGGATTCTTGCTGGGAACAACTGGGAACAACTCCAAGTGAACTCAGTGGGATTTACTTCTGAGCAGACATGGATAGGATAGTGCTGTAAATCATATTTCTAGAAATCACACGACTGTTTCTAGGCAACACCAGGCAACTTGTTCTCTCTCTCTCTCTCCCAGTGCTGTTCACATCAAGTTTCCAAGTCACAACTGTAATTTAGTTATCTTCCAGGTGCCATGAGCCTCCTGCTCTGTATTCATTGCTCTCCCGTGATTTCCAAGCACCGGCAGATCCAAACAACCCCAGTCATTTGTGTGATTTAGTGCACGGCCAATTTGCTCAAGGGAAATTCTTCTAGGCCACCTTTTTCCAACCTGGTGCTCTGCAGACGGGCTGGGCTGGGCTGGGCTGGGCTGCCCTTTTCCCCAGCCAAGAATGGCCACGCAGACCGGGGCGATGGCGCAGACTGCACCAGGTTGGAAAAAGCAGCTCCTAGCGTCCGTTGCATCAAGATTCGCCACAATATAGTGTCATTGGAGCGCATCATTGGAGAGGCGGGAGTAGAGGTAGAAACCATCTTGTGACTTTCCATTTTCACGCAGGGTTCTTTTGGGTAAGGAAGTCACCAAAAGAGGTGCAAAGGTGTGTCCCGCTAAGCTAAATGCAACTTGCCTTCTGGGAAGTGTGATTAGGATTTCAGCCTTGGACTGTATTATTACACACCCTTCCCGGAGAGTAGGCCTGTCGAGATTAATGGGGCTTACTTCAGAGTAGACACCCATGAATTGCACCATCAGTCTCTTAACAAGTCAACCACAGGAAGACAAGATTCAGGCACTGAAACAGTCAGTAGTTTGAGGGATGTCTGATCAGAGAACAGGTGCCACGTTTGTCCAGAGCAATTTCAGAAGAATGAGATACTGGGCACAGAGAACATACATACCAGGCGGCTGGGTCATATTCTGCCCAAACGCGAATGAACTCATCGAGATGGTGGGGTCCTAGGATTGAAGAGTCTCGTGTCAAGTACTCAAAGTTGTCCATGATTACAGCCACAAATAGGTTCAACATCTGCAGAGGGAGGGGGGAAGCGAGGAGAGAAGTCCAGGGTGGGGAGAAGGAAAGGCATTAGCTTCTCCTGTGCATGAATGCAAACTTCCAGAGCAGTGACTTGCTTCCAGAGTGGCTTTGCTGTTGAGTCAGCAGTAGGGGAAGGTGTGGTTGAACCGCAGCTCAAAAGGCGAGGGATGATGGAACTTCCAGTCCAACTTCTGGAGGACCAGATATTTTCCATCCCTGCATGAGTTGGGGATGGGAGCACCATTGGTGCTTTTTTCCTCCTCTTGACTATTAGCTTCTGACTCAATTAGGTCCTCATGGATAAATGCAGCAAAAGAGCATTCAGAAAGCCATCCATTTCCTTCCCAGAAATTTAGATGGGGGTACCTTGCCTTCAGCCCTAAGGGTTGCAGTTTGAGTACATCATGTTAGTTCCCTGTCTACAGGAATAACATGTCCCATTAAGTTCTGTACACATTCAGCAGAACTATGTATCTTGCCAGTGCATTTTAATAGGCACCCATGGGTAATATGGGGGAGGTAAAAGCAATCCACTGAAGGAACCAGCCAATGGGGAATGCTTAATATTTGGAAATAAGAGATGCAATCACAGAGTACTCTTTTTGCCACTTCAGAAACAATAATGGGTCAGTCTGAACGCTGGATCCCAGGGAGAAACTTGCATGAGGTTAATTCCAGGAGCATCATTATCTACTACCCAGGTGCCTTTTTATATGGACCTTCTTCAGCAAGGACCATCAGCTCGGACCTCCAGCTGAGATGGCCAGGAAGTTGAAAGGGAATGTCCAGACGGTGAGTTATCAGGGAATCAAGGGAATGTCTCTTGATGGTGAGTTACCAGGCTTGGAACCTGTTTCTGCTGGGTCTACCAAAGCTTCATCAAAGAGGAAGTTCTGGTACAAGGCAAGCCGAAACATAAGAGCATTTTATTCCAGAACCAAAACTCTCCCAGCTATATAAGAGCAATGGAAGATTCAGATCCAGGTAGTCAAGTTTGGAGGAGATCCATTGAACAATTTAGGTGGCCACAGGCATCAGAAAGTCTGCTCAAAGTATGACCACATCTGGAACCATCCCAAAAATATAATGTTGCTCTTTTAAAGCAAGGGATCCCAGGAAGAACCATCTCATTAAGTCATGTAGTCTGGAAAAAGCTTCACAATCACCGTGAGAATGAAGCCAATATGTGCAAACTCATCAAATTAAGAAATCATCTTACCACCCCAAGAGCATTCCCCCAAAAGCTACCATTGAGATGCTTTGGACCACAATTACCATGTGTCAGCCATTGGTCATACTGGATGGGGATTATGGGACTTGGAATTCAGAATGTCTAGAGGGTGCCACATTGAGGACCCATGAGCAGGGAGAGGAGGGGAAGGGAAGGCTATTTTGGCCAGGGAAGGAGAGGGCAGGAGGAGCTGGGGAGCTAGATCTGGGTGGCAAGACATCTAGTGGGAGGGTGGACTCACCAGAAAGGAGCAGAGGAAGATGAAGGATACGAAATAAAAATATGCAAAGTCGCTTCCACATTCGTTTTTGCTGAGATTGGAGCTCTCGTCACATGGCTGGTCGCTCAGGCACGCGAGCATGATTTCGTGCCAGGCTTCCCCTGTGGCACTCCTGCTCACAGAGAGAGAGAGAGAGAGAGCGAGAGAGAGAGAGAGATCACAGGAAATTGCATTATGCCAGGTCAGCTCCCTGGTCCCACTAGGCTCTATTTCACCCGTGCAGCAGTTGTCTGGGGAGTCCGAAAAGAATCTTCCCCTGCCTGGGGACTACTGAGTATTGTCCTCGTAAAAGCAAAGCAAGATTTTGGTCCAAATTAGGACCACAGAAGGGAGCAAAGGGTGAAGGAATCCTTTCCTCACCACGCAGTCGAACCATGGAATTCACTTCCACAAGACTTTGTGGTGGCCACCGATTTGGTTGGGTTTAGATAGCGATTGGCCAGATTCATGGAGGAGACGACCATCTATGGCTACAAGCCCGAGGGCTGCGTTCCACCTCTGCTACCAGAAGCAGTGTGCTTCTTGATTCCAGTGGCTGGACAACATGGCTGGGAGAGGGCTGTCACGCACGTGTCCTGCCTGAGGGGACCTGAGGGCAGCTGGCCGGCCGCAATGTCAACAGGAAGTTGGGCTGGATGGACCCTTGTCGCCACAGCAGTTTGATGGACACGAAGGCCCAACTATCTGGGAAAATAAGCCCATCTTCCCTGGCACTGAAAGGATGAGTGCTGGTACCAGACCACCTGTGTTGGGAAAATTGCTCCAAATATGAAGGCCTCCCACTTGATCTGTGGATCCAACCCAGCGCAAATGAGGCCCTAATCCAGCCTTCTGAACCCTCCCCAGAGGACTATGCCCTTCCTTGGCTCCACTGCCTTCCCACTGACCATGAACTGGTCAAGGGCTTTCCAACTTTTTCATGTTTCCTTTCTGTTCTACAGGATTGGAATGATGCTCTCAAAGCTCCGTTAGAAGTGCTCCCTTTCGCCTTTGGTGCAGTTCACACTGGTCTGCTCACTGCAAGAGCCTTAAAGCTGAAAGAGGTTGGACACCCACCAGTAGAACTTTTGCAAAAGACGTGACTGCATCCTTGAATGATTACAAATAAGGGATTCGTTCTGTCTACCTGGAGCGAAGGTGGCATGCAAGGAAAAACAACTCCCATGCTCCATTTATATTCATGAAACCCAAGATCAAAGCTTTGGCTTCACCTCCGCCCCCTCCAGGCACTAATTGTTTCTATTGACCATGTTCAGACAGCTTGCGTTCATTAACATTTTGGGATTAATGATGATTAATTATTCATCCCTGGTAACTGTTGATTAACACAAATTCTTTATATGCACAGAACCTAATATAATTTGATGCGGCCTTCTATTTTCTCTGAAGAAACTGGGCTCATTGCCTGCCAACCTGCCAATTTTCTCTCCCAGTGAGATTTAAGACACAGATCTTTGAAACAAGTTCATGCTCACCTGTCATAAAGCTGTCCTGACTGGATACCCTATGGATTTTTGTTAATTTAGTCCACATATCTGACTAGGATGCTGCAAGAGCATTCAAGTCCTCTAGGTGTAGGAGCTCCGTAGGCCCATTCCACTGAGCACAAGAAACTTCTTGTGATCTTTGGGCTAAATGCATAAGGATCTAGAAGAGAGTTGGGTGGACAGGAATGTTGGGGGGCCAGAGCTTACAAGACTGCCCTCAACCCACTGGGAGTTTTGGTCTACCTTGTGTGGTAAGCAGACACTTCCACAGGACAAATGTTGAGGAAGACAACAGTGAACGATACAACAGGGAGACTTGTCCCACTGGAATTGCCAAGTCTATCAATAGCTTATCTGGGCCATGATATCTACATTCCTCTGAGTATTAGTTGCCAGAAAGAACATTGGACAGAACACCACAAACCTTCCTGTCCAGTGTGTGGTGTGTGGTTGGGGCTTCTAGAAGATTTAGGACTTTCTCTAGTCTAAACTTATACCTGATTTCATCCAAAAACAAGAGACCCAGAAGGTTTTTAAGGCTGCCTGGTGGAGACAGGGAAAATAAAAACAATCCCTCTGGAGGCAGTGGAAAAGTACCAAGAAAGAGTAGGGCATTCTGTTTGCCCAGTTCTCCCTTCCACTCGGGGGTCAGGAATTTATTTCCCCCCCACCATGCCCAAGGGAGAGCTGGGATTAAGAAAAGCAAGCACAATGGAAAACAACAACAACAACAACAACAAAAACACATCCAAACCGTTGATTTAGTGGAGCCCACCCAGCCTGCGGAAGAGCAGAAAAGGGGGGAATTTACCCACATGTCCATTCCAAATGTATCATTCCAAATGGACAGAGAAGCATTTCAAGGTTGCAGTGGATTTCTCTGCCCACGATACATTTTTAGAAGAGTCTCCTGGGTTTCCCTTCAGCCTCTTCTCCTCTCCAAATGGAGGGGTGTTTTCTTGCAGGGAAATATCTCAGATCAAAAGAATTCTCAAAGAGAAGTTCAAGGAGGGTGAGGTGAGGTGAGCATTGGCTGCTCTCTAAAGACTTGCCAAGCTTTGAGGACACTGCTGAAGGGTGCTGGGTTTTGTTTTTTTGGAGTGGTGGAATGAATTCCTTCTAACTAGATATTCTTTGCAAGAACCTCAGTGACGTAGGAAAAAGTTTGCAATTTTGGTGACACCTAAAAGGCTAGCTTCTCCCTTATTAACGCAGTTACACATTCTGTGGGAAAGCTTAGTGAGAGTACTAATGGGGGGGGGGGATTTATTTATTTAGCATATGGCATACATGGCCAGGGAGTCTACAATGCTGTTACACATGGTAGATATTCTGGCAGCCTAAGAGGGCCAAATTAGCTCCTTCTTTACTGGTATTTGTGCATGCAATTTCACTGTCCTTTGGGTTCCGTTCTTTTCCCACCCCACCTGACTGCTGATTTCGGCTCACTTCATATGACTCTTTCAAATGTTTGATTGCTTTATAGGGGAGCTGCTTTGAGGCTTCCGTGAGAGGCCAAGAAGTGGGGGATTAACAAACATAACATTAGCAAATTAACAAACAAGCGCAGTGACAGAGACCTGCAGGAAAGGCTGTCGAGCAAACACTGGTCACTGTTACTTTGCTGTGACCTGCCCTGACGAGATGCTTGATCTTGAGAAGGAGCAGATTCATTCTACACAAAGCCCCACAGGGCAAGACTGACAACGGTTTGGAATACAGACAGGTGGGCACTCATTTACCGGAAAAGCAGCATCAATGCTTGCAAGAATGTTTGGAAGTTATTGTGTCGATTGATGGCGTTGTCATCATTCAGGGCAATGTTTCCGAATACCTGGAAGGGAAGAAACAACCAAGCCAAGGTGAAAGCGGTTCTCCTTGCCTGCCGTCACGAGAACCGTCAACAGGGATGGGAAAAAACACCGCACATGCCAAACAGCAGCCTATCACTCATACAGCCTTCACCAGCTTGGTCCCCTTCCGGGTGAGTTGGACTGCAACTCCCACAATCCTCGTCCCAAACAGGCCTTCGCGACAGGACGGCATATAAATATTCTAAATAACTAAAATGAATAAACAAACAGGGACGGGAGTTGCAGTCCAATTTATCTGGAAGATGCTTTATTTGGGAAGGCTGGCTGACACATTTGCGTGCGTGGCAAGTCCAGGGCCTGAATGTCCAGCGAGAGCCCTAGTGGAGATGTTCTTGTGCGATGTGGCTTCTGGTGGGAAGCTGGGAAAATGGATTTGCTCCACTTCCTCTTTTCTGCTGCAGGCACCCCACTCAGGAAAGACATGGGAGGTAGGGATGGGGAGGCACTGGAATCACTGTGTGGACAGTGATTTGCACTGTCCACACTTATCTTCAAACCGGAATGTAATTATCCATCAGTTTTTCCATTACTCTGAATTTTGTGAGATTGTTCACTGATTACAAAACGCATGCCAAATGCGTAAGTTGGGCGAAATGCATAAGTTGGAAGCCAGGTGCTGGCTAGATATCAGGAAAAGTTTCCTGAATGTTAAAACAGTACGACGACGGAACCAATGACTTTGGGAGTTTGTAGGCTTTCCCACACTGGAGGCATTCAAGATGCAGCCAGACAGCCGTCTGAGAGGGATGGTTTAACTTGGTGAGCACTGGGCACTGATGGCCTTCTGGTCCCACCCAACTCTATGATTCTATGATAAGGCCTTGCTCCAGATTGGGGACCGCATAACTGCCATTTGCACTGGGGAAAGACCTCTCTGGAAATGGGAGGTTTTTCCCCAATGCACATTGCAGTGTGTAAGTGTGCATCAAAGGATGGGCAAATTGTGCGAGGGGGTGGCACATGTGTTTGTGCATAAGAGAGGGGAGAAGTCAAGTGTATCTCTGACCACTTTTGATTCTGCCCCCACCCACCCCTGGCATGCAATCCTTGATATGTTACCCATGGAGAAATATGGCCCTGGGGCAGGAAGAATCTCCACCTTAGAGTTAACCTGAGGATCAGAAGTGCATGTGATTGGAATGGGTTCCAAAAAGAAGGCAACCAAGATAGGGGTACAGAAAACCAGCCCTGTGAGGGAAAGAATGAAGGAACTGGGTGAGTTTAACTTGGAGAAGGTGGAACAGGACCATGGTAGCTTTCTTCCAGTCCTTCAAGCCTAAAGAAAAAATAATCCTCTTCCCCCCCTGACGGCAGCCTATGGTTCCAGGAGACGACATTTTGGCTGGACATTAGGAGACCTGTCTTGATGAGAAGGGCCGTTCATTCATGGAACCACGGAGCTAGGTTGTAATACAGGGTCTCTTCTGGAGCTTTGGAAGCAGAGACTCAGACAGCCAACTGCTGGAAATGCTCCTCTTCTGGTTTTCCTCTATCAAGCCAAGGAGTGGGCTAGATGATCTTCAATGCCCTGTCCAACTCTAGCAGTCATTGTGGGACTCTGCCAAAAAGCATTCATTGCAGCAAGGGGTGAAAATGGCCACTCTCGGAAATGGGTTTAAAAACAGATTAGACAAGTAAAGGAAATTTGAGCCGTGGGTTTCACCATTCATAGATAAACAGGAACTCCACATTCGGAAGTCGAAGGGAGTGTTGGCTTCTCTCTGTTGCAGCCCCCCATTTACCTGCATGCCAATAATGGCATAGATGAAGAACAGCATGGCTATTAGTAGGCATACATAGGGCAAGGCCTGTAGGGGGGGAAAGGGATCACATAAGTGTTGACAGTAAGACGCACAACTCACATGATTGCATTTTGCACACAACCACAAGTGAACAAGGACCCCACACATGCTGTCATACGTGATGTTCCCCTCTCTCCCTCTGCATGTGTGCATGTGTTTATTCCCCACTTCAGCATTCACACAACCTGTGAGAAAGCCAAAACATTGGTGGCAGTGGGGTGGGAGAGCTGGTGTGTAGATCTGCACTGTGCTTCTGCTTGGAGTAAAGGAGCAGAGGAGGGCACCTCTTGGTCAACAGGTGCGGCATCACCAACCCGCAGGAACGCAACTGCTTTATGATTGCAGGCCCATAAATGCACGTGTGGGGCTAAATTAAACTCTGACCATAAATTAAGCAGAGACTAACAGTTGTATTGATCCCCGAAAGGGAGAACAAAACTGAGGACTGACAGACCTCCCTGGCATGGAGAGCCATTCAACGTGGCATGTGTGTCTGAAACACACCTTGGAAATGATCCTAGGTTGAACCATTCCAGAAGGACGTTTCTTCTCAATCGAGTCTCCCCATTAAAACAAAAACATAGAAACTGAGCAAGTCAGAAGGGGTATCCCAAGCCATCTAGTCTGACCCCTGGCTCCAGCCAGCTCCACTCCTGACACGCCTACCACGTGCCTACCTAGTGTGTTTGAGAGTGAAGACCAGACACACAGGTGTTCAAAGAGGTTCAAATGGGGGACCTTTGGGAAACATCTCGACTTGCGATGGTGGCCACCATCCTCTTCAACTTGATGCTGCCTAACAAAACTGCGAACTGGGAGACCTCCCTGGTATGGAGAGCAATTCAGTGTGGCATGTACATCACATGGAAATCATGCTAAGTTGAACCATTCCAGAAGAACGTTTCTTCTAAATCAGAAGGATAGGTGATCTCCATAAAAAAATAACCTAGTGTGAAGACCAGACACGCAGGTGTTCAAAGAGGACCTTTGGGAAGCATCTCGACTTGCGATGGTGGCCACCAACTTCTCCATCTCTATGCTGCCTAATAGCCAATGCTGCCTGGACAGATCACTGCAATTCTCAGGTCTGCCATTGCCTCACCTTGAAAGACTGGACAAAGGTCCACAGGAGGATCCGGATGGTGTAACCCTGACGAAGAAGCTTGATGAGTCTTGCAGCCCGGAAGAGGCGGAGGAAGCTGAGGTTGATGAAATTGTCCTGCGGAGAGGAGAAGAGTTTTGTGTCCTTCAGACACGGATGCGATCAGAAGCCGCAGCCCGCAAAAAAGAAAAGAAAATTACCAGCTTCGCGTTCTAAGCAGCAAATCGGCCACCAGAAAACCTTCCAAAAGAAACATTTGTCAGTGCAGGTTACTCCACATGCAGCATGTATTGAGAAAACCCCTCTCCACAAGAGTCCCTCCCTCGGCTGCAGGAGGAAGGCAGCAAAAAGGTGGCAGGGAGGGAGAGAGCGCCCTCCAATGGACTCTTGTTTTTCTGCACATCAAGGAAAGGCAATGCGGTAGAACTCTTATAATCTGCAAAGAATAATGTGGCTTGTGAACAACTCTAAAACCCCAGGGAAGCTAAAAGCAACATCCCGAGCATCTTCTGTGACAAAGGAGGGGATCAGGCAAGCTGACGTAAATGCCCTTTCAGTTGGGAAGATTAAGTCAACACCTGGACGGAGTTAAAGGGCAAAGCTCCATTGAAGTTAATGGGAGTTCTCCAAGAAGGGTCTTGACTAGGAAAAAGGAGAACAGCCCAGGCCTAGCGCACACAATCTTTAGAATTCTTAAACTCTCTCAACTCCAGCTGGGAGCACCCGTATAACTAGGAGAGTGTTTTAACAACTCAGTGAACATGGCACTTTTAAAGGTCACTGGAAGCTATGTGGAAATTGAGCTTTGACCCCCCTCAATTTATTTTCTTTTGATCAACACGGGTCATCCAAAGCTCTGGCCCAACAAGATTGACCATAGAATCCCCCACTTTTCTAGTGGTCAAATAATCCCTCAATTTGTTTTGAACCCAATTCTTCGGAACAGGAAGTAGAAGCAACTTATTTGCAGGACATTTCCATTATTCAATGCCCACTTCAGCTTTGCATTTCCTCTATCAGCAGAGGGCTGGGTATCACAGTCAGAGAGAGGCCTTGTAGGTCAAGCTAAGCAGATCTAACTCTTCTTTTCTCCCCGCCCAGTCGCGTCCCTTGCTAGCGGTTGCCTCTTGAGATGGAAGCTCCCCCACCCCACGTGCCTTGCTAACATTACACAGGAGGCCCATGGCTTGATGCACCCATTCATTCCAATGCCAGCCAGCTGAGGTTTGCAACTGTGCCACATTCCACTGGTACTGTCAAAATTCAAGAAAACCAGCTGTTGGGCATGCATTTAGCTATGGTGGCTTTTTATTTTCCAAAGACAGAAGCAGCTCAGAGTTGGGTGTCTATACTCCACATCATCAGATCAATTGTCAAATAAAGACAAAAGAGAAAAGCTAAACAATGTCCACCGAACGAGGAAACACGTCTAAAGCAAGCTCACAGCAAAGCAAAGCAGGAACCCAAAATTCTCCCAGGCTGCTCAGGATGGACCACTGGGGGAGTGAGAATTTAGAACACGTGCTACATGGCACCCTTCAGCTGTTTGGACTACAACTCTCAGCAGCCACAGCCAACATGGTGAATGGTCAGAGATTTTGTGAGGTGTAGTCCAAAGCATCTGGAGGTATCCAATTGCCAGCCCTGGATCGAGATCTTGGTTCATTTATTTGGCAATATCAAAGCAATAGTAACATTACATTTCACCCATACTACAAATTTAATTTCACATCCCCTCCTTGTTTAAACATTAGCTGTCCTTCATACTTAAAAAACAGAGTTTTCAATCAGCATTTAAAGACAACATTTAGGAGAGGTGACAGATAGGTGGATTCTGAGTATGCACCTATTTTTTAATGAATGGATTTACAAGACATTTAATCTTAAATGGTCACCACAGAAGCCGGCGGAGCCTAGATGCCTCTCATGAATCAAAAGCTTTGCCTGATTTAAAAAGTCTAAGCAATGGTACATCTTGGTAATTTAAGACCCAGGATGTAATAGCTTTAAAAGGACCTCACTTTAAGCAGGCAGAAGTATTACATCCGTTACAAAGCCTACAATTAACATTTCTCTCCCCTCAGCTCCCTTGCTAGCTGCACCACTGGCGATTTAAATAAAGCATTCCACAATCCAAAATGGCAACGTTAGCGCTCGAAGGCAAGCAAGCCCGGGTCTAAAGTCAAAGCGGCCACAGTGGAAAAGGAAAATGTCTGCAGGCCAAATTGAGATCCGTAACCAGGAGGTCAAACTCTTTGACCAGTGGCTGTTAAGCGAGGGAGAGAATAATTTCCCTGCAATACTTTCAGCACAACCTAGAGGAGATGAATTCAGCTACTGAATTATATGCAGAGATTTCCTGATTTGGAGGCCAATGGGAGGGGAAATGCCTATCTCAATCCATCACTTGCCTTCCTATTCACTACCTTTCTGTGATCAATTATCTGCCCTCCAGAGATGACATCGAAAGAGGAGGTTGGCAGCAGCCTTGGAAAATCAGGGTTGGTAACATTTTAAATGCTGCGCTCAGCACCGGTTTGTAGGAAATATGGCACACAGAACTGACTCATACAACCCAGAAAATGGGCTAACCACTCCAGCAAGACAGCATACACAAAGAAGGGAAACTCAACACCTGCATTCCTGCTCCCCCACAAAATTCACCCTCCAATCGGTTTTGGCAGGTCGTGGGATTTGGTTTTTGTCTGACCAAAAACAACAGATGTTCTTTTCAACTGGCATGCCTTCTCCTCTCCCTTCCTTTCCTTGCTCAGGTCCACACAAAGGATGTGAGCAAATATTTAAAGTGTAGCGCCGATCTTCTAAACATTGCTCAGCCAAAATCCCTTCATTTAAAAGGTGCAGGGAGGGAGGGAGGCAGGAAACTGAAGGGGCGTCCGACCTAGGAAACCATCTCTGTGTTTTGGAAATGTGGCCTTGATCTCCCTGCTAGCGTTTCCTCAAGGTAAGGTTGTAGCTCGAGAAGAATCAATATGGTTCACCAGCAAAGCACTAATACAGTTCTGAATGCCAATTCAATAGTGGTACCTATCTTTCCCCCAGATCTTTTCCCTTTCTTGCCCATGTAGTATCTGAGTGTCTGTGATTCCCACAAGTAAAACATGAGCTTTAAAAGCCCCAGAAATCTTTTTTCTGGACTCCTTTTCCCTGTGGCAATAGAATAACATGTGCCAGTTTGGAAAGCATTTCAGAGAAGACACCTTATCTTTAAACCTTCACTGGAGAACGTGCATCTGAAAAAGAGACATTCTTCTTGATGATGCTCAGCCAGCTTTGGAAACAACCTCCTGGGAAGCAGTTTGTTCTCTGCTCCATACTATTAGTATTTTTGTCCCTGAATTCAGAAATGGAATGAACCTTGCACTCAAAATTCATTTGGGTGCGCAGTTCCCTCTGTTAAATTTTCACAGCCGCATCCTGTTGTTCAAGAATACTGATTTTTTCCATCCGCTACAGTGGAACGGTCTTTGGTAAAACCAATGAAGCAATAAAGAGATTTTCAAATGGGAGTCCTCACAGCAAATTCATTCTCTGGGTGCTGATTCTTACATAGCTTGAACCCTGCCACCCGTCATGCAAGAGCGGGGCATCAGCGTGCTTGGGGGAACCCTACGTTTCGCAGACGCATTAAAAGTTGTCTGGGGAAACAAAGGCACCCCAGTGCTGGTTGAATGTCTCTGGAAGGGGATGCGGGGAACAGAATGGAGCGTCCTGAAGAAAGCTTCAGTGAGCTGGCTAGAAAACAAGGAACACACCCTGTAGGGCAACCCCCTACTGCACCCAGCCTGCCAGGAGAATTTCCCCTTGCATTAAAGATGGCAAGGAGGAGCCCTATATGGGCACGTTGAAGGCAAAAGCGAGCAAGGAGAAGATCGAGGCACACAATCTCGGTGATGCAGTTCTGCCCCGAGTTACGCAATGCAGATGTGAGTTTCCCCTCTTAGTTACAGAAAGCAGAGTGAAGGAAAAAGCTATTGGCAACAACGTCTGCATTTGCCACCGAATAGCCAACAGAAAGCTAATGGAACGTCAAGTCCAAATAGGAGACCCAGTGCAGGAGTACAGACAGAGAAGCTCCCCTCCCCATGCCGCATGGTGCAGTCCGAAATCTCAGACACAGGTAAGAGAGAAGTGAAGGGAAAGAAAACGTCCAGAGAAAAAGAAACGGAAAAGCGAGAAATCGAAAATTCTTTTGGTTAAAAAAAATTCAATGAAACCAACCGTGTCCTATATGTGATGTTTTCATGGATGGATATTTGCAAACGTTATTTACAAGTTTTTGAGTTTAGATAATTGTAATTTATTTGTTTTTGAGGAGCAGGCACGCAACACAGAGACGGAGACATGGTTTTTCGCATAGTATGTTGATTGGATGGCGTGATTCAGCAGGAAGGGGAAAAAGTAAAAGAAACAGAAAACAAAGAGAGAAAATGAGTCATCGAGACAAGCAAAGAACAGAAGCACTAAAAACTGTACTAAAGAGTCAGGTGCTTATAAAAAAGTTGTTATGTCTAACAATAATCAAACCTGGAAGGAAATACACTGCAATCAACTATTTGCATTTCGTATCGTAATGCAAATTAAGAGGCACTTCACAAATATCATTATCTGTCAATATATATGTGAATATATATATATATATGGGTGTGTTTTTTTAATTCCCTGGCAAAGGTAGAGATGTCAGTTTCAGAATTCGCAGACAGTAAACTTCTCCATGGACATATCAATTTAATTTTGATTGCTGCCTATAGTTTTTCCTACTCTTGTTATCCGGCCAGTTGATATGACAAAACCTGCATCCATTTCTATCCCTGTATGTGGTCTGTGGGAGCCGAGAGCATTTTGATAGTATCATCTAATATGCAGAATGTGTCCTATCAAGTCCCCTGACCTTCCCAGGGGACAATGCATATGAAACTGTACCTAAGAGACAATAACACCGCAAGTAACAGAGCACATGCACACATTAAGAACTGTGCTACAAGATTACGTGACCGGTGAAATATTCTTCCAAACACAAGGAGGACAATGCCCTCCACAACTAGAGTTTTCTTTTTCTGTGATCCATCGTATTTTTTAATTGAGCCACGTCAGCAAAATCTTGGCATCGGTGCTTATTTCAGGACACCAAAGAATGCATGTATCAGATAGAGTTCAGATTAATAAATGAATGCGGATTAATCAATGGCCATTTGGAACATTTTCTAGTAACACGTGAGAATAAAGCCGCTGAAGTTTCTGACCGTTCAAATCAGATTAAATTTTCTGGTCCCGTTTAAAACACTGGAGGTTTCATTGACTGATCTGCCCATGAAACCAGCGGCATCCCTGAACTTTAGAATTAAAAGAAAGTGAGCCCTGAACGTGAGGAACTGACATGCCTGCATGTGCCTAGAGAAATAAAAAGAAAGGATTCAAAGCATTCACAAAAGGGAATTACGTATATCACCACTACGAAGTCAAAGGAAAGCAACATCATCAACACTTCTTTTTCTTTTATCTTTACTCCTTGGCTGTTTTGCCTGTTGCTGAGCCACTTGGAAACAAGGCAGGGGAGAGCTGGTCTCCTTGGTTGAAGAAGAGGGGTTTGGGAGAGGAGAGAGAGTGACCTGCTCTGGGTTATCTCCTCTGAAGATGGCTCAGCTTCACCTTCCTGAAACTTGCCAGTTTCATTCTTTGTGAACGGGGAGCCTTGGGATAGGAACCAAAACTGGTGGTGCCCGTGCTAAGGGTTCACACATTCCAAATTCCAGGGTAGACATGACTAGGAGAACAGGGTGTCCAGGAAAAAGCAGGGGAAGGGGGAAGAAATGACCCTCCAGATCTTTGCTGCATGTTGTTGTTTTGCCGTCTGGAGAGGCACTGCATGAAAGACCAATTGTGCAGCAAGGGAAATAGAACATGTGACCACCAATGGCTGAAAATTTACTGCTCCCTTGGGGAGAGCGCCACTTCAAAAGAGAAGCGTTTCTGCTTGGAAAAACACCCCGTTGCAGCGTTTCTGAAACCACTGTTCCATAGCCATACATGGCTTCTGTCAAGCATTGGAGTTTAGTCATGGGACACAGCAAGGAGGGGCACTGGATGGGTTTTCAAGAACGGCCCTGGAAATGGCCCACTGCTCCAGCAGAACTGCTGTCCCATCATGCATGGAGCATATGAGAAGGTTGAGCTGGAGTGACAAAGTCACTCCTCGGTTTGTGCACCCACCGTTTGAGAGTCCCTTGCCCAAGCACCTGCCCCCAACATACACGCAAACATATTCTGGAGCCTACATTGACGGGGTTCACACAACCGGATAAGCACACTGGCTTTTGAACCCTGCCGGAGTGGTTAGCAACCCCCTGGCTTATAAGCCACCATGGGTTATTGTGCTGTGTGACCCCAGTCAAGGTGGCAGAGCTGACATATAACTCCCAGTCCACTCAGGGTGTCTAATAGGATTCGTTCTGGACAGAAATGCTCAAGGCCTGCCGGAACTGCTAGAAATGATTTCGTATAGACAAAAGAACAAGATTAGGAAAAAGCAAGAAAAATAACGCTTCCCCTTCCCAAAGCACTCCCCCGCCCCCCTCGCTAGGAACAAAGCCGAGGGACAGGGCAAAATGGCTTGGACACACGTGATCTGGAGGGCCACCTGCCCCTGTCCAAGCCTCAGGATCAACATCAAAGGCTCCCCACCAGCAACAGCCATGAGACAAGTGGGAAGCTCAGGAGGAAAACCAGGGACCCGTCCCAGCTTATCAGTCCTACGCATGCTGGAGAAGACAAGTTCCACCAGGCAGGGTGACGGTGAGCCAGAACTCAGGAACTGGCATCCAGCCCTTCGTCATGCTTGGAGCACCTGTTAGGGAGCTTCAGGTTTCAGCGCCATTTTCCCTCTGCAGGGAAGGGCGACATATTACAGCGGCTTAGCCAGGGAGGCCCATGGGTTCTGTAGGACCTGGAGAGCTCAGATGCTCCCATCAATGACTCGGGAGTTGGCACCTCGCAGCCACCTGCCACCTCCTTCTGGGTGGTGCCCAGCCAGTTCCTTGGTGAACCCTTGAGCTGAGGGCAAGAGGGGAGATAGCTGAAATGCAGGTGGAGGAAGACTTCTGCTGAGGCCAGGCAGACATGGCGGAAAGCGCTGTGGGTGTGCTCGTAGCACAGTTCGGGACTCATATCCTCCTCAGCGTAGTCCAGTGGAGCTTCCCTGGGGGAAGGTTGAAGCAGTGTGTGCGACCCTTTGAAGAGGAAGTGGCTCCCATCCATCATGACTTGAATTCCGCAGTTCCGGCAGCAGAAACATCTGGAGCACCATCTGTCTTAGTTTCACGATGTAAGCTTCAGTTCTGAGGCCTGAAGACGCAGACAAGGCGCTCAAACAGGTCCAGTCAACTGCTTGACCTTGGTCCTTCATGGTGCCCAGCTGTAAAGGTCTCCTTGGGAGGAGATGTGGCACCAGCCTCTGTAAAATGGGTAGCCCAGAAGACCATGACTGTAGCCTGGTTCTCAGCAGCCCCTTCCTGGGAATGGCGCTTATTCAGATGCTTGATGTGCAACTCCAGTCACCCAGAGATCCATAAAATAGTAGGGTGGGAAGGCCAAGGAGGCCATCAGCCCAACGCCCTGCTGGTGCAAGTTGCCAGTTACACCACCCCACTCAGATGGCTGTCCAGTGCGTTTCTGGATGCCTCCACTGGGGGAGAGCCCACCCCCTCTCTGGGCGACTGGTTCGACAGTCACACGGCCAACAGTGAGGAAACTTTTCCGGATACCTCACCTGAATCTGGTGTTCTGCAGTTTAAGTTTGTTGCTCCATGTCCTACGCTCAGGGATGAGTGAGAAGAAGTCTTCTCCTCTCTCTTTGTGACAGCCTTTCAGGTGCTTGCGGTCTTCTTGCAGCCTTCTCTTCTCAAGGCGAAACATGCCCAGGTCTCTCAGCCTCCCATCACAGGGTGTAGTTTCCAGAGCCTGGAGCATCCTCGGTGCCCTCCTCTGAACCCTTTCTAGTTTTTCTGTATCTTTTTAAAAACCTGGGTGCCCAGAACTGGACACAGGAGTCCAGGTGAGTTCTGACTAGTGCAGAGCAAAGGGGAACCGGTACTTCTCCTGTTCTGGAAGTGATGCTTCTTGTGCATCCTAAAATCGCGTTTGCCCTTTTGGTGGCTGCAAAACATTGCGAGCTCAGGTTTCTAGGTGAAGCTGTCTCTCCGGGTGCATCCAACTATCTTCAGGGCTGGTTTTGGAGTAGGAAGCATGGTGGGGGCCCCATGGAATGAGCTTTGCTGAAGGAAGCCCAGCGAGACCATGACCCCCTTGATTCTCTGGTTCCCCCTGGTGGCTTCTGGTACCACCACGAACAGGGCATTTTTCCAGAGAATTTGGCCAGCTGTCAATTCCAGAAGGTGGCACTGGAGGATCACTGCTCTAAGACTAAGGAGTTTCACTATGGGGTTTCCCACAGGACTCCATTTTAGATCCCACGATGTTCAGCATTTACTGTCAGAAGGGGGCTGCCTTCAAAAGCAGATCAGAAACTTCAGCTGGGGCAAAACTGGGCAGCAAAAGTGGAAACTGGCTAATATATTATTTGTTTTTCGGCGCCAGGCAAAGACCTTTTTATTTAAGCGGCATTTTAACTGTTAATATTATTGGATTTTATCTGGCCAGGGCGGCTTATTTTATATTGTATTTTTGTATTTTTATTCTACTGTTTATATTTTTTATTTAATATTATAATTATTTTTTAATTTATTGTTGTAAGCCGCCCCGAGGCTTCGGCGAATGGGGCGGCATAAAATGTTTTAATAAAATAAATAAATAAATAAATAAATAAACTCGGCCCCTCTGAGCTTCACAGGTTTCTAGTCCATTACCAGGGTGGTCTTCAATTTCAAAGTTCTAAATGGCCTGGGGCCAGGTTATTTGAAGAATCTCTTTCCGCTTATACCTGCCCAGAATGTAAGATCATTGGCACAGGCTTCCCCCTAGGCACCCTTCCAAATGAAGGAGGCGGGGATGCCTGTTCAGTGGTGGCTACCCAGAGAAGCCCCCGTGGCACCTACATGGAGGTTTTTTCAGCCCAGGGTGAAAACTTGCTCCCTTTATTTAATTTTTCCAGGCTTTTTTTGTTTTCTGTCTAGTTTTTCAATAGGCTTTTAAGCCTTTAATACTGATGCTGGCCTTCAAAATCATTTTTAATCTTGGTTTTATTCTCTTTACAACTTTTAAAGGTTCAATATATTTCAATTGAAAAAGTTCAATCTTTTATATTGTTATTTATTTTATATTGTTATTTTTATATTGTTATTTTTGTACTTTATCTTATGTTGTGAGCCGCCCCGAGGCTTCGGCGAATGGGGCGGCATAGAAATGTTTTAATAATAATAATAATAATAATAATAATAATAATTTTAGCATGTTGGATCTGGAGGTCTCAACTTTTGTGAAATAGTGGTCCCACAGACATCTGGAGTATTCTTCCCAGAGAGATACATAGAACTTTATCACTTCAGAATACACTGAAGATTATTTGTTGCAGCTTTCCGTTTGTGCTTAAGAATCAGCTGCTGACAGTGGTGGGTGGGTGGGTGTGTGTGAGAACGCTTCCTTGTTGTTGCAAAGTCACGTTTTCCTCAGATGGCGAGCTGCCTTGCAAAGGCCGTAAATCCAGAAAGGCAGGCTAAAAGCTCCTCATTAATTAATAACTATTAGGATTACTCCCAGTATTTCCCTTCAGCTTATAGCTGTGTTAAGCTCCACAAGCTGGGCTCACCCTTCCCCGCCCTTTGGGAATCCACATCGTACAATAATTTCTGAACACGCTGCTGGAGAGAGAGCTCAGCCGGATGCATTAAAAAACGAATAGTATTCTGGCCCCGAAGGATAGTGGTTCGCATGAGCCGTACTCACCGCAATCTCCGTTACTAAAATATCAGTAATACTTCCCAAGACAGTGACAAAATCAAAGATGTTCCAGGCATCTCGAAAGTAATTCTAGGAAATAAAACAAACAGCATAAATTCAAAGTGACCTGACACTACCAACTTCAGAGTGGTTTGTTTTTCATGCATATACCTCTGCCATACACACAGAGCTTAATAGGCAGAATGGATTTCTTCCGAACAGGAAAAGCTGTCAGAGCTCCTCTGGGTGTCTATTCTCTGCGATCTGAAATTCAGATCTGAAATTGTCCCAGCCTTGAAGAATGTTTGCATTGCGAATTTCAGTTTGTTCGGATTGGTTTTTTTTAACAGCTTCATGGAAAAGCAACCCTTTTTGTGCAAACATATCTGCATTTTATACACAATTTTATCTAATATATGTTTTTCTTGGGTCATTTTCTTAATAGAATGCACTTCTCTTCCTGAAATTCGGAAAGAAAACAAAGTGAAAGAACGGAGAATCTCAAACTGCACTGGCCTGGCTTCTGCTTTGGGAACACGACAAAGTCATTAAAGAACTCCCAGATCCAGGGAGAAATTCGGATTGGGGGGGGGGGGGCTTTGGAAGCAGCCCTGGAGGTGGCTAGGAAGGGAGAACAACATGGGCGATGAAAAAAGGCAGTTCATACCAGCACACCAAAGGCAATGATCTTCAATACACATTCCAGTGAAAACATAGATGTAAACACTATATTGAGGCATTTCAACATATCCTCATAGGGTCCTGGGGCACCGTAGAACTAAACAGAAAGGAAAGAAAACACATTACCAGATAGGGTGGTATGCAACCTCCACCCCGCCCCCTGCTTGTTAAATTGCAAAGCAATCGCAATCCTTCCTGCACCCACCCTCTCCTTGAGGAACCCCCATGTCTCCGCACATTTCATGCAATCATAGAATCATCGAATAGGAAGGGGCCATGGAGGCCATCCGGTCCACCCCCCTGCTGTTGCAGGACACCACATCACGCCATCCCACTCAGAGGGCTGCCCAGTTTCTTTTTGAGTGTCTCCAGTGTGGGAGAGACCATCACCTCTCTAGGTGGCTGGTTCCACGGCCATATTGCTTTGACAGTTAGGAAACTTTTCCTGATATTTAGCCTGAATCTGGGTTTTCAAAAACTTGACTATATTATTCTGAGCCCTACACTCTGGTACGAGTGAGATGAGGTCTTTTCCTTCCTCTTTATGTAAGCCTTTCAGTTACTTATAATGTGATATCATGTCCCCCCGTCAGTCTCCTCTTCTCCAGGCTGAACATGCCCAGTTCCCTCAGCCTCTCCTCACAGGGCAGCGTTTCCAAGCCCTGGATCACTTTTGCTGCCCTCCCCTGGACCCTTTCTAATTTTTCTGCATCTTTCTTCAATCTTTGTGCCCAGAACTGGACACAGGACTCCAGATGAGGTCCAGAGGAGAAGTACAGGGGAACTACTCCTTCTCGTGATGTGGAAGTCATACTTCTATTAATGCATCCCAAAATAGCATTTGCCCTTTTTGCAGCTGCATCACACGGTTGACTCATGTTTAGCTTGTTATCCCCAGTAACTCCGAGATCTTTTTCTTTCTGAGTTCTGCTGAGCCACGTATCCCCTGGTCTTGCATTGGTGCAGCTCGGTCTCTTTCCTAGGTGGCGGATGTGGCTCTTGTCCCTATCGGATCGCAAACTTGTGCCACTGAGGTGTGGGTGAAGCATGTCCCCCCTTTGGCAACAGGCCTGCAGCCACAGCACCGACCTTCATCATCAGTACAATGGTGTTGAGGGCAATCATGACCATGATGAAATACTCAAACGGAGGAGACACCACGAACTTCCACATCTTGTACTGGAACGACTGCTTGTTTTGAGGCATGTAGCGGGTCAGCGGCTTTGCACTGATGGCAAAATCGATGCAGGCCCTCTGCAAAGAAGGGAACAGAGTGGGGCATTCACAGGAGAAGATGGATGGATCGCTGCAGCGGATCCTTCTCCTCTGTACCCAGAAGAGACGAAGAAAATAGCTAGCTTTGCAATGCACGCCTGCTCAGAACGCCCTTCCTCATGCTTTGTGGCCCACATGGAAAGCGCCCTTGCACCTTTAAATAAAAGCACCATTAAATAAAAGAAACCCTCGGATGGAATATCTACATATTACATGTATAGCTACACATATAATATGGTAGAATTTGGCCCTTGGGTGGCAGGATTCCCCTATGGGCAGCAATTCTATCCTTTTTTATCATTTCTACGCAGACTAAGGAGAGTTTGGCAAGCACATGGTGTTATGAACACACAAAACCTGCACACATTGCCCTGGACAAGCTCCGCGTGATGCCTGAATGTTGCTACCCAGAAGTACTTCCCATTTTGAAAACCGTAATTTCTAGGAGCTGTCCTTACAATGGAGCTCCAAAGCCACCAACAGCCTTGTCATGTCTAATGATGCCGCAAGCCCAGTTTACTGATTAAGGGGCTGATCTAACGGGGAAGCTCTAACCCTGTAACCTCAAGGGACCTCTGCTCTTTTGCGCTCTCAAGTTGTCTCCATCTCATGGCAACCTTGTGAAGGAAAGCCCTTCACGACGGCCCTGCCCAGCTCTTCTAAATCCAAGGCTGTGGCTTCCTTGGTCTTCTCCTTGGCCTTCCTTCTCTTCTTCTCCCTTCAACTTCCCCTAGCGTGATTGTCTTCTCCAGGAAGTCTTGCCCTGGAAGTGCAGACAAGAGTATTTTGCAATCTCAAGAGCAAGTACCTCGTTTTTCTCCAGACTGCATTCAGACATCACTCTGTCGCCCTGCTCTTGGAAGGTGATGATAATCAAAGCCACAAAGATGTTCACAAAGAAGAAGGGGAAAACGACAAAATAGACCACGTAGAAGATCGACATTTCCATCCGGTACCCTGGGCTTGGGCCCCGATTCTCATAGGTTGCATCGACAGAATGCTTCAGAACCCTGTGCGTGAGAAAGGAGGCAGAGAAGGAATACCGGAGAGCAAACACTCTGTGCAGAACGCGAGAAGTTGAATGGCTGAAGGGGCCACTTCGCACCTGCAGTTGCCTGCAGGTGTGAAGTGTTCCTCAACGATCAATGGAGACCCAGTGATGTAGAAGCGAGCGTGAGATAGTTGTGGAATTTAGAACATAAAAGCAGCCCTGTCGAATCAGACTAAAGGCCTGTTTAATCCAGAATTCTGCCGACACAACTGCCACGGGCTGTCCACAATCAGGATGCGAATGTAGAAGCAAACCCTTGCTTGGTTTAAGAGGCATGATCATCATGATCCTGGGGGAATGCACAGCCACGACAATGCGTAGCCATTGATAGACTTCAATATTGCAGGGTTAAAATTTCAGAACTTACTAAGTTTGCAACAGCTTCCCTATGCAGGAAAACAAGAGGTTCGACCAAAAAGCCTACAGAGGAGAAATCTGCCGAGAATGGTGCCACCAAGTTTGGAGGTTGCAAGGAGAATTTGGTTTTCTGCACAACATTTTGCCAAGAGTTAGTAAAAGAAAACTGAGGGGAAGGTGATCCTTCCCAATTGGCAAAGAATTACAGGTGGACCAGCTTGAGCTAACTTATGAAATGTGGAGGTCCAAAAATCCTTTTTGGAATCTAGAGGAAGGTTGAGAGGAAAGAAAAATCAGAATGAGGGATGAAAAACAGAGAGCTACTTGGGAGAAGATGAACACATGGAAAAATGAAACTGTCTGGCTGCAAAATATTGCTGGAAAGAAGTTAAAAAATAACTTGAATAACTGACTGGTTTAGAACTAGTGGGATTCATGCACACAGGCTATTTCCTACTCTTCTGCTCTTATGGTTTGATTGTATTATAATTATAACATAATAAATTTTAAATAATTTTAGCAAAGTGTGGTACCATTTCTTGCTGGATTAGCCATGCTTAAAAGCCAATCCACACTCCGTGTCCCTCAGAAAGAGTATTTCTAAGAGACACAGATAATGTTACGGCTAATTGGGAGAAGCAACCAAGGATGATAAAGATTTCTACCTGGTGGCAGAGGACAGATACCTGGAAGGGAAAGGTAAGCAGGAGTCATTTTGGCTCGGTCTGCCTTCCAGGCTTGGTCATCCAGAGATGACCTACTAAGAAGCTATTGAGACTTCAACCTATGTTGTCCTGGTCATTTTTCTCCCACTTTTTTCTCCCATTTTTCTCCAAGAACAAAGGTTTCCTAACTAAATGGTTTTCTTATGCTAACGCTGGCCAAGCTACGGCACAAAAAACAGCAATAACAGCACCACCACTGTCAAAATCAGAATACTAGTCATTAGAGAACTGTGTCTTAATAAAAAGAAGTTGATTCTTATCTTGCTCCTCCCTTCTCAACTGAAATAACCAGACCACGTTTTCAGGGTGTGCCTTCCTGTTCCGGAGCATCCAATGCTTCTTAACTGATCCACCATCTTAAGCTTTACTCACTAAACTTTCCCAGAGACTTTGAAGCTGATTCTCAGCAACTGCTTGTCTTATCTCTGGTTCCTTGGCTTTGCCATTTGAGCTTCAGATTCTGGCCCCACCTCTTTGTCTGATTTTGATCCTACAACTTTTGAAAGCTCTTTTACAGGGAGGAGCAGATCCGGTCCCTACCATCTCCCACCATTCGTTAGCATAGCACAACTTTGAAATAGGTTACTTCATTTTTAGGCTGCAAAGCTAGCAGTGAACAGCATTTTGAAGTTCTGTAACATTCCCCCCTCCTGTCTCAAGGTGACTTTAAAAAAAGTAGGTTACATAAGAGCTACATGTTCCGAAGTAGCATGATGGATAGGTCAGAGGAGAGTGGACTATTGTGTTATCAACAAATATCCAGGGAATCCTGCTACAGAGACTGAGTCATAAAAACAACTCTGTACTGCCTGATGCTTCAGATTTGCTCAGTAACCGTGAGGAGTAAATGCTAGAGATTAGTCCACAAGAGAACATCTCTGTCACATCCTTCCTGTGCTAACAGCATCACGCTCATCAGGAGTGGGGAATCTGGGCTTCCAGATGTTGTTGGACTCCAACTTTCATCAGCCAGCATGGAAAGAAGATGCAACCCCACAACCTCTGGAGTGCTACAGCTTCTGGGTCTCTGCTGACAAACGCATGCGAACTCTTCTAGGGTGAGGGCCAGGGTTAACATCAGATGGATTACTGATCTGAGGAACTATGAAAATAAATTCACAGTAAGCCGAAGACTGGAATGCATGTGCTCAAAAACTAGTAATCTCCTAAAAAAAACCCAGAGGTGGATTTAGTATAGAAGGTGACTTACTGGTAGATCTGTGGGTAACTTGTAGCAGGTAGGCAAAGGTTTCTCACCCCCCAGTAGCACCAAGAAAATGATTATTTCAGCCTAAATGAGGCTGCTGAAATGAAAGCTTGGAGTAAACAGGTCTGGGACTGCATTTCATTTTAGTATCTTTTTTTTTCTTTCAAAACATAGAAAATGCATCTTCACACCAAAGGTAATTTTGGGCTGATGGACATGTGGGGGGGGTGCACACATATGTGCATGTGCCAAACTAGTGTGCGTTCAATCAGTTTTGTCACTGGATACAAATCCCAAGACTCCAAGTATGCTCAGAACTATACCTTGCACTTAATTCTGTTACATCTTTTACACCTGACTCTGCTGGATAGATCCGGAGGTTGTAGTAAAAAGAGCTGACAGGCCTAAAATGCCCCATTGCTGTCCTAATCCCATCTGCCACACCCAACAAGGTCCTCCTGTCCTCCATCTTCCTCCCAAACCAGACAACCTCTGTGCCCTGTAACTGACACGCAATGCAAACCCAGCCACGCTTCATGGCATCTTTGTAACGCCCCCCGTTGTCCGCCTTTGCAAGACTAGAAGATTAAAAGGGCTCTTCCCAGGGAAACTAGAGCCAGAGAAACTTACGTTGGCCAGCCCTCTCCGGTGGAGACGGTGAACAGCGTCAACAAAGCCCACAGGACGTTGTCGTAGTGGAATTCATACTTCTTCCATTGCCTGGGCTGAGCTTCCACTTCGTCCTTCTCATAAGCCAGATACTGGCCCCTACAAGAAGCAGGACATGGAATTCAAGCAGGTCAAACACCAAGGAGATTCGGCAATAGGGCATGACGTTGAGGTCCCTCATCCAGGGGGTGGTGACCAGACTGCTGATGTCCTCATTCAAGAGACACTGAGGGGAATGCTGGAGGCTGCCTCCTGCAAGGAGAGTTGAGGCTCTCCTCCTTGCTCCTCCAATCACAACACAAGGGGGGGGGTTGAGTTTGACTTATTCTTTCACTAAGGGCGTAACAAAACGTGGCGATTTCTTCACCAACAAGATGGAAAGACCTTGAGGTTTGTTCTATTTCTGCACCAGCTTGGAAGCTTGTTTAAAACAGCACCTGGTATGAATATTCATACATATTTTTGTGAGAATTCCCCGATACAGATGTCAGTATGCAGTTTTGCATCATCTGCGTGATTTTACAAGCCTCTCTTCCTTTTATATTGCACCAAGTTCTCTTCGTGAACCATTCCCTCAAACATTACTCTTTGCACATTTCTGAGTAGAGAACACCATGGCAAAATCGATCGAGGCTCCCCTTTCAGAGGGTAACTGAATTCTGAGTCAGTTCAGTTCAAAAAGATCTAAAACAGTAAGAGAAGGTTCAAGTGGGAGAGGTTGCAAAGTGGACCCATTTCAGCCCTTATCCTAGATTACAGCCTGCAGCTCTGGGACTTCTGTCCCGCCACAGACCTCCAGGTTTGGGCAAGGCTCGTGAGTACGCATCTCCAGCCCCACCCTAACCTAAAGTTTCTCCCCGAGAGGAGTGGTTGTGAGAAAACGGTGGAGAGGCAAGCACCAGCTTGTTCGTGCACAGGTTTCCCTGTGCAGCTTGGCACCTGCAGTCTTTCTCCAGGTCCTTGGACTCATCCGTGCAGTAGAAGAATCGCCCCTTGAACAGCTGCACGGCGATGACGGCAAAGATGAACATGAAGAGCATGTACACGATGAGGATGTTGAGGACGTTCTTCAGGGAGTTCACCACGCAGTCGAAGACCGCCTGCGTGAGGGGGAGAAGGAGAGAGAAGATACATCAAGAGGTGGCCGACGGGTTGCTCTGGATTCATCCTGGATCTGAAAAGGCACTTTCTCCCATGCAAACCTACTCACAGGACTGGCAAGGCTTTCTTGGGAAGGCTGACAGCTGGCCTCAGCTCCCCCACAGAAAAATGCGCATCCTCACACCCGAGGGCCTTGTGGGAAATGTGATGGGTGGCTGGACCACGCCGCTCAGTTCTGCTTGAGAAGGGGGGTAGAGTTCCTTTCTGCCATGATGAGGCTGACATGAGGTTCTTTGCTGCAAGGCAGTATGCCTGAGCTGATGGGATCACTGAGTGCTGAATGATGGGGAGAGAAAGCCGCAGCAAGCCCGGCAGCCTGTTGGGAGTATTGTGGGTTGGCCCACTGCCAACAGAGGGTTGCTTTGGGCACCCATCCTCTCGGGGAGAAGGCGTGCTTGCTTTCAGAAAGCCCCTCCCCAAAGGGGTGGGGCCCAGGCATGTTCAGAAGAAGCGTTCCTGGAAGGAAACACTCGATTGTGTTCAACAAACTGCTCTGCGCATGCTCAGAGAGCCACCCTGGGTGGCGTGTATTTGGGAGCAAGGAGGAACATTTTGCAAGGAACACATTCTGTGGTGCTGGACTGCTCCGGGGAGGAACCTTGGCTCAAGACAGCAGCTCCTTCCCAGGGTGGCTTAGCATAATGGGCAACCCTTTCCTATGCAGTGGGGTGGGGTGGGGTGGGGTGGGGGGACACAAGGATAACCGCCAGAGCAAGGATGGGGAACATCAGGCCCTCCAGATGTTCTTGGTCTCCCACTCTCAAGAACCCAGGACAGCATGAACATGGGTCAGATGGGACATGGATGGGAGCTACAGTTCAACTCCACCTCGCCCTGAGACAGACAGCAATCAGAGGCATTATAGTAAATCAGAGGCATTATAGTATTAACAATACTAATATAGTATAGTAAATAAGGTGGACCGTAAGCCAATGTTCCTGCATCGCATACATGCTGCTTTGGCTAGGAGAGGAGGACTATGTTCTTACCTTCAGCTTTGGCAGGCGCTTGATGGTCTTCAGAGGCCGAAGGACCCTCAGCACTCGCAAGGACTTGATCGTGTTGATATCTTTCCCTTTGTTGCCTCTGCAAGAGAGAGCACAAGGCGACAAAGGAAGGCCTTTGGTTCTTGCAGGACTCCTCCAAAAGCCCCCACTGCCTGGCATGCCCACCCCACTGAAGAACTAGTCTCCCTTGCCCAGTGGCACTTGCCCAGGTCCCCTCCTATCAGCCTTCCCCAAACTCGGCCTCTCCCAATCTGCTGAACTGCAGTACCCATAATCCTGCCCAGTGGCTACGCATCATCATCATCATCATCATCACCACCACCACCACCACCACCACATGATGGGAGATGGAATTCGAGAACAACAGGAGGTGATCCCAGGCTGGAGAAGGCCTTAGATGCAACAGGCTGACACAGCAAAATGCAGACTACTCTTCTTTTCTACACGGATCATGTGGAAAAGAAGCAGAGAGGCACGAAATACATTCATAGTCCTGGGGGGAGCCCTCAGCCACCGCCGCCGCCACCCCGCTATTCCAGCCCTCTCTGGATTTCCAGCTTCTATCGTTAAAACACACACACAACAAAAGAAAAGAGTCGGTTCTTTTCCTATCAAGAAATACATGCAAACAGAAATCCGTCCCACTGCGCTTGCCTTCTATTGTTCTGGCCAACGAATGCATGGGCACCAGAATGACGGGCAAGCACCCGGACAATGGGCACGTCTTCACGAATGTGTGAAATTTAGTTCTGTTCGTTTCAAAGCTTGGAATAAATTTCATCACTGAAATGTAGACAGTGCGTCACCGGCTTCGGGATTTGTGCTACGGTTTCACGTGGAGCTGAAATGGCCTCTTCCGTCATGCACACGTGCACACCGAGCCCATGGAGTCTTTCACAGCCTTGGTTTGCCGTACATGCCGAGACTTTGGGTAACACATGAAAGGGATAATTTTGACAGGAAGCACATTTGCAGTAGCTTTGGGCCGACTCCGCAAAGTGATGTGGAAGGGATCTGACCCACCCCGACAGAGCAAGACCGTCCCTCTTAATTTTGATGCAAGACCTGCTACCTGTTCACTAAGCGAACATGTTTAAGGGTTTAGCACTAATGTTCAAAGCCGTTCTCCCGGTCGTTCAACAGAGACCCATGGATTTCTGCAACGCGCTCTACATGAGGCTGCCCTTGAAGACAGTCCGGATACTTCAGATGGTGCAAAACAGAGCAGCCAGGTTGCTGACGGGGACTGGGAGTTATTCTCCCATAACCCCAGTCCCTCTACCAGCTTCACTGGCTCCCCATCGAAGTCCGGGTTCAATTCAAGGTGTTGGCAATCACCTATAAAGCCCTTAATGGCTGGGGACCTGGAAACCTAAAGGAACGCCTTCTTCCCTATTTGCCCTCCCACCCCCTGAGATCGGGAGCAGAGGCCCTCCTCCGGGAGCCCTCCAGGAGAGACATCAGGAGGCAAAGTACCCGGAGGAGGGCTTACTCTGCAGTGGCGCCCCGTCTATGGAATGCGCTCCCCAGAGAGGTCCACCTGGCGCCGTCGTTATTTGTTTTTCGGCGCCAGGCTAAGACCTTTTTATTCAAACAGTATTTTAACAACGTTTAATATTTATAGGTTTTAATTGTGCACCTGGGGTGTTTCCGGGTTTTAACTGTATTTGTATTATATTTATTTATTTGTGTGAGCCGTCCCGAGGCTATATAGCAAGGGGACGGCATACAAAAACTTTAAATAAATAAATAAATAAATAAATAAATAAATAAATAAATAATGACCCGACTGGGGTCCACCAGAAGGAGGGCCTCCGATGCGGTGACCCCATTTCTACGGAAATTCCTGCCTCTGACAGGCAGGTACCAGCTCCTGCTGAAACCATCCTCATCCTGGGAAGTCTTTCTTGCTGAGCCACCAGCTGTAAAGTGTTCAAGTTTTTAACGCATGGCTTCATGCACTTGTTTTGATTTGCACCACTGCAGAATCCACCTGGATGTGAAGTAGTATGCAAATACTGTAAATAAATATACAATATGTATCTCAATAACAATGATCTCATGAGGGCTCTTTTCTATGAGACCATAAAGTCCAAGGTTGGAAATGACCTAATTAGACCACCAGTTACATCTCCTGGTGGACGGAAATGGGTGGGAGGAAAGATAAGACCCAGAAGTGGCCGTTCCCTTTAACCCTCCTTTTCTGGATACCTTTTGGTGAGCTTTATGTACTCTGAAAAGTCCATTGCAAAGAAAAAGATCCCCCCTTGGCAGAGAGAGGGAGAGAGGGAGAGACTGCAGAGAAGCATTCCCCAACTGATACCTTCAAGATAGGTTGAGCTACACTTCCAGTCACCTCAAACTACCATGCAATGGTAGGAGTTGTGATCCAGACACCGGAAGGGCACAGGGGAAGGCCGGAAGAGCTGCATATTATGCAGCCAGTAGAGAAAAAGGTCTCTCCCATTCCGGCACTCAGTTTAACGTTAATTTGGCCTCCTCTCCAGACTGCATGCCGTGCAAACCATGGTGAGACGTGTAAAGCCACGGGGATTACATGCCTGCAGTGAGAAGCTGAGCTTAACTTCCAGGCTGTTCAGGCAGAAGTGAAGTTTTGCAGGGGTGTGATTCTGGCAGAAGGCTCAAATGTGACATGCCGTTTGTCATCCTCTTTGGTTAACCTCCAAAGCAAAGGGTGAAGTTTGCTTCTGTATTGACCTGAAAAATGGGAACATCTTTCGTTCTATGTCTATTTTAAAGAGATCTGCCGAGAGCCGAGAATGGCCCAGGAGAGCATAAATCCGCAGATGGAGAGTAAGGCATGCTCTTGTCTCTCCCTCCCTCTCTCTCTTTGAATAAGCACCAGAGAGTTTTGTTTTGTTTTTGAAACAGCAATGTTTGTGTTTAAGCCGATGGATTCTGGTTGGACACTCGTAACAATGTGATATATTCTGGGCAAAGGGAGAGGGATTCCTTTCGGCATAGCTCCCTCAAGTTCACCAGCTGTGAACCCCAGTTGTTAGACAAGCTGGGTCTGAAAATACGCTGTCCATGCCTTGCTGGCTCACTTTTAGTATTGGTTAGACCAGCAGAACAGAGAGACAGGGCCTTCTTGGTGGGGGCCCTTGCCATATGGGATTGCCTCTCCAAAATGTGTGGTGGTCCCTCTCCAAGTTGTGGGATTTTAGGCAGGTTTGCAGACTCACCTGCTTTGAATATTTGGCTTTCTTAAAAAAAATTCACATGCCCTGGTGCTGTTTTAGGGGTAATTATAACCACGGCTCTGGGATGTTTTCACCTGGATAAATTATACTTTATTGTTGGCTTTCTTTCTGTATTTGACATTCACATATTAGAATATTATATCTTGTACTGTAAGATTATATACAACAATATTAGAGTATTATATTTTTCATATTAGAGAATGGCTTGGGACCAGGATACCTGAAGGAGCATCTCCTTCCGTATATGCCCTCATGCCACTTAAGATCGGCGAGGGAGGCCCTGCTCCGAGAAACCTCCCTGGAGGAAGTAAAAATGGCATCTACTCAGAGGAGGGCCTTCTCTGCAGTGGTGCCCAGATTGTGGAATGCACTCCCCGGAGAGGTTTGCCTGGCACCGAGCTTATACTCTTTTAAGTGCCAGGTCAAAACCTTTTTATTTAACTGGTATTTTAAAAACTAGTATTAATTGTAACAGTCGCATTTTAGTGTTTTTACCGCTGGATGGTTTTAATTTATGTAATTTTATTGCTTGTTTTAATGTTTTGACTGTGAGCCGTCCTGAGATGCCTTGCATGGGGGACGGCATACAAAAGAGCTAAATAAAATAAATAATAAATAGAGAATATGACTGCATTTTTTAAAAAAAATAAACATTTGGTCTGCTCGGCTGGGCGTATGTCATCCCAGAAAGTAGCTTGTGAATATTTATTTATTTATTTAAAACATTTCTATGCTGCCCCATTCGCCGAAGCCTCGGGGTGGCTCACAACATAAATATCTAAATAGGACCACATTTTTAAAAAAGTGAGTTAAGGCAACACAAAAACGGGCAATTGTCTGGGAAGTTATAGAAAGGACTGCTTGGAGAAGCCATCTCCATCTTCATCTCCATCTCTCTCTCAAAAAGAGCACTGAATCATGGCATTAGATGTTCTGGTAGAAGCAGAAAGAAGCAGCCCAATCTCAGGGCGTTTGGCTGATCTCCTGGGGAAGCCCTCCTTCCTGACTTCACTAAATACTGTTGGGGTGAGAAGGATCCCCACCTTTTCAGGCTCTCTTCCAGCCCTTTTGGACTCCTCAGAGCCCCCATTCCCCTCAAGGGCATCTGAGAACCGGACGGTTCATGGCATGGCTGCCTTCCCAGCTGGATTACCACCAGGCGCTTGGCCTTGTGGCCAAACAGAAGCTGCATCCGGCACAGAACAGGGCAGCCAAGAAACTGTGGGACGCTGGTGCTAACCGCTGCCACGGAGCTCCTGGGCAAGGTTCAGAAAGCAAGCGAGGAGCCTGGAACCGCTGAACGACGTGGGCCGTCAGTCGTGCAGTGAACACCTCTTCCCAGAGACACCTGCGCAAGACTCCTTTGCCAAGGGGTCCCTTCCCTGCATCCCCCTTTTTGGAAGTGGGCACTAGACAGAGAAGCAAGAGAAGCAGCACCCTGGTGATGAAACACCAATTTTTTCCCAGGCACTGTCATTAGCCTTGTTGCAGTGTGGGTCTGGGACTCAGGCGACCTGGGTTCGAGTCCCCGCTCAGCCATGAAGCCAAGTGGGTGACTTTGGGCCAGTCCCAGACTCTCAGCCCAACATACCTCACAGGGTTGTTGTGGTGGGGATAAAACTGAGAGAGCAGGAGGAGGAGAATGATATAAGCCCCTTTGAGGATTTTAGAAAGAGAAAAACAGGATATAAATCTAATAAACAAAACAAAAAAATAAATAAACGTTGGGGTCTCAGCAAATGGCATTCCAGCTCATCAATTTGCTTCATTATTAGTGCTGATTTATGTAGTATTATTACTTTTTAGTGGTGAAGATTTTACTGGATTTCTGTTATTTTATAATTGTTTTATCGATGGGTTGTACCCCGCCCTGTAATCTATTGATATAGGATGGTTTCAGAATAGTTAAGTAAACAAATGCCAGAGCAGGCCCTATTAATTTTGGGGTGATGCCCCCTAACCCTATTCCAACAATAGCTAATTCACAGTGATAGCTCAAAATTAGGAGCAGGGGAACCCGCTAAGTCAGTTTTTATGCAGTTTTTCCAATTTCCACTTTCAAGTTCCCTCACCCCCTTAGCAACAACTTGTGCATTTTTAAGGGATCTGTGAAAAGAAGGATGTCATTTTGGGGCACAATTTCCCAACACACCTAATTTTTTGTGCACTTTTCCAAATGTAGGCATTTTACTCCCCAAATTGTGGATTTGTCTACGCATTGTGCAGACACTTTTTTCTGTTAATATGTTTTTGGTTCATTAAAAACAAGCTTGATTGTGATGTTGCAAAGTATGTGGATCCTGGAAAACAGCTGTGATCCAGTTTCCATATACTGGATTCATATTTAATCATTTTGTATTATGTAAGTTTGTAGATTGGGGGGGAGTATTGTTATGACTTTAGGTTACAACAATAAATATTTTTTGGTGAGATGTGTGCATAGGTCAGGGATCAGGGAATTGGGGACACTAAAACTGAAAGGGGAACTGGGCAAAATTCTCACATAACTTGCTCAATCGACAGAACGTGCTGTTGGCTGGCTTCTAGCCTGGGGTTTTTCCTCTCCAAAATTTCTCCAGGACTTGAGTGCATGCATTAAGTGCACTCCTCTCCCCCCCTCCCCCATGCAAGCCAGCCTTATCCCGAATTGATCCCAGATGGCTCACCCACAATTTGGTACTGCAGCTGGAGCAGCAGCATGGAAGAACGAATAGGCTCTGCTCTCACACAACATCAAAGCTGTGTTTGTGGAGAAGCCCAGGGCACATCTCTGACAGGGGTAAAGGAGTCAAGATGTCGATAGGAAAAATTCCCTGGCAGAAATGTCACTATTGAAAGCGTCGACTTCACGCTCGGTTTGCTTCATGAACCAGAATGTACCCACAAGGCAAGGAGGTCTGGATCAACGCTCCAGTTGCACTCAATTTCCCAGCATGAAAAGAAACATGGTGACATTTCTTTCTGATAGGTAATTTACCTAGCCCAGGAGTTTTCAGACTTCCTATGTTGACCTGCTTGCAGAAGATTCCTGACCCACCTGTCAGGGATTTCTTCTGTGCTGCAAAAAATTCTGGGTCATATTTTGGATCAGGCTTCCCTGAGCTCATGTGAACTGAGAGCACACCCTAAAGGTGGACCCACAATCCACAACAAGCCATCCACCGGAGGGGAAAGCCAGCTATGTGTCTCTGGTTGTAACCAACAGACTTGCGAGCTGCAGCTTAAGGTCAGCATGATGCCCGAACACAACCAGCAATTCCCCGCGTGTGATACAAGAGAAAAGCAGGTGGGCTGTCTTTGATAAATCCATCCGTCATGACTGAAGAGTCCTGATGACCTCGCAGAAGGTCTCCAGGGTCCACAGGACACAGTCCAAATGGCTCTTTCCCTTGACCAGTTTCTAGAGCAAAGAGGTGTTTTCTCAAACAGTGTTGAGATAAAAAGAGCTGCATGGAGCTGCTCTGCAGGCATGGCTTTGGGCCTTGGCGGGAGACCCAGTGAAGCAAATGTGGGCAAAATGAGACCCATGAGTTCAGAAGGGGCAAGGCATGATGGGTAATGACACAGGCAAGGACAGTACAATGGAATGAGCGTGGCACAGATCACTGGGACGCTGGCTGTGGGCACGTGGCAGGCAAGAGCAAGGCCACAAAGTACAACAAGAATGAATTACCCCATGAAACTCCTACAGAGAAGATCCCAGTGCGAGGAAGACAAAGAAAGAGCACAGTGTCAGTGGCAAGAAAGCAGTGTGCATCGAACCCCAAGCAACCCCAGAGCGAGACACGTATCACAGACGCCAGCGAAACCCAACCTCCTGCCCCCCGTTGTCGCGAAGCAAAGAGGAGTACAGCGACCGTGGACATGCGTACCCACCATTGAAGGGACAGGGTGAAGCGAGGACTTGCAAGAGAGCCCGTGGACTGGGAAGGCCTGGGTAAGAGTGACATTCCCTGGCTGAGCCAGCCAAATGGGCGGGCACTGACCTACCTCACCGCATCATCGTGAAGGGCCGGCGGGGGAAGCCCAACCTTATGGGCTGCTTAAAGGAAAGGTGCAGCAGAAATAAGGATCGCTGGAGCACCCTACTTCTGCTCCGTGTCAGCTTCAGCGGTGCCTGTTCCTAAGAAGCCTGACCCAGCCTGTTCCTGCGTCTATGACACACACTCTGTCTTTTTCATCTCAACGGATCAGAATCTCTCAACAAATTGAATCTCTCTCCTTCCCATCAGTCCATTTGAGCTAACTCTGTTTTGATTAGGCCCCTATGTCCTCCTGGGAAAATCCAGATGAAGCTTGGCAGAAAAGGGTTGCTCAATTGTGCCTTTGTGTTATAAAATCAAACCTGCACCCCTTTCTCAGAAAGCACCTGATTTCTAAGTCAGGTTACTGTTTGGCATTTACTGTCAGTTTAAGAAGTGAGAACTGGTTGCTTGCCTAGAGGCTTCCAGGGCTGTTGTTCTGCTGATCAGTAAGGGCTGATAAGGCTGCCAGGTGAACAGCACTGCAATCGCCCTCATCTGCATGCCAAGACTCACAATAATCCCATGATCATTATGTTAATCTCCTGCAATCAAATGCCATTGCATTGAGCCCCGTCTGCAGACCTCTCACCTTCTTCTGACTGTGCTCCCCTTATTTCATCAACTGCCCAGCTGCTGGGCCCATGTGACACTCTGTGTATGCTCTAAAAGCCTGTAGTTGGTGGGGAGACCACTACCCAGGAGCATGCCATGTGAAGTAACTGCAGGGGAGCTGATGATCTCACCAATAAAAATGCTAGGGTTCAGGGCGATTCAGTCTTCCCCGCGACTCCTGGCAATTCATTCTCGCCATTTAATAAAGCGACTCTGACAGTCCCTAACAAAAGCAAAGGATGAGCTGTGTGAGTGAGAGATTGCTGGTCTGTTGGGGTTGCCTTATGGGCCCATCTTGGTACGCAAAAGCCAACAGGAGAGGAACCACGGCTTTTGGACACTTGCAGTTCCTTGGAGGGAGAACTCTGAATACACAGAACGTAATTCCTGCCCTCAGCACGTGTTGTTGGATGGGTTGGGGAGGCCGCTCAGTCCCCATCACTGCGGGGAGTCCAAGGGATGAAGCAAAGCAGGGCCTCCTCAGCACTGGCACCCACATTCTGAAATACTCTTCATCAAGTGGGGGTGGCTTTGCCTCAATTTGCCTGGTCCACATTTTACTAGCATTGCACCAGCGTTTCCCCTTTTGCTTTATTAGCAGTGAGTGGCCACTACAATAAATAGAATTGGAGTTCCACTGATTATTCATTTTGTCTACAGATTATACATTCATTTTATTGTATAGTTATTTCTTCCATTTTGCTGTTGCTTGCTTTTGTGTTGTTGTTACCCTCCCTGAGCTGTTTATGAAGGACTAAAAGAACTAAAAAAAAAAAAATCACAATTACAAAAAGTGAACAGATAGGTTAGGGGGTTAAACATGTTAAGCTGGCACATTCGAGGTAGTTACAGACTGTGAAAAAGAATTCCCCCTATTCTTCCCATCATTTAAACTGAGATAAGCAGCTAGGATTCCAAAATATTTGCTCTGAAGATCTCCACGGTACAAAACCCACTGCTGATATAGCAGTGGCTTGGTCCAGCTGTACCCATCTTGGTCCAGCTGTACCCAAGATATTCTTATAATGCAATGCAGAGCAAGGCTTCTCTTTGGAAAATTAATTGCACTTGAGCGACAGAAGTCTATGGAGAAGCAAACATGGGAAGGCACAGAATAAGCAAGGAGGGAGAGGTGCCCACAGCCACAAATTCTGACAACATATGCAATGACAAACCACAGGTCTGGCAAAACTCTAATGACCAATGTTATGTCAGTGGTCTAGTTCCCAGGTGCCACAGCCGCTGAGAAAATACACATAAACAACTGCACCATCTAGAATAAATAAGACTGGGGGAGTAAACTTGGTGGATTTCATGGGGTCAGCCTGATCCACAGTCTCTCCTTGGGGCCAATTCATGAGGTGGCAATAAGATTTATTTACCCCGAAAGTAGAGCCACTGAAAAGCAATGGGCACTTAAGTGTGCATAAACTGAAGTCCCACTTCTTAAATTTCTGCTCCAGATTAGATCTCCAATCTCTGCTCTAATTAGATCTGAAGCCAGCTTGTAAAAGTGAATAAAAATAACACGTCATGTCATGAAGCCCAAAAGGAAAATGAAGCATGGTCACCTTTTACATCCACCGTGGGAGAATCTTTGATGACCCCGACAAGAACGCAGAAAGGTCTGTCTCACCCCGACAGCCTCAAGCTGCAAATCTCTGACAAACCATCTGTCTTGCGAGGATTGTGGTGCTTTATAGATTTCCACAGGCCTCCGAATAGCACAAGGTGTCTTCCGAGATTTGTGCTCGCTTGGAGAGGCCGCATTCTCACATCCCTACCGATCCACTGAGCTTATGGGGTGCCCTTCAATGGCTCACTGCCTCTCCGCAGAGCATCTCACAGACTCAGATACACGACTTTATATGCCAAACTGTGCCACAGTGTGTGCCAGAGGAGGAAAGGGAGAAGATGCTTCTTCCCGTGCTCCTTCTCTCATCATACTACAACTCTGGGAAGCTGCAGGGGAGAAGAGTTCGGACAGAAAAAAGGAGGGGATTCACACAGCTCCTAATTAAACTGTGGAATTCGCTTCCGCAAAAGACTCGTTGCAGCCAGCTTGGATGGCTTTAAAAGGGGATTAGCCAAGCTCTAAGGAGATCTGTGGCTAACAATCACATGGCTATAAATGAGCTCTGGAATCAGCGGAGCTCTTCTTTTGTTCTGAGACAATATGCTAATAGGTTGCACCGACCCTGATAATGTTGGCTGTTGTTGGAAGCAGAAACGTCTCCCCAAGCCCAGATGGGCAGCAAAGGTTATAAACCAGCTTTCCCCATCCTGGTGCCTCCCAGACATGTTTCAACTGCAACACTCAGAATTCCCAGTCAGTGGCCCTGCAGGATGGGAATTCTGGAAGTTGCGGTCCAAATACCAGGTTGGGGAAGGCTGCTAAAAAGGGTTCCTTCTTTGAGGGTTCTGTTTGCCCGAGGAAGAGGAATCTTCTTGGTTCCACTGCCTTTCTGTGGAACGGGGAGTGCACCACAGAGCACGGGTCTTGGGGGCAGGACTGCAGCTCAGTCTCTGGCATCTTCAGGTAGGTCTTGGGAAAGCCGTCTGAGACCTCTAGGTGTGTTGCCAAGCAGGGTAGACAACTGGCCAAGATGAGCTGCCTCAATATAAAGCTGCTTCCTACATTATTTGGAAGGACTGTATTTCAAGCGGCAGGGCACACGTGTTGCATGCAAAAGACCTGAAGTTCCTTCTCTGGGCAACCCCCGGAAAGAATCTGGGAAGCTTCTCTGGTCAGCGTGGACAAAAGGCAAGCAAGGTGAGGTCCCCATTGTCTCGGACTGCAGCTGCCATAAAGCTCAGCCACCATGGCCCATGAGCATGCTTGAGGGATGTGCCACCAAACATCTGGAGGACCACTGATTCCCCACTCCTGGTATGAATATGACTCCACACGAGGCTTCTTCCTTCCTGTCCTGGCTCTGTTCCTCAGAGTGAAATTTCTGGCTCATCGGCCGGCTCTTTTCTGACAGCCGCCTGTGCCTCGGCACTGACAGGGAATCATGCTGTGTGGATGGGATTATCAGGCTGTCTGCCATCCAGGCTCTGAATAGGCACACGATGTGCGAAACTTCAGCAAGGAAGCTTTGTCATGTCCTGTCAGATGGTGCCTAAACCAGATTCCAAGCCGTGTCCATGAGTCAGCGGGGAGAAGGGCTGCCTCCCAGCCTCCTCCTCTCCAGACGGCAGGCCAAGGGCACGTCACACCCCTGTCCCACAACAGTGTAGTGCAAGAGCAACCTGCTTTGATGGAGAGGCTCAACCCTCTCCTCACCAGACCTGGTGTTGTGGAGGCGGAGATAAGCCTGTCCCCCATTCCATCCTCCAGCATCCTTGGAAGGCCACATGGAAAGCATCTAACCATCAAGGCAGGCTCTTGTGAAGAAAAGCCTGGATGAGCAATGCAAAGATGGGGGAAAGGCAGGGACTGCTAAGAAATAAAAAGCTGCCACCAAGCAGAGTGCCAGGGAACCATCTGGAAAACCTTGGAGACACCAGTGGTAGGCTGTGTGGTCACAAACGATGGAACAGATTCTCAGAAGACACAAGGTCAAAGGATGCAGAATCCACTTGATTCTAAGTGTATTCTAATGACACAAATTGTTGCTGCTTTGAAAAGCTAAAGCACTGTGAAAGAAACACCACAGGAGACAACAGGATGGCGTTCAATGTGGATCAGTGCAAGGTCTTGCACTTGGGGCACAGGAATAGGTGTCATAAGTACAGGTTAGGGGACAAGAGGATGGAGAGCAGCACTTGTGAAAGGGACCTCGGGGTACTGGTTGACTGCAGGCTAAACGTAAGTGAGCAGTGTGATGTGGTGGTCAAGAGGGCAAACGCCACCCTTGGTTGCACAGCCAGAAGTGTGGCTTCTAGATCGAGAGAGGTATTACTACCACTCTACATGACTCTGGTGTGCCTGCAACTGGAGTACTGTGCTCAGTTTTGGGCCCCTCATTACAGAAAGGATATAGCCAGGTTAGAGTCAGTGCAGCGTAGGGCCACAAGGTTGGTGGCCGGTTTGCAGGGGAAGCCGTATGAGGCATGACTGAGGGAACTGGGTCTCTTCAGCCTGGAGAAGAGGAGACTCAGACGGGATCTGTGGGCGACATGCAGGTATGTGAGGGGGTGTCACACGGAGGTGGGTAGAGACCTGTTCTCCCCTGCAGAGGAAGGCAGGGTGTGCTCCAGTGGAGCCAAGCTCAGGGAGCCAAGGTTCCATTTAGATGCCAGGAAGGACTTCCTCACAGTCAGGACCCCGAGGGTGTGGAGTGGGCCTTCCACAGGAGGTTGTTGAGGCCCCATTGGTGAGGGTGTTCAAAGATAGGCTGGACTTGGACGTGGTGGGCATGTTGTGAGCGGAGCCAGCTGGAGCTGGGGGTCAGACTAGATGGCCTGGGAGACCCCTTCTCACTCACTCTGTTTCTGTTAACACCAAAGCATTCCACGCCATCATCAAAGGACCCTGCCTTGGATTATCTGCTGACATCTGCAATCTTCACGAGCAATTCCAAGTATTCTACCTGTTGCTTGTAAACCATCCCAAGATGCCAGTAGATGGACAGTCTATAAAAGTTTTAAATAAAACAAATACATATCCTATACCCCCACACACAAGTATGTTCTGTAATGTCGGAAGAACAGGGCTTCCGACTCACATTCCTGTATTGGACACAAAGCGCTTGCTCTGAGTGTGCCGCGCTCCCCACCATTTCCTTGCCTTTCTCAGGGACAGGTTGGATCCAGCCTTGGTCATGCTTTGAGCAGGCAACTGAAAGCCATGGGATCTAAGTTGGTCCTTGTCCTGCCCTTCTGTCAGTGCGCGGCAGAGAATTCTGATGTAGATCTCTTGCATGCCAGTTCCTCAAAAGTAGGACAAGCATTTCCTTGTTCAAGTCCCCTTCCAGCTAGACCCCTTCACCGGTCTGGAGAGCATGTCCCTTGGAGAAGGCTCCCAGACATCTCAGACCACAGATAAGGCCCAGGGGGCTTCAACAATCCGGTAAGCTGCTTCAAGAGGAATCACATGGACATCTTGTTAACTTATATGCAGCTTTGGTTGCCTTTAGCTCCCTGCTGAAAAAACAGCCTCCTGGGAGGCATTTCAGCCTATGGGCAAATCTGCAGAAAAGCTGCAGTCGATGGTCAGAGACATGGGAGTAGGGCTGGGAAAGGACTCGGCCACCTCGGGGCCCAGCAGGGTCGTTTTGTAGTGACACCAGAGGTTCTGCACCCCTGTAGTTGCAAAAGAGAATTGTCACCAGCAGGACCCACTTGGAGTGATTTGAGGTCCTATCTTCCTCCTGCCTTTACCCGACTGCTGTCTGATGCCCTCAGCTTCTCCCAAGAAACTCAAGGAAGGATGGTAGAGGGCAATCATGACCAAATCCAAGTCATCTCAGTGGCTGCACACGACTGTTGTTTTCACATACCATCAAGTCATCTAAGAGTCATGGTGACTCTCTCAAATGCCCTGTCCTGGCCAGCCCTGCTCAGCTCTTGCAAACTCAAGACTGTGGCTCCTTTATGGAACAGGGCCATCTCCTGTTTGGTCTTGGTGGTGCCGGTCATCTTCTTCATTGTCTTCGTCGTCTTCTTCATCCTTTGACTTTCCCTAGCATGATGATCTTCTCCAGGGAGTCTTGCCTTCCCACAGTGTGCTCAGCTTTGTCATTGTTGCTTCTAGGACAAGTTCTTGCTTGTTTGGATCTGGGGGCAAAGCATGATGAAGGCTAGACCTAACCTCCTTCTTGAGACAGCGTGGAGCAGCAAGGCAGAGCGTGTGTGAAGAATGCAACTTTGGGGATGTGGCTACAGAGAATTTAGCTTCACACGTCCTATCAAGGAGTAGAGAGTAATGTCTAGATCGAGTCATAGCCTCAACCAGAATCCTTGTGTCCCCAGATACACACCCGGCCTAGGACATCTGCCCCAAGTTACCCTTGCCAGACAAATAACAAAACATCTATTTAGTGTTTGCCTGCCCAAAAGAACAACTCTGTGGGAGTGGAACTTGCCATAAATATGAGAGAGAATGTCCATAAATAAAACCTCCAAGCAGCAAGCAACAGAAAACATAGATTGGATTAAAAAGACACCTCTTATTAGCTTTGCTTCAGTGGACCCAACATAAACCATTTCACTTCTTTCTAAGCAGGAGGAGAAAGAAGCAGGGTCAAAGTAAGGAACTGGGCACCAAGGTACTGGTGCCTTGCCTTGGTCTGCTTAATGGGGTGTCTCAGGCTCAGCAGCACCAACCTTCACGTCAGGAAGGTGGTAATGCAGCTTGTCCTCTCAGCTGGAACAGGTGGTTTGGGGAGCCAATGACTGCCTCGCCCCTCCACCAACCAGCCTTGTATAACTGCTGCCTGAAGTCTGGTTCTCGAGTCTAAACAAGGTGTTAGCAAAGGCACTCTCCAATTTGCTTTGCTCTGTCACTGACCCCAGTGGCTTATGTGCATCCAATGCACGGACCGAGGTGTGAAGAGAGATGGAGCATCACAGAGGGGGAAGGAAGGAAGCTTGAGCACAAGCCATCAGCTCCCGCCTTCTCTGCCCTGCCATGCCCCTTTCCCTGCTCTCCGAGGTCGATTTCCAACCTCGGAGCTGCGGCCTGTATGGCTGTTTCTGTGCCAGCTGGGAGGCGGGTGAACAGGGGCTCTGCATTTGTACTCTTGGCTCTGAGGTTGTAGGATCTTTGGTTTGACACCCCCAATACCCCTATGAACACCCCGAGAATGTCAGGAAACCCTAAGACTGCATTGTAAACCCATTGGCCAGATCCTTGTCTCAAATATTGTCCAGAGCTGAATCTTGCTAGCCACCTGGCCAGAAAGGCTTTTGAGCTGCCAGCTCATCTGGGTCAGCCCAGTCAGTCTGGTGGCCACCAATCCAAGACTGAAATCTGAATGTTTTACCCAGCTATGCATTTCAGCTGACTGGTGTCAGGGTGGATGTTGCAAAAGCTCAGCCTGTTTTGAGGCAAGGCGTCCTTAGCAGAGTTCAGCAACTTCCAGGTTACAGAAAACGGCCAGAAATTCTCTGCATCTCACAACACACGTGCACCAAAAACCAACCAGACGGGCACACTCCTGAGTGACTGAATGTACACCTGAACTAGCAACGCCAAAGCATCCTTCTGGGAATGCAACGGGGAGCATGAGCAGAGTTTCCACTTCCCCGGGACAGGAAATCAGAACCCGAAAAGCGAAGCTACTTACGAAAAAGCGAACGCCACAAGTGCCCCACTGACCACAATAAAGTCCAGGATGTTCCAGAGGTCGCGGAAATAGGAGCCCGGATGAAGCAGCAAGCCCAGGTCAATCATCTTGGGAGAACATGCAGAAGAACAAACTCTCTGTGAAACCTGCTGGAAGGAACAGCTGGAGGCTTTCAGGGGTCGAGAAGGGCTGGGGGCAGTGCTCCTTCTTGGCGTTCTGGTCTAAAACGGAACGGATCTTCCAAGAGAGACTTCGCTACAGCCATCAGCAACTCCTTCCTGCACGTATAGAACCTAGCAAGCCCGGGGTGGTTTTGCATTTTTTCTGAAAGGTCACCACCGCATCATTCTGCCTTGTCCTAACTCTTTGAGAGAGATGGGCAACCTGGACATTTTGGCCCCTCTCCCTTTCTCCCACTTTCCAGCTTTTTCCCACATTGGACTCTTTTCACCCCAGTTTGCATCTTTAAAAAGCCAGCCCTAATGTTTCTATGCATGAGAATGTGCATTGGTCCCCACGTGCACACCTTCTACACAATATTTGCCTAATATGCAAATTCTGAGCAAGCAATTTGACTAAATATTTTGCCCTTGTCTTAGTTGCACTAATATACAATCTTCTCTATGTGCCTTTTCGACTGAGGACTCACATCAGCCCTTTGCAAAAGTGCGACTGTCGAAGTAGATTGGCTAGGAGGCATGAACTCGTCCCATTCGCGTTTGCATATGATCTGCATCATTCCCTGACCCCATCCCTATTCAGCGTTGGGTGTCTGCAATCATGACTAACATCTCTAAACTGTGTATTATTGTTGTTATTACCATAAATTCATGTCCCACCTCCTTTCTTCTCGAGAGGAACTCAAGGCATAACTCGAGTTTTCCTCACAGCAAGAACCCTGTGAGGCAGGTTGGGCTGAGAGTCTGTGGCTGACCCAAAGTGTCCCAGGGAATTTCCTGACCAACTGGGCACTCAAGCCTGTATCTTAGAGAGCAGTTCACACAATGCTTTATAATCATTAAATGCACTTGCATAATTTGAGACACTGACAGGATTAGTCCTGCATCCTGCAGGCAGGACAAGCTTCACTGTTCCTTGATCAGGTTTAAATTTTCCCTTAAACATGTGCCTGAACTCTTAAACAACCGTAAAAACATGGATTTTTGAGGGACATGGCTCAAACCCCCCTTTCTGAACATCCACCATGTGCCAAAGATGCAAGCAATGTCTGTTAAATGGCATCATTCCTACATTTAAAGATAAATTGTGGCATCTTAAATTCCTCAGATTTACCTTGGAACAGGTGAAACCTACACATGTCTACTTCTCTGAGCCCAGGAGTATTTTCCCACAGATAACCAAAGCTCTCTGGATGGTTCATGACATTTTAAGTCACCCATCCAGATTTCAACCAGGCCCAACCCTGCTTAGCTTCCAAAATTAGGCAGGATCAGGCACTTCAGGCTACATGGAAGCTCCCTGAACTTTACCCATCTCTGAGTCTCTTTCATACAGCTATCTTGATGGGGAAGGATTCTTCTCCCTGACCGTTTTTAGCAATGAGGTGAGCACCCAAACATAATCCAACAACAGGAGGTAACATTAGAGCAAACAATATTGTCATTCTGACATCCTGGAGAACGGCTACCAGTCCGTGTTGACAATCCTAGGCTAGATGCTTCAAGCACCTGACTTCGCCTCTTTGCACACTCTTATCTTGACAATGAAGAGAGATTCTTACCTTTATCACCATCTCAAATGTAAAGACACCTGTAAATATATAATCCAGGTACTTGAGGGCCTAGAATCAGAATGAGAAGTTTCAAAGGAGGCAGTGCAAGTGTCATCTCCACAAAAGCAGTAACAAAAATATAGAGCAGAGACAAGATTGTTGTCTGCTACAAAGTCACACAGTCATTGTATGGGTCCAAATGGGCTTCTCCTAACTCTCCTTAATTAAGAGCAGAACCATGCTCTATTCAGAGAATTCTAGGACCTTTCAAGGATAAAACCAGGAGCTCACAGCTCTGTGCATGGTTGCCCCATGTGTTGGATGACCAGATTCACACTCTGGAGCTTCTGCCTATGCTTCCAAGGCTGAATTTAATTTTGGAGAAGTTCTTGGAGGCCTTGCAGCAGTGGTAGGATGGGGTGAAAGCAAAAAAGGCGGAGCCAAAAGTGAAAGGGGTGGAGTCAAAATACCAGCATGCCGGAAGGACAGGCCACTTACCTGGGCATGGGTGAACTCACACATATGGGTTGTGTACCTGCACAGAACAGTCCTTTGGGAGAGTCTAGAGCTGAGCAATGCTTAGGCAAGTGTCTCGCCCACCCCTCCTTGCATTTCCGGGTCTGCCTTTCCTTACTTCTGATCTGCTGCAGTGGAGGACATCTCCACTGGGTCATCAAAGCAGGGGAGGAGGGTGGATTCTGTCAGTTCACAGATAACCACTGCAGTTGCAGGCAGCAGACCTGTTCTCCGTCACAGTCTTTGTGACTCACTCATATTGCATAAGAGGAAAAACTTACTGGAGGGTGGAGCTGCGATGCCCAGACTGCAGAGAGAACCACCCTGCTGAAAACTGCATCAGTCTTTGATTTTGCAGCATGTGAAGCTTGAATAGAGAGCTAATGAGAAATGGCCATGACTGGCACCATTTCTCGGAGAATCGCTGGTGATGCCTACCTTCTAAGCTGTAAGATGGAGCGTGCCTGGTTTCCTTTCATGGTGAGAGCGGGAGGAACCGGTGGCTGGAGAGGAGAAGCAGAGTTGCCCCCCGTAGCCATACACACCACAGTGTTATTAGGATGCCATGGAGGGCCTTGCCCTCCCCTCTGTTTTGCAACCCAAGGGATTAAAGGGAAGTGGGGGAAGGCACAGGAGGAGGAGGAGGAAGGCCCTGGCCAAAGAGGCGAGACTGTGCTCCTCCGCAGAACATGCTGCATGTCGAGCTGAGGCTCCTAACATGAAGCCACGTGGCCTGTCTGATTGCGTCTGAACCGGCAAGGACCCCATTCATCCCTGACCTGCAGAGTGGGTCTGCTAGCAATGAATGGGTATAAAGTGGGCTGGGGATCAGTCCCAGATGGAGCCCTCGGCTCCTCAGGAGGGTGTGCGTTGACCTTTGGACCCGGTCATCCCTGAACTGGGAATGGACTCTTCCCACCACAGGGGCAGTTCTTGAAGAAGGCTTTGGAAGCCAAGTGCCCCTGTGAGGCAGAAAGAGGGGTGGGAGAAAACACTCAGAGAAAGAAAGGAGAAGAAATAAATAGAACTTGGCCAGTGCTCCAGGTGGGAGGTTGAGGAATGTCTGCAGAAAGAGACTGCAAGGCACAAGAATATTTCGAATGCCGCCAGTCACAGAAGAAAAGAAATGGAAAGGAAGGAGTTGCGCCCACACAAGCGAGGAGGGAAGCTGGTACGACTTTCACCTAAACTCAGGACCACTCTAGAACATTTAGGAGGGCTGTTTTGAGCAAGTGCATGACCCAAATGTGCAAGTCACAAAGACCACGAAGCAGAAAGTAAGGCTGTTACGGTGAGTGGCAGAGTCAGCTTTCTATATCTGATGGCTGGGAAGATTTACCAAACTAGGCCCCCACCAAACAAGCAGCGGCTGAGAAAAAGGGGGTGATGTCAGAGGGAGAGAAAAACAACATTTGGGGAACCCCGAAGTACTAGATCAACTTCTCCGGAGGGTCAAACTTGGTTATGGGTTCTTATTTCCCACTGCTCCTTTCATCCCATCTCTGCATCAGTTCACGAACTTGTTTTGGTCTACATGAATGCTTGCATAGATTTTTGTACACATGTTTGCATGTTCATTTCTGCATTTTCCCCAACAGTGTGCACTTCCTTGGACATTGTGTTTTGATATGCATCATTTCAGAACATCAAAAACATTTGGGGAAGTGCAGCCTTCTGTGTTTTGTTGCACCCCTGTTTGTGTTTAAGTCTGAGAAGTGAACCGAGATGCAAAACGAAGGAATCGTTCACCCATCCCCAAGTTTGGACCCTCATCTCTGATCTTTGCTTGAAGGTCTCTAGTGGAACCTGCCCAAGGTTCAGCTCAGGCAAATATATTTTCTAGGTTCAAAGAATGGTCCACACACTCTTCAGGCCATGAGGAGGCAGCGTGGAGGAACATCTGCATTAATCTGCATCGGAGGAGGATTCCAATGCAAGGATCACACTAGCCAGGTTGCCTCAGCAACAGGGATGAGTTCTCTTTTCATCCCACACCCAAACAACCACATATTGCAGGCATAATGTCCATGAACAGCCTCATGCATGCACAAAAAAATGTAGGGGAGATTTTCAATAGGGATTTCTCACAAGGGTTTCCCGTTCCCTGGAACGAAGTTCAGAAGCAACATTTGGACTCGTAGAAACATAGAAACAGAGCGAGTCACAAGGGGCCTGCCAGGCCATCTAGTCTGACCCCTGGCTCCAGCCGGCTCTGCTCATGACATGCCCACCATGTGCATGAGCATGGGCAGAGTGCGATTCCTCACCTCGTTCCTTGGCGATTCGGCTTGGACGGGATCTTCGGCCGCGAGGGCAATGCTGCTGAGCGCGATGACAATGAGGATGACCATCTCAAAGTAACGCAGGTTCACAATGTAGTGGCACAAGCGCCGGATTCTACAAGAGTCGAGCAAAAACCAGCGACACACACATGCAAAGACAGAAGGAGCAGCTCCTCTTGCTATGCACTACTGCATAAGAGACACGACACGGAAATCTCGACATGGAGGGATCTCGTTGGCTAGCCATGCCAGAAAGAAAAGTACAGGGAGGGAAGGGGGTCAGTGCTTCGTGTCCACGGGGAGCTGCCGGGACCCCATCACCCCAAAACGGGCCACCACTGATATTTGCTCCAACCCTCTTTTCTGCCCCGGCAGCCCACCGAAATCCACACATAGCAGCTGACTGCCATTGTACTTCCCCATAATGGCCCTGACGGTGTCTCTTCGGGGCATTATGGGTAAATGGCCTGCCAGCCAGACCCACCCTCATTGCGTTGCCCAAGGGTGGCTTGTCATTACGAAGGATAGGAGGGGATACCAAGGGGCACCCAAGCCTGGACACCCCAATTTCTGGAGCTGGCCCTAGAACAACGAATCTGGCAAAGAAAGAAAGAGAGGAATTTTGTGTGCATATTTGTTTCCTCCGTTAGTAGAGGAAATATATAGTATTTAGTGGAAATTAGTAGAATGCATTTTTTGCATGCAGAAGGTCCAGATTCATTCCCGGATAACTGCAGCAACATGTATCTAATTGCAAATGGAAGAGACTCCTTGCCAGTTGGAATAAAGCTGGACTGGACCAATGAATAGTCCGGCCTGATCTAAGGTGGCTTCCCATGACCTTGAATATCTGAGGTGCAGTTTTGCAGAAAAAAACTATTCAGTATGATCAAGGAGCTGGAACACTTTCCCTAAAGGGGAATGCTACACTGTTTGAGTCTGTATAGAAACATAGAAACAGAGCTAGTCAGAAGGGGCTTCCCAGGCCATCTAGTCTGACCCCCGACTTACAGCCTGGGGAGGGGGCCAGTAACATGGGGGAGATGTCGCTGCTAGTATGTGCTGTCTAGTTGTCGCCGATTTATGGTGACCCCAGGAACGAACATCCTCCAAAATATCCTCTCTGTGACATCCCTGCTTAGCTGTTCTAAATCCAAGGCCATGGCTTCCTTGATGGAGTCCACCCATCTCAGATTCGGTGGCGGGGGGGAGCTGTATAAAAATATGCATGGTGCTGAGAAAGGGCAGGGGATGGCAGACTGGGACCCAGCAGGATTGTCCCACGAGGTGGAGAGGAGGAGAGGGAAATAAAAGGAGGAATACAAGGAAAACCATCTTCAGGCAGCCCACAATTGAACTATGGAATTCTCTACCACGAGAGAGAGGAAGGGCTGCATGTTTGGATGGCTTTAAACGGGGGTGGCACAAACTCATGGGGCACAAGACTAGACTGGCTGCTAGTCCTGGTGGCTGTGCGTTGCCTCCAGGGTCAGAGGCAGCATGCTTGTGTGAACCATGCGCATGCTTGGGAACACGAGCGGAAGGGCGCACTTGCCTTCATGTTATTTTTCTGGGTTGTCTGCAGACCTCTGGACTGCATCTTTTGAGGCTCTGATCTGGTGTGGTTGTTACGTTCTCGTGGTAGATAGAATTTCAACAAACAAAACCCAGCCATGGATCACTGGGTAGAGAGCAGGTGGGACAACTTACGGGTTGGTAGGACTTAAAATGAACATGGAGCTGTAAGGCAGAATTGGCTTGGGTCCGTGGTTTGCCAGGTCGTCATCGGCATCCATCTCTTTCTTCTCTTCTGCTTTCGTTTCGAATTCCGTGTTGTTCACTAGCACGTTGACAAGAGCAAAGAGACCCAGGTTGAGTAATGCTTTTAACAGCCAGTTAACCAGCCAATTTCCACCAAGGGATGGGTCAATTTACCCATGTTCTTCCTGTGTTATTGATATTACTCCTTGAGCTATGCAAGACACCAGACAGAACTATAAGAAATTGACAGAGCAAGGTTCTGGATTTCTTCTTTAACTGAGTCACAACTGCACAAATATAAACTTGTGCCAGCACATCATGACTCTTCAGAAGTGGAGCTAAGGCAGTAAATGACAGGAGACCCCTTTGCTTGAGGCCGTAGAGTAGGAACATGTGGGCCTCCGAGTGCTGGTAGACTAGAACTCCTGCATTCCTACCACAGGCCCCCACCCCAAAGCTGCTGCCAGTCAGAGCAGGCACTCCTGGGCCAGATGGACACGTGGCCCACAAGGTAACTTTCCACATTGGGAACACTCACTTGGGATGACAGCAGCTTCTCCGAGAGGGGCTGTGACTGTGACTGGGATGTTCACAACAGCAGCTTTATCCAGAGATGGCTGGCCCATGCGGGTGACATTCTTCTGGTTGTCAGCATCTTCCGGCTGCTCAGGCACCCTTGGCAGGCAGGTGCTGGGCAGGGTGTGCAGCGGGGCGACGGTCACACTGCCACCAGCCTCTGAATCACATGGCGCTTCCCTGAGGTGCAAGAACAAAGACCATCATGGGATGGGGAACTTGAGGGGCTGCTGTCCTTCCAAAGCCTGCACTGTCAAGCCATCTCCACCTCACAGCCACCCTACAAATGAAAGTCCTCGCACATGTCCTACCCATGACAGCCCCGCTCACCTCTCGCAAATTCAAGGCTCCCTTGATGGAGTCACCTCATATTTGATCTTCTCTTCCTTCCTCTGCAGGATGGTCTTCTCCCAGGCAGGCAGTCTTGCCTTCTTAGGAGGTGCCCAAAGTAGGGCAGCCTCATTTTTGTAATGTTCGCTTCTAGGGAAAGCTCCGGCTTGATTTGATCTAGGACCAGCTACTCAGTTTGAATAAACCAGGCAAAACGTAGATCCAGATCTACCACTAAATACCTGGATAACCCAAATTAGCTTGGCAGTGACTTCTGACTCTTTATGGTTTGTGCGTGCAGGTAGAACATACCTTCAGACTTTCACTGCTTGTATTCATGAGGAATGGGGAGCAGCCTGATTTTTTTTTTTTTTTTACTGTACCTGTTGTTTAACATTTCTATTGTACTGATGTTTTTAATGAGTTTTAGAAAAGCCTCCCTTTCCCATAAGCTGATTAAGAGATTCAGAACGGATAAGAGGGAGTATTTCTTCACACAATGCATAGTTCATGACAAGGAGCTGTGATAGACACCAATTTGGGTGGCTCTAAAAGGCAACTTTCCCAAAGGCAAAATCCACGCTAGGCACAATTAGGACCAGAACAGAAAACAGAACTGTCAAAATCTAACCTCCCTCATGCAAATCTTTGGTGTGAACACACTTGGAATATTATGTTCAGCTCTGGTCGCCTTATCTGGAAAGGGACATTATTGGGTTGGGAAAAGTAAAGAGCAAGGCAACAAAAATGATCAGAGGAATGGAGCAATTCTTCTGTGAGGAGCAGCTAGGAAAGTTGGGAGTGTTTGGCTTAGAAAAATGGGGAGCAAGGGGAGGCATGATGGAGGCACTTAAAATCATGCACAGTGTGGAGAAAGTAGAGAGGGAGACATTTTTCCTCCCTCTCATAACACTGGAAGCCAGGTCCATCCCATGCAGCTGATGAGTGGGGGGTTTAGGACAGATCAAGGATCTGCACGCAATGTATAATTAAGCCATAAAATGCACTGCCATGGGAAGTGGAGTTGCCACCAATCTGGGTGGCTTTCAAAGAGGTTTGGACAGATTCATGGAGGAGGAGGCGGCTCTCCGTGGCTACTAGCCCTGCTGGCCATGGGCTGCCTCCTTGACCGGAGGTGGCCTGCCTGCATGCGCCAGCTGCTGAGGAGCTGGGCAGGAGGAGGCCTTGCACCCGTCCTTCTGGAGGGATCCCGGTTTGCCACCGTGTGCACGGAGAGCCGGACTGGATGGAGCTTGGGTCTGATCCTGTGGGGCTCTTCCTGTGTTCTATTCCAACGTTATCGTGGAGCAAAAGTTTGCAAGCTAGGAAAGGAGGGCATCTCCTGATGGATCAGGCCAGTAGAGAAGCAGGAGGTCTCCTGGGAATTCTTACTCAGGGCTTTGTAAACCGGTGTCCAAAACCGGTCAGTGCAGTTCCTTCAGCAAAACTGCACTACGTTGGCAATAATTTGCTCCTTAGTCATAGCACTGACTGCAAACATCTAAACTTCTCTGTGTTTTAAGATAAACTGTATGGGCCTTACTCACTGGTCAAAAACACTGGCAGGCACTAGAGATAGGTCTACTCTGTGGTGGCCCCCACTCTATGGAACCTCCTTCCAAACTATTGGTTTGCTGCATGACTGCTTTTAGGAGAGCTTTAAAAACACACCCCTTTTGTCAAAAACGGGCAATCCTATTTGCTGCTGTTTCATATGTTAACACCATTGTCAGACTGTACTTTATTGTACTTAATTCAAATTGGCTTCAAATAATTTACATGTAAGAATCTGTTGATACTTAATTTGATCCTAAGCTATCTTAGAATGACAACACCTTTGAAAGGCAGCTGAGAGATCTCTCTATTGAGCAAAAACAAGAGCAGAAATAAATACGCCAGTGTGCATGTAGGGGGAGGACACCTCAGGAATATTATATCCCCCCCCCCAATATTTCATTTGCCCTTCCCTTCCCTTGGAGCAGAGAGACATTTAGAAAAGGTAGGCAGATACCGTGACAGGCAGCAAGGGGCATTGTGCTACCTCTTCCTGCTTTCCACACTTAGTACCTCCGCCGGTTCCATGCCGTCTCCTTGCCCTACTTCTCTAAGGGGATCCACGCCCAACTCCAGAGCCGCCTGGCTCCCAAGAGTGGGCTTGGCTGCTCAGCCTGCCTCCGCTGCACCGGCCCCGCTCAACCCAGCACCATCTCCCGGGCAGGGTTCCCCACCCAGCGGGCTCACCTTGGCTGGTGGTTCCTCAGCTCCTTCTCGCCAAGGTCGCCCTCCTTCTCCCCGTTCTCTTTATCCAGTGACTCGTATGTGGAGAGGGCCTTGTGCCGTATCTTGTGCCGTCTGTGCGGTTCTTCTCCCCCTTCTCCCTTGGAGCCTGGCTCGCCCTCCCGGTTCCCAGGCCTGGACCCTCCTCGGTGCCGAGAACGGCGCTCCGTCTTGGCCCCGTTCACATTCCCGTTGCCTTCTTTGGCCTGCCGCTCAGCCGAGTGGCGGTGACTGCGGTGCCGCCGATGTTCCCTCTCGGCTCCCTCCTCCACCGATCCGTGGCGGTGGTGGCGTCTACCGCCCTCCTGGCTTCGGTTGCGCTCGCTCTTCCCCTCCTTTCCGCCACCATCGCCCTCCTTGCTGCGGCTCCTGTGGGGCCGAGGACGCTCTTCCTTGTGGTTTGGGCCAGACTCTCCGTTCTCCTCCTTGGGCACATGGCTCTTCTCCTGCTCCCCTGCCTTGTCCTTCTCTCGATGCCGGTGGTGCTTGCGCGCACCCTCGGCACTCTCCTCCGGAAGAGCCTTCGCTTGCTCTGGGGCTTCTTGCACGTCGACGGGGCTCAATTTATTGACGTTGTTGTTGCGACCATCGCTCCTCGGTTCGACAACCAGGGGCCGATCCAGGTGGGTCTTCATGTCTGGACGGATGTGGAAGTTGTTAGCGTAGCGCATCCTCTCCTCCGGGTCCAGTTCATTGTACAGGGCTTCGCAGCTGGTCCGGAAGTTGTGCATCCGTATCTGGCTGGTCCTTTGCTCCCAGACGGATTTAGACTTGGAGGCGTTCTGCTGTTTGCTGCAGAAGAAAGGAAGGGGGTGGGAGAGAGGAGGGGTCATGGGAAGGGGTGGGGGAGAAGACAGGAGGAAAAGGAGCATCAGCAGAGAGAGGTAATTACTGTCATAACTGGATCAAACAGTGATGTGAGCACGGTTTCAGCAAAATGATCATGGGCAAGATGGTGGAATGGTTGCTTGGATACACTAAAGCAGGAAAAGCCAGCAGGAAAACCACAGCATTTCTTGGTCCCTTCCCAGGGACTTCTGGAATCAGTTTATGTGAGGAACCAAAACTATCGCCAGAACATGGTCCCTACTTCACCATGAAAGGTGACAGCTGCAAAAGGCCTTACCTTGCCCCACTACCACCTGCTGACAACCTTGCCCTATTGTAGCATCCCAACAACTGTATCCCAGCACTGCAATCCAACTCCTTGTTCTCTTTTGTGTCACTGATCATGGGAACGATAAGGTGGAACAAGCCACCTTGATGTGAATAAATCCAATCTGAACCAAGATAGAGAACGTCATCCCCTACAATCCAGCACCAAACTTCTTGACCTGAATCTCCGCCTCATGTCCCCTTGCTCCTAAAGGATCAAGGCCCTGAGTAAAGAGCTTCTAGTATGTAGACTTATATACCTGGAAGGTGTGGATACAGACTTTTAGTTGCTGCCTGGCTAGTGCTTGTGGACATCTATGTTCTAACCAGGGTGTTGTTGCGCCTTAATGCCATCAGATTCTTTGGGATGGGGGGCTTTTGAAGTCTAGGAAAGGGTTAGTCATTTTCAAAGGCATGCTTTTGGCCTGCTACTTTTATTTCAGGGTAACTGCCACATGAAGGACAAAGGTGGCTTCCGGGTGTTGAGTACTAGTACATACCACCACGAAGTAAGTTTTTGTGTTGCATGCCATGTTCCCAAGCCATGAAAAAAGCACTGACATTTATTTTAAACAAACATTTGCAGGCTGTGAAAGCAGGCTTCTTATAGACGAGGCTCCCTGGTTTCATCAGCTTAGATCAAATTCCCCAAGTGGGTAAGAGAAAAACAAAGCCAAGAATGCTCCAGCCCAAGCCCGTGATCAAGAACCAGAGTTACAGAAGGTCCATGAAAGCAGCAGAAAAGGAAAGCACAAAGACCAACAACGAATGAAGGTGTGCGTTAACTCTTCCGGCCTGAGCAAGCAGACCCCTTTCAACAATTTGGTTTTTTTAAAAGGTTACCTCTACGCAAAAGTTTAACTGATGCTTAATTCTTCGGTTTGTTCTACAACTTTGGTCTGCAAAGCATAGTTCTGCTTGTACGATGGGAATTCTTTTCCTCCACAGAGTCACTTTGGGGGATGCACTGGGGGGGGGGTGTCATGATTTGATCCACCCCATGGGTCTGTTCTTTGTCAATTTTAGGGTTATTGTAATCAGATCTCCAGGTCAGAGGATCAAACATTCCAAAGCAAGACCTTTACACCTTGGCTGCCAAACGAGATTATGCAGACCCACCTCTACAAGGAGGGAATTTCACAAAGAGGCAATCACAAATGACACAGCTTTCTTGCCAGTGACCCCCTGCTCCAGGTCTTACTTTTCAGGCAGGGTTACACAAGAGAAACCAGGCCTTTAGTCCCTTAAAATATAAGCTTTTGGGAACAAGACCTATGATGAATGACCTCCTGCCATTCTAAATGTGCTAACTTTCGAGATGCCATGAGATTGCCTTGTGGGGTGGGGAAAGGCTGTTTTTGCAGTAACAGGCTAATGAGCTCAGTCCTCTGGGAATATAATGTGTGTGGTGAGTCCTGGCTTTCTGTACATCTGATTACTGTCTTAAGCTGCAGTCTGATGCATGGTCAGTCGTGCTTGCTAAAATGGAGGGAGGGAGGAAAACTCCTCCAAGCAACCCGGAAATGCTGGAGGATGTAGGCTGCCTATTCTCCTGATCATGCATCAAACTGTGCTTTCAATGGTTTTTTCCACATATATTAAAGAGAACAGATTAGCCTTTCAAAAGGCAATTAACTCAAAGGGTCAAAGAGATCTCCTGTATGTTTTGATTTGGGACAACTATAAAAAGAACCCATAGCTTCTAAAAAGAATACTTGGGGCTTTAATGCAACAGCATCTTTCTGATATTGACAAGCTCCCTGTCCTTTCTTTGCATTCTCTGTGAGAACAGGAATTTTGGAATTTGCATGATTTGTAAACACCCCAAATCACATCAGCGGTATTGCGGGAGTACCTGCAACAGCTTGTGAGATTAGAATTTGATTCTGTGGGAAATTTCAATCATTTAAGGTAGGTATAATAAACAATCATTTTATTATCATCATCAAAACATCTACCAATTGGGGATAAATTGATTTATCAATTTGGGTTCCTCTCCCTTTCTCACTTTCCCAGCCTGGAACTTAGTTTGTCCTGAATTTGGATTCCCCATCCAACAATCTTAAATTAAGTTCATCCTGAAGGTTGGTTGGTTGTTTAAAAAAATATGCATGAAAGTTCATGCATATTTTTTGGTAATTATTCTCATCCATGCAATTTTTGCTAATATACTTACGTTTATGTAAGTGATTTCTTTTATATGAAGCACATTTTTGTATGAATCCAGGTAACTCCATTGCAAAGCTCAGAAAAGGATGAATTTTGAAGGATACATACATATCCTGAGTTCATACACTGTTTTGAAAGGGCAGAATTAGGAAAGTGCTCATGAAACTGTGAACCACATGAATTTCCCCCTTCTTTTTGGCTCACAGCATGACCGAATTGTGTATTTCGTATTCACAAAATTCATATTCAAGTATCTATTGGAAATATGAATGTTGTTCTTTTTTAAAATCACAAATCAATGCAAAAACAGGACAGAATAGATTTATGAGGGAGCCATCCAGTGAAACTGACAAGGCTAGAAAGACATTGACGCGTCCATTCCTATCTACAAATTTTAGCAGGCCCAATGTCTATGATCATATCTAGGCTGTTCCTTTTTAAAACAGTGCATATATTTACATTACTCATGTATGGTGTGAGATGGTTGGGAGAGTGATAGTAGAAAGGAAAATGAAGAGAGAGTTCTGAAAGCTCCAGCCAACAATATATGCTCTAGTTCTGAATTTTTAGAAACACTCTCTCTGAAACCTGAACTGCGATGGGATGGACAGAAGGAAAGGAACTGAAAACACGTGGCAAAGTGCCCAGGAGTATTGGTACATCCAGGGCTTGAGAGCATTGATAAAAAAAATAAGGAAGAAAGAAAAGTGCTTAATCCATTGCTTCCACTTCAGGAACAAGGTGAGTTGATTTGAAATGCCAAAACTTCAGGCAAAACTTGAATGTGGAGAACTTTGGAAGTATTTCTAGGGGAAACTTGCTCCTGGTCAAATGAGGGAGAAGCAGTGAATCCTTCTTGCATCAGTTGTTCTACAGAAAAAAATGTGTTTTCACTGTGCTGAAAATAATGCCAGACTGTACAGCGGAGCTGCCTGAGTGTGAGCTACACAACTACTACTGTTGGCAGAAGAGGCCGTTCCACGCTCTTCTTGGCATCTACTGGTATAATGATGTAGGGTCTAAAAAAAGGGAGGAAAAAGCAAATCCTGCCTCAGAGTGTTCAGGTGGTGCCCCAAAGCTCTTGCATTTTGTTCTGACAATAAATGATGCAACAGTTCCATAACTAAATACATAGTACCTGCTTCAGATCCTCAGGAGAAGGACAGAGTCTAAGACTCCTTGTAGGAGTTGCTGGGATCCATGATCTGCTGCACCATGTGGTGAACCACTGAACTGGTGGCATCAGCTTTGGACCAGAGGGCCTTCAGGATCTGGCCCTTGGGCAAGAGGGTTTCAAGGGAGCTTCCTGCTCCATCTGAGACTTGCTGCAACTACAAGCTCTCTATGCCATTTTCTTGTGTCCTTGCTTATTCTTGGCTCCAGACCTGTCCTCCTGCTCCTGGCTCAGGTTGCTCCCACAGCTGAGACTGCCCGGAACCACCAGTCCCTGAAGACAGCCATCTGAGTGGGATGGTGTAACGTGGCATCCTCGATGGACTCGATTGCCTTCATGGACCCTTCCAACTCTGCCATTCTAGGCTTCTCAGTCTTTCCAGCTGTGGAATCCCCCCACCATTCCTTGTTTCAGACGTCTCCAGTGGCTTGCTTCTGCCAAATTCAGAACTGTGAGCACCAGAGGACTGGCTGGCATTTTGCTGCTAACCAAAAACACCCAAGTGGCCATTCATCCTGCTAACTCACCTGAGCCCCCACTCACCACAAGTTGCTGCTGTCCAAGCTGCAGTGAATACAGAGCTTGCAAGAGCACGGTTGTGTTGTTGCACAGCGCCTGGCCCTTTCAGTGGAGACCACATGCCACACACGACAAGGTTATCTGCCTGCAGCTGCCAGGGATAGAACCAGGTTGGACCCCCAATGCCCTGGATGACAAAATACCAGGGTCTACAGGATAAGCACCATTTTTCTGGACAATAAAGCTCCTGGAAAGATTCCCTGGACCCATCCCATTTCTCAGCCCACGTGGTTGTGAGGACTTCCAGATCAGGTTTTCCTAGAAATGACAGCTCAGAGTTTGCCCGGATGCCTTGACCTCCAGGCTCTGCCCCTCCATCCCTGTTCCTGGTGCCAGGGTTGAGCTGAGGCATCAACACCACTGGACACCACCAAGGCCATTCTCCCCAGCAGGTCTATCTCTGAAGCTCCCAGCCCTGCTCCAAGCTGCTGCAGCTGCCCAGTGGGTGAGCACCCGGATGAGCAAAGTCAAGAAGCTCTGCACACATCATCCTCCGATACAGCACAGCCTGAACCCAGGAGGAGTGGAGGCAAGCGTTCCATGGCAGGAGGAGCACCGGCAGCGGTTTCCCCAGTCCTACAACCAGCCCTGCCTTCTGGATGGCTGTGTCCTTCTCATCCATCCGTCAGGAGTGGGACAAGAAACTAAGCACATCACTTGGAATCAAGACAGGCCACAGAATGAGACACACTGATTAAAGGGGGGGGGGATTTCAGGAGACCACAAAGGGGGCATGCAAATGCATGGAGTGGGAGGGGAAGGGGAAGGGAGGGGAAGCTGCACGATGGAATTGCTCTGAAGCAACTCACAAGCACTTACAGAGCAACGCGAGTCACTTTCTGTTTCCACAATGGAGTGAACCATCTAAGCAAAGGGGGGTGGAGGATGGGAATGGGGCGACGGGGTGCGGGGGGAGAGGGATCTGTTTGTATAGGTATATATCATCCATCCATTCATTGTACACAGAGGGGCAACTCACGGTGAATTTACGCTGGAGACCGACGAGCTGCGTGATACAGTACCTCGAGTTTGCTTTACAAAACTGCACATGCAAGAAACAGAAGAACAAAAAAGTGAGAGGGAAAAGGGGTGGGATTAAACCTCCAGAGAACTCGGGAATGCTGCGGAGAATTTCAGAGGGGAGACACAGACAGGGTACCAGGTCCCGCTCAGTGCGGGCTGGGGATAAACTGCAGAAGGTGGGAGGTCTTGAGCCACTGGTTGAAAGGACAATATAGTTAAGTAAAACTCAACACGGACACTGTACAGCAGTGGATCAAAAAGCTGGCCAAGAGATCTCAGAATGCCATCTTTCAATAAGCAACATTTGTAGGTTGTGAGGCCCAAGTCATACTTCCTCCTCCGACATCTCAGCAAACATTTTCTTCATCTCCAGCCAAGGTGCATAGAAACCGATACACAAAGCACAGAAGTACGTCTCCTGCTACCTGGCAGGAAAGACTAAACGGGCTGGATCCAGGCTTAGACCTAACTTAGAGCAGACCCATCAAGATCAAGGGGACTTATTTGAGTCAGGTCCCCTGGATTTCAATCCCTCTGCTTGAAGTACGGCTAAGTCTGAATCTAACCTAATACAAATAAACGAATACCCAACCATTTATCATGGACACAACACCAAAAGTTGTCTGCCCCATAAAAAGGCCAGTTCTATTCAGGCCCTTTCCCTAAAAACAGGGCTGAATAATCAATCTTCATAGATGAAGCTGCAGTACATACTTTAGCAGCAGTAGGCTCTTGTCTGAGCTCAAACGCTGGAGCTGGAACACCACAGATGGAGAAACAGGAGCCCAGCCTGGATTTCAAGCATTTGCTCGTCCATCCGCCTTTCTTGGGGGTAGGAAGAAGGTGGAGCAGAATGAAGCTGAAGGAGGCAAGGTGGGGGTCTTGCACAGGAGGGGCCTGATGCCTATGCAGTCACAGTTGTACAAGTTCCTGCCCCCCCCCTTTTCTTCAGTCCTAAGCATGTGACTGTTACGCATCAGACGATGCTAGTAAAAACCAGCGTTGCGCTCCCAGAGATGGCTATCTGCCTACCCCTGACCTATTTTAGGAAAGATAAAAATACGACTGCTCTCTGCCAATCCTTTTCCTGAGGATTCCCAAGACAGAGCATCCTCCTGATTCTCCGAACAGGGTACAGTAGCTTTACTGAGCAAGTTCAGCAGAAGCTGGACACGTGCCTGCAGGGGGACAACCTGTAGCCTCCTGGAGGTAATGGCCTATAGATATTGTCGCTCTTCACGATTAACTACGCTTATGGGGCTAGTGGAAATAACAGGTCAGAATCTCTGTGGGGCCACAAATGGCTTTAGAAGCCATTGTTCTGCATCTGAAGCAGCTTGGCCTACATGAAGGTTGCTTCCAACTCGGTGATATTATCATCTTCCCGGTTCTCCAACACGTGACTGAAAGTGTTTTAAGGTGGGGTTTGATTTGAATTTGATGCCTGATGCCCTACTATTAATTCATTGTATTACCATCCTGGGACTTTTAGTGGAGGGTGGTATGTAAAAGCTTTAAATAAATAAATAAACGTCCAGGCACAGTGGGGATGGGGAAAGGGACATCTGCACTTACTATAAATCTCCATTTTCTGAGAGTCTATATATTTCTGAGAGTGGGGTGGTCTACATATTTGAGTAGGACCCTCTTCCTGATCAGCAGAAAAGGGTCTAACAAGCACGGGGAGAGGATGCTTGCAGCCCAGAGCCTGGGAAAAAACACACTCTCCCTCACCAGTGAAATGTATATATGAAAAGTCAATGGTCTAAGCGCAATGACTGGTCCACGCTCAAGAAAGGGAAGACATCAAGGGATCCCATCAGGCAGATGATCCAAGCATCCGAAAAGAATGGTCAGCTGACTCACGTTTTGCCTCCAATTGGAATGTTTAGATTCTCTCCCCCTTTTAATGGGGCAGTAAACCTGCCCCATCCCAGAACCCCCAAGAAGGGCAATTTCCAGGAAGTTTAAATTTTCCTTTTTCCTGTGGTTCTTGGGTGGGGCAGCCTATACATTTCTAACATAAAGGCAGTAGAGTCCCAGGATAGACACAACCCTTTGGAAGACTCATCAGCAAAAGGCTGCACCAGAAAAGGTAAATACTGTATACACATGCTAATCCTTGCTACTGTGAGGACAGGTTTACATAGTTCTAGTTCATATGCTAATTTAGCAACAGATTGTTCTATACTGTGGAAGGTGGAGAACCATTGGAGAAGCGGACTGTAGTGCCTCCAAGGGCAAAATGACCCTGGGACAAATCGGGACAAAGTCTCCTACCCACGTAGTTTCAGAACCCCCAGAATGTAAAGAGGTTTGGCCCAGCAGATGCAAAGAAATTCTAGAGTTTCTGGAACCCTGCACAAACTGAATGCTTTTACAGAATCCATGCAGTGCCCTTCTCTCTTCTTTGAAGCAGTGATTTAGCTAGAAGGAAGCCAGAGATGTCATCTCACATCCATAGGACTATTTAATAATGGGACAAAATGTAGCTTATGTAGCATACTTCTCACAAAGATTTTCCCTGTTGAATCTCAGGGTAGAATCTGGCCTCCTGTTCCAGCAGGTGACGGAAAGATTCTGCCCTTGCTCTCATTTCTCTACCACCCAGGAGGAAGCACTTCCCAAACACATAGACTAAGCTCAACCCAACCAGAAGCACCCATTCTCTTGATGGGTACTAACAAGTTGAGAACAGCAGCTGATCTATGTGGAGAAAATGCAAAAGCTCAGTCCTGGTGTCTCTGCTGAAAAACCAGCAGGTGATGAGATTCCAGGAAGCTGCAGATGGTTCGAGTACATAATCCTGGGATGGAGGGGGAAATCAGAAAGAGCAGAGCTCTTTTCCCATCATGCAGCTGGGGATGAAAGTATGGCCCTCTTAGACATGGTGTGGGGCCAAAGGATTGCTCTGGTATTTACTTCCTGCACTTCTGCAGGTAACTTGCTCAGGTGCACTTCTCAAAGCAAAGGTTAAACCCACGAAATGGCTATTATACAACATGCTAAAATCTAAGGCAAATTAAAATGGCCATGGAGGTAAACTAACAGCAAAAGAGAACAGCAGTGTAGGGAGCAAAAAGTCTGTTCTTGAATGAGGAAGACCAAAAATGGAAAGACCTGCACCTGGCACCCAAAGGATCCCATGAGAGGCACCCATTTCTTACTCTCTAGGGAGGGATGTCCTCACATTAGGTGCTACCACTAAGACCACCTTCAATCTACTAGTCACCCACCTCACCTCCTTTGGTGTGGGTGCCATGAGAAGAGTCTCAGATGTTGATCTTGGGATCCAGGTAGGTATATATGGAAAAGAATGAACCATCAGGGAATCTATCCCTAAGTAATTTAGGGCTTTAAAAGTTAATACCCACTCCTTGAGGTGGGTCCAAAAGCAGACTAGAAAGCACGGGCATCAGGCAGTCCACTCTCAGCTGACCAACTCGCTACTCTTGCCTGGACTAGAATATGTTTCTAGACCTTTTTCTAGGATAGCCTCATCCTGTATTTTGCAATGCATTGCATCCATTCACCCAGGGTCCCGATCCACGATCTGCCATGCATTACATTCCCTTGTGTGACATACAAGGGTAGGGAAGATTAGGTGTGACATGCCAGGTGTTTGACCTATGACTTCCATCCACCCCAGAGAGTACAGAGATCATGAAATTGCAGGCCAGCACATCTGGAGGGCCACATGTTGCCCATCCCTATAAGAGCTGAGGAGTCTCAGAAGATCAATCTTCTGAATTCACCTCATGAAACAGTGAAACCAAAGCCAACGCCAACTTGGAAGTGTGTTTGTGGGGGTGGAAAAGAGGGAGAAAACCCCAAAAAATAAAAAAATGAAAGAATGAGTGTCCCCAAAGGAAGGCATTGTCTTGCACCATAATATTTCCAAACAACACTTTCCCTGCAACACGGGGAGTGGTGCCTGCTGAAGCTACGGTTCATCATGGTTGACACTCTGCTTTGGACCAATGGTGTGGTACCCAGGGTCCCTTGGGAATGGCCTGCAAGGGAATGCCCCATCCACCTTGAGCATCCCTCCACTACAAAGCTGCCAAGGGGTGTGCGCCATCTTTTCTTGTCCGATCACCTCTCCAGTGGTCTGCAGCCTCCCTGGCTTCTCATGCTTCAGATTAACTCCAGAGGTAGCATCATGAATAGGTCCTCCCATGGAGATTTCTCAGATCAGGAGGTGACAGGAGGCCACAGAGCAATGGAGAAATATCCAACAGAAACTTCAACAGAAACTCCAAAAACATTTACGACAGCAAGTTCAAAATCACCACTGGTCGTACATTTTGATTTGCAACCTGCCCAGGGAGCCTTGTGACTGATGGGGTGGGCTAAAAACCTAATAGATGAATGGTGGAAAAGGGAAGCCCCTTCTTTGCAAGACGCGAAAATGCATCGGAAGGCATATCTGGGCACAAGACGCATGTCCAAGCATTATTTCACACCACTGCCACTGCTCTGGCAGCTTCAGCAAGTATTGGGGAATTGGGAGCAGTCGCTGCTCCATAAGGACAATCCAGTTTGTTATGGGATCCAAGGACTATTAAACATAAATACATTTATAGCTACAGTCTTCGTAGAACACTCTGCACCTCTTGCAAACTACGCCTGCAAAGCATCCAAGCAGGAATAAGGGAAAGGCCGGTTGCAGGACGTGTGAGAACGGGAGGGGTAAATGAACCAGAGTCCCAGTTTTCATAAGTGGCACAACGTGGCATATTTGTTTCTAGGAAACCAGGAGTGGCACGTGCGTGTGAGAGGGAGGGAGGCAGGGATAGAGAGAGATGCAAACCCACATCCACTTCCAAAGAACATATCAGGGAGCCAAGGTTCCATTTGGATGCCAGGAAGCACTTCCTGATAGTCAGGACCCCGAGGGTGTGGAATGGGCTTCTACAGGAGGTGGTTGAGGCCCCATCGATGAGGGTGTTCAAGGATAGGCTGGACATGCACATGGTGGGCATGGCGTGAACGGAGCCGGCTGGAGCCGGGAGTCAGACTAGATGGCCCGGGAGACCCCTTCTGGCTCGCTCTGTTTCTAAGAAACCATTGGTGGGGTTTACCAGGATAGCATGTCTTTCCACAGGAGGTGGTTGAGGCCCCATCGGTGAGGGTGTTCAAGGATAGGCTGGATGTCCACATGGTGGGCATGTCGTGAGTGGAGCTGGCTGGTGCCGGGGGTCAGACTAGATGGCCCAGGAGACCCCTTCTGACTCGCTCTGTTTCTATGTTTCTATCATAGGATGGGTGAACGCATCCTTGTTACCAACACTCTTGACACGTGCTTAAACATACCAGCCACCGTTTTGGCTTATGTGGAAGGGTCCCTATGCATCTGATGTCTGCAGAGCTTCTCTCCACATGGGTGGGTGCAGACTGCTGTCCAGATTATATTCTCCCTTGTATATCACTGCTATATGCGTGCCTAAACGCATCTAGAGTTGCACCCTTAGTTTACTATTTGATTAAAGGTGAAACGATCTATTAAGCTCATACTTTCCTGCTGAGCTAGCTCTTGAACTACCCCTGCATGAATTAAGTGAGAAATCTGCACCTTCCCCAATTTTTGGTGCAATTCCCTATTTTTTTAAGTGCATAAAATGTGTAAATTAATGGAAATAGTATGCAAATTCACTCTAGTCAGGAAAATAAGTATATTAAGGGAAATGACATAGAAAAATGAAACTGTTTGAAGAAATGCATATGAAAAGGGGTGCCAATTTCCCCTTTGGGGAAATTATGGGGTTCTTTTTTAAAATTGAACATTTATGGAGAAACTGGATGAAACCAACTTAAGGCTGGAAAAAGAAAACTGAATCAAGCCAATCCACCCACTTAGGTGGCTTTAAACAGGAGATTAGACAAATTCATGCTTTCTACTTCATTTAAATAAAGATTCCATTAAACTGCAGCATAAGCAATATGGTTCCAGTTGTGATTGTGTATGCAATTTAATGGTTTTTACTGGGATATACATCACTGGTTTAAAGTTATTGCTGGCTCTTATTGGTTAGTATTCTGATAGCATTTTGTGGTTTTAACTTGCTTATGTCTTGCAAAATGATAATTCTGAAGACAGGTTTGCTCTAAAAGGCAGCTTACAAATATTTCAAATAAAATATGTAAGGTTACCCTTGGCTGGTATGTTTAAGGTTGCAGTCATGATAACTCTAGGAGCACATACTACAGAGTATCAGTTGCGACAGAGCAAAGCAGGAGAGGGCTAAAACTCTGGTCCTGCGTCTAGGATTATTAGAGCCATTAGTCCAGCATGAGAGTCCAAAAGACTAGGTGTGATGCAACATGAGGTCATGACATACGGTGGTTAGACAGACTAACATGCGGAACAGCCCAGCTCACTGGAAGACCTTGGACCAGCTGCTGCGCTTCAGTCTAGCCTCTCTCATGAGGGAAGCATCCAACAACGTACCCTGTGACCTGAACTCCTTGGAAGAAGAGCAGGTTGCAACAGCTTTGCTAGATCAGGTCTAGCGTTCTGTCTCCAGACAGCCAAATGGGAACTGCCCAAAAGCCTGCTCCTCGTGTTCCCCAATCGCGACCAACAGGCCGATAGTCTCAGATCCTAGAGGCACAATTAGCATTCCCACAAGAGCCTCATGAAACAGGTTAGACTGGTAGCCAAACTGGTCCAAAGCCATTCAGTGAGTGGGCCTTGGAATCCTCGCTTTCTCATCCAGCACTCCGCCCACTACACCACACTGCCTTTCATTCTGGGTGGGGACTCATCTTAGCAGGGCCTGCCTCCCCTCCTTGGCATCCCTCCCCTCTGGCTTCCCCATGTCACGAGGTCTAGGCATTCTTGTCGCATTCCCAGGTGCCACACACATGCGCAATGGCGCTTTGGTGAGCACATGGGGGGTGGGGTGGGGTGGGCCTTTCCAAATGGAAGCAAAAGGAGTGGGGGATTCCCCATGGGGGGCGTCCCACCCTTTTCAGGAGCTGGAACCCCGATTGATTCTTTGAAGTTTGGGTGCAGCATCAATGCCACTTTTCCAAGATGCTTACCAGTGTTCATGAGTGTGCAAGAGGGAGGTTGATTCTTATAAGAATCAATAAGAACTTTAATAACTCAATCATTCTTCAAATCAATAAGAACCTTAGGGGGACACGAACAACAGAAAGCGGAACCGTGTTTCCAAAATCATAAGATAAACCCTTACGCGGCAATGGAAATATTAGCGGCTGACAGGGGACTAACATCTGCTACCTCCCTCGCCTTCTGCAGGGCAAGCTTTTGATTGGTTGCTTCTTCCATTTCCTCTTCATCCTATTGTAGAAGACACAGGAGAGAATGTGTTACTCAGTGGACTCATTCCTTTCTTTAAGGTAATTCTACTACTCGGGATCGCTTGAAAGGACGGACAAAGGACTGGCCGCCCCACCTGACAGAGGAAAAGAAAAATAGAAGGCGAGAGGAATGCTACTAGACGCGCTAAAGGAAAGGGCAACCTGGAGAAGCAGAGCATGGATCCTAGAAGAGCTACGAGAGAGAGAGAGACACTACGGATGTTCAGCAGAAGACGGACCCCAGGGACAAAGGGAGAAAATCACGCCCCATAAAAATAGGATCAAAAAATGGGATGAATCAGGGTACCCAACCCATTACAACCTACCTTTCCCTTAGAACAAAGACTCAGAATTATTATTATTATTATTATTATTATTATTATTATTATTATTATTATTATTAGAATACAGCTAATATGGCGTGGTCCATGCGATAGCAACATGAAACACAATGCACACCAACCAGGCTGTACAGCTGCCCCCACCCCGGCCCCAGCCTGGTGTTCTCCAGATATTTCAGACTGATATTCCTGGCATTCCCAGCCTTTGGCCATACTGGCTCGGGCTGATGGGAGCTGAAGCTTCTGGACTGGTCCCCTTCTCCTGATGGTAACCACAGCAGAAACAGCCAACTGCCGGAAAAGTCTAGTCCGTACATTGTAAGACAGAGCAGTAAAAAATGCTGACTTGTACCAAAGCTATCAACTGCTATCTCTACTCCACCATGCACCATTATTTTAAAGAACTCAGAGTTGAACAAAAAAGCACCCCTTGCCAACTGGGATAGTCCCCCAAGAACCAACTCCAAGGGAGCAGGAAGGGCTAAGGCTTTCCCACTGGTGGATCCTCTGCTCCGGAAGCAAACCTGGTGCTAATTTTGTCATCCTTACAGTGCCCCATTAAGACAGGAGACTAAATGACCTGCATTTAAGCATGGCCGAAGGGATCCAACAGCCATATGGGTGTGCCCACATCTGGTATTTTAACAGGCCTAATTCCATACTAAATACTGTTTTAGATGCTAAGTGCAAAACCTTTTGTTTTTTGAAAAAAAGACTTCATATTATGAATTTAAAAATATGGTGGTTTCATTCTATTTTGATCCTGTTAGTGAACTAGCCAAAAAGCTTTGGCTATTGGGTGGTATAGAAGCTAAATTTATGAATTGCATAATGAAAGAGAAAAAAATGACCAGAAAGCTCTCCGAATCATTTATCCTTGGGAAAGGGCAAAAAATGCTGAAAGGGGGCATTGCTCTTCTCTATCAAAATTCGTTCTGCGTCTCTTTTCTTCCAGGAAAAAAATGGCATAGCTCAGCCATGAGAGCATCGTTTGGCCAGTAGGAATCCAGTGTGGCCAGTCCTTTTATCCAATGGGGCTGCATGGAATGGCATGTGCAGATCCTCGCTGTGGTTCACAAAGAAGGAACCCAAGCCAAGCTCAGTGACTGATGGGCCATTAAACCATTACACAAAGCCAATCTTTCACAGCTGCCATCCTCCAGCAGATTTATCGGTGCGTCGCTAGACAATGGGCTGGTTCAGAGATTCCATGCTGTACCTTCTGACACACCCCGTGAGTCCCCAGAGAGTCATTCACTAGGAGGATAAAATGTGGAGGTGTCAGTCCAGCTTGGATTGATGAGCAAGCCTGTGCCAGTAGCTATTACAGGAATCAGCTCTTAACAGATGAATGCAAAGCTTGCAGGGGTCTTTGAAACAGAAGCTCTTGTGCTTGGCCCAGACTTATAACCCCGAGTCCCCAGGGCAGGTCTCAGGTGCAGCGAGTTATTGGCTTGAGACCCATGTCGCTGCAGCACCTCTCATGGAATAGCTAGAGGTGGCCCTTACAGCCCCAGGTGACCTGTGCTCCCATCGTTTCTAAACTGCCCAGCTTTGGCTGAGTCAGGTGCAGCAACGAGACCAATCAAGGAGCAAATCCAGTGGCTACAGTCAAACGCACAGGTCTTGGTCCAGCAAAAGGGCAGCACTAGGCAGGAGGAACCAGTAGACAAGGCCCAAAGCAATGCTCAAAGGCAGAGCCTTACCGAGGAGGAGGAGGTCCTAGAGGGAGGTCTAAATACAGACAAGCAGGCAGGTGCAAATGTTGTCCAAGAAGCAGAGTCAAGCAGGACCCCAAAAGTTGGTTGCACAAAGGTTCAGTCATGGAGGGAGGTCAGAGAAACAAGGGCATGTGGTAGTGGAGCTAAGAGCAAGGTGCTGTTTTCAGCAATAGCTAGGCTGGACTTGAAGGTTTATGTGAGCTGATCTTCCAGAGCTCCACTCCGGGCTCAGCCGCAGTTCACGATATGCCCACTGGAACACACCCTACTCATGGGGCAGACTTTGCTCCTCCTTTTCACAAGGGTTCCACCGTCCTGCTTCTGGAGATGCCACCATTCTTGGATGGACTTCTGGCCATCTCCTCTGACGGTCCAGGCATTTCCAGGTCTTCTAACATGGGCTGTTCTGTGGTGGTCATCTCGGAGAACTCACATCCTTCTTCTTAAGAGGACTCCTCCAGTGGGTCCATGACATAAATACCTGATTCTGTTACTCAGTCTGACCTACATGTCTCTCATTAGCTATGGTGGATCAATTCATTAATTCACATTTCCATATAAACTGATGCAATTGACCTTCCCTGGCCTAATCTGAGAATAGGAATGCAGTTCAGTTGTTACACTTCTCCTAACAATGTGATTCCCTATTTTTTAAAGAAATACTTATAAGACTAATTCCCCTCTCCCCACCACCAAGATATACTGGGGAGAAATGCATACAAATTGTCGTGCATATGAAAATGCATGTTTGTGTCACCCAGTTCACAATACGCTTGGACGCTTCACAACCACAGTTTTAACAGGTTTGTTCCACTCCTAAAACCCTAAGAGGAGCTGGGCTGCACCAGAGCAAAGTCCTCCCGTGCCAGCACTCTTTCTGCGCAGGGGCCAACAAGGGAGCTTCAGGGAAGACGGGGAGCAGGACATGAGTGCAAGCGCACCTCATGCTCATGTGCCCAGAAATCCGTGTTGAAAGGAGTCCTGCCTGTGCTCCCAGAGATAATACAACCATAGAAACAGAGTGAGTCAGAAGGTGCCTCCCAGGCCATCTAGTCTGACCCCCGGCACGAGCCGGCTCTGCTCACAACATGCCCACCATGTGCACGTCCAGCCTATCCTTGAACACCCTCACCGATGGGGCCTCAACCAACTCTCATGGAAGCCCTATAATATATAATATATAGCGGGGCTGGAGGGGACAGACTTGCTCAACAGGGGAGCCACATGCAGTAAGTGTCAGGTGTTTGAGAGTTGCAGGTGGACACCCGTAGGCAGCAGGGGGTGAGTGGCAAGCGGGTGCCCACGGGAGGCGAGCCACAAAATAAACTCAGAGCCACCTGTGCTTCATGCACCATAGTTTGGGCACCCTTGATATATAACCATCACAACTGGGGGCCCAGTGGTAGCACAATCAACTCAGACTAGAAGAACATGACTACTGCCATCCCTTAAGCAACAGCAAACCCCTTACGTGAAGCAAGAGGCACTACAAACATAGGAATGCCTTAGAAAATAAAAGGACTTTAACCCAGCACCAAAAGGACCATAACATGGGTTTCAGGCGAGCATCCTTCTATCAGTGTGGCACTACCAGAAAGGTGATGCATGGTGGAAGCCCTTGAGCAAGATCGCAGAAGAAAAGTCCTCTTCCATTGCTGCTCCCCGTCATATCCTGCGTCCAAGCAGAGAGGTCCCATGGAAGGATCAGAGTTCAACCTAGAGCTCTCCTCACTTATAGATTTTTCTAATTCTTTTTTGCTAGCATGTAAGCTCATGGCCAGCAATGCACCACATGGCAAGCCATTATAGGTGGGAATTTTGCTCCCTGTGGAGGTGGAGGATAAGGACTCCCATCAGTCCCAGTCTTTGATCCTTTTGGTGGCCAGCTCAACCTTGTATTTACAAGAATGCCTGCAAAGTGATCCACAGAGAAGAAGGGGAAATTGTAAAACTAAAGCAGTGGGTGAGGAATATGTTACAGTGCCATGTTTAACTTGACTCATTTGGAGCTGTTCTCTGATTGATTACTGTACTTTGGCCCCGTGCACAGCTCTGATTTTGATTAGCTTTAAAATGTAATTATCAAAGGAAACTAACTCCCTGGCAACTCAATTAGCCTTAAAAGGTATTTGTCAAAGGTCCATTCACTTTGGAATGTTTGCGTGTGCATGATCATATTTACTCTGCCGTACACGGTGTTTCCGCTAGCCGTGCTAGTGACTGAACTGCTTTGATCTCCCCAAAACACTCACACACACTTTCTCTTCTGAAAAGCCCTAGTGATTGTTGGGTCCATGCTCTGAAATCAACAGAGAGCATTTCAAAGAAAGCTGCACGATTTCTCAGTGCTTTTCATCCTATCTATTTTTAATTGCCTTCCACCACAAACACTAACAAAGTCAGCTTTCCAGCCAGCCCACTACAGTTGGCTTCTGAAATATGCAAAAGGAGAAATTTAAAGAATTTAAAAGGAGCCAAGCTGAGCTCGCTCTCTCTCTCTCTCTCTCTCTCTCTCTCTCTCTCTCTCTCTCTCACACACACACACACACACACTTTTACACTCCAAGGAGCCACTGCTAGCTGTCAGCTGAGGCATTTTCTCAAATCTTCCAAGGCTCCCCCAAAGAAAATACATTCCCCAAGAAGAAAAATATTGTCAGGTTTTATATAAAAAGGAAGGAAATGAGATTGATTTTGGACAGGGCAAACCTTTCCACAGGAGATTGCCCTGTCCCCATAGGGGAATGGAGGGTTTCAACAGCAGTCAAAATCCCAAAGGTTGGGCTGCTGTTAGCTACCCTGTGTCAGGAGACATGTGGGCCAGCAACGTGTAAAACTCCTGCACATTGGTTTAGCCTGATCCCTACTTGCGTGGAGTAAAACCTTGCCCTGTAAGGGAAATCTCTGAGACATGCTGTAATCCTAATACGCCCCCTCTCCCAATGTAAACAACATTTCTCTGCTGATGGCACTGCCAACCCACCTAAGGCAGACCATGACCTGAAAAGGCAAGCACATAAACGTATTCCTGGTCTCTACTGTCTTCAACTCTCAGAACCAGAGCCCGAATCCAAGGAAACCATATCCTTTGTGGTTTTCCATCCCCAGGGTGTATTGGTTGCCAAGCATTTCAGAAGGGGAGACCTTGTAGGTAGGTATATCTCCAGGGCTTTTCTTCTGGTGTTGCTGGGTGCTGGAGAAGGACGGAAGGTTCTGTCCATGGACTTCCCAAGGTCACCTGACTGGCACTGACCTAGCAAGGTTTTTCTTACATGGCATTGCTCACCTGGAACAAGGTGTGTGGGTGATGAGTCCGTCTTCATTTTCCTCACCACTGGACAGAAAAGACTCAGGAAGAAACTAGAGGCTGTCCTGGACTGGTCTAAGTTGAGCTCAAGAGCATTTAACTCAGAAAGCATCTCTCTCTCTCTCTCCAACGGAACGGAAAGAACTTTCAGAAAATTTACTATAGCTTCCTTGGCGGGAAGGTAAGTGGTGCCAAGCAGACCTTCTACTGCTGACCCTTGCAAAAGAACCTGTTCCCACCCTGCTCTGGCACTCACCTTGGTCAGCTCTTGTGCATTGGCAAGGTTGTCCACAGCAATGGCCAAGAAGACATTCAGGAGTGTGTCTGATTCAGCGGATAAGGATCTTAAAAGCACCCTCACATGAGATATGCCAACAATACAGTTTTGTCAGGAAATATCAGAAGCGGTTTCCTATTATCTGACAGCCACAAACATCAGCAGATTACAGAATGGATGGGAACAGCGATATCAGTCATCACATCACTTCCATCAGCTCTTCATAAATGGTGCAGGAGAATGGGAGGGTGTGGGGGGGGGGCATCCATGGCCAAGCTAGAACTACAATAGTATGCGAACAAAGCAGCAATATGGTTGATTTAAAGAGAAATGATGTCTCATTGCTACTTACTGGAATGAGAGAGTCCACAATGGAGAAAATCTTACCCTGCTGGGGGGCAATAAAATTATTGAAATTATCTCTTTGGTTGAGGATGATTTAAATAATAGAACCAAACTGGTGTAGCAATGCATCTTACAGTTGGTAAAACTGTGTCTGCACATTAGCTTTCCCCCAACTGTTTTGGACTTCGACTCCCATCGGTCCCAGCCAGTGTGGCCATCAGTCAGGAATCCTGGGAGTTGTAGCCCCAAAAGAGCTGGAAGGCATCAGGTTGCAGATGGCTGCTGCACGATACCAAATCAGCTCGTTTTTTCCTCCTCTTCTATAAATACTGGCTAGATTACCGATAAATTACTTGATTAGGTTTTGATTCATGTCCTGTGTTTTCTCTTTTCAAAAAAGAACTCAAAGCAGCTCTCACCACTGCCTGGTCTCAGTCTTCTCCCCACTACAACAACCCTGTGAGGTAGACTGAGCTGAGAGTCTGTGACCGGCCCAAATCACCCACTGGCCCCATGGCTAACTGGGGACTAGAACCCAGGTCCCCTGAGTCCCAGTCCCAGCTCTTAACCACTACACCGCACTGGATAAACAATTTAAATATGAAGGAAAAGGATCTTCCCACGTCGATTGGCGTAAATGGACTAGCAGGTGAGTTCTTTCTGTTTCAGGTTGCCACACCGACTTCTATAGCTCTACATATGACTGCATCTGGATCTTGCCCAGCACGCTCCACCCACGGAGCCTCACATCTTGCCAGAATCAGCTCGTTTAAGGGTGGGGAGGGCGGCACGGGGAAATTATAATCTAACTGGCAGAGTACCAGACTCCAGCGGTGACTGGTGTACAAGAGATTTGCTTTAGTTTCTGGCCAGCTGGTTGCTACAAGAAAGTGTAAAAGGGAGGTGCAAAATCAGGTGTGAGTGAAAATAAAGGTCACAACGGCATTCTTGAGCAAAGGAAGGCCTGCGAAAAAATGTTGCAGCATACACTGCTTCTCTCCATCTTGCAGCCAGCTAGCCAGGCCTTCTTTCCAATACTTCCCACCATCCCCTCTTGCACCCACATCCTACGCAGCCACCGGAATTTCATTGCGAGTGTGTATGGACACTTTTTGCCTGGGATGGTGGGGGAGGGCTGCCCCCTTAGGCTCTCTCTCTCTCACTCTCTTAGAAAAACAAAGAGGGGGAAAAATGCACTTTTACAAAACTTGCGGTTTTCACTGAGTTGGCTAAGCCCTCCCCACACGTGCGTGTAGGTGGTGCTTTATTTCCAATTACAGTAAAAATGGCACTTGGTCTCAAATACTGGGGAAGTACGTTCCTAGCTGCCTAGAAGTTCTCCATCCAGCACAAGTATCAATCATTGCTTTGAAGCAGAGGCTTTAAATACCCCTTTAGATTCTGAACGATTATTTGGCTTCCTGAGAGCAGAAAGGAAATATTTGCTACGATGGTGTAGCATTTGCAGGGCCTTCTATTTTTAGTACTTGGATTAAAAATAATATTAAGCACACATCAGCAATGCCTTTTTAGCCTGTTCTGTAAGAGTCTGTAATTCATCAACCAAACCAGTAAATTGATTCCAGGTCGCAGCCCAAGTTGGGTTTGGCTGAGACTCCGCCATGTTTAAAGCAAAACCCATTGAAGTGAATGGGGCTTAAAGGAGTCCTGGCGAACTCACCGCTCACCAGTCTTGCTGGATCTCCCCTAAGCATGACAAAATCTCAGTCAAACCTGTAGCATTTTGATTTAACTCAGACCTTCTTGGGTGCATTTCTCCGCAAAGAAAGAGACAAAATAAATCCCATGTTGAAATCAACCTCCAGCCTCGGCCTAACCCAGCTCTGCATATTTTCCTCTAAATGCATGACTGATGGCATCTGAGTCCAGGCTGAAATATCCTAAGCCAGGAAATTGGATATTTCTTGCCTCCGGCAAGTAGCTCTAACTGTACACCTCACTGAGATGTTCTACTTTTCCTTAATCGTATCTCATTATTTCATGTCATGCCCATTTGTACTCAAATATATATAACAGGGCAGACTTCTTCCTCTTTAGCCAGCTAACTTGAAATTTCATTTCTTGACTCTTCTATTCCTTTTTGCTTGACGGTTAATAAGGCTGAGAGGCAGCTGGAGGGAATGTCTCTGGGGGAAAGGAGGGCCGTATGTGTAACTAGCATTCACCATTGTCTCGAAACAGAGACAGATTCCAGCTGGAATTTAGGGCACAGCCAGGCAGAGGGAAAGTTCACAAATGAGAGCTGGGTGAAGATCATCTATCAAAGGGTGCAGAGAAAGGTTTGGTCAAGTTCCAGTTTAAAGCAACGGTGACAAAATTGCACAACCCAACATCTTTCGGGCTCGAGGGCTCCTTTGCTGGGGGAATTATGTACAGTAGACTCCCAACTATCCGACCTAATAAAAAGCCGGATAGGCCGGAGTTCTATAAATACTCACTTCTTACCCCACCCATACCATTAAAAACACCCTTTTTATACCAAAACCTGCTGTTATTCATATTTTCTGACCTCTTAGTACAGGCCAGTACTTAATGTTTGTTATGTACTGTACTGTACGTTTTAAAAATTTATTACAGAAAAAGTCCAAGGATAAAAATATTGTACACATTTTAAGATAATTTTTATAATGTCTAACTTAACTGGAGAAAACATAAAATCATGTAGACTGTACAGTAGGAATACATACACTTTTAAAATAAACAAAACATTAACGTAAAATGTAGGCTTAATTCTTGCAAAAATTATTTAAACTCATTTTACTGTTCATTGATAGTTATTTTTTAACTAGGCCTGATAGTCGTGAGCTGGATAGTCATGAGACCTTTTTATTTAAAACTTACTTTAATTGATAAATTATTTGAATTAATAGGATTATACATTTTTAGCCAAGAATGCACTGGGGGTTTTTAAACAATTTTTTTTGAATTGTTATATTGTTATTATTTATGTATTTATGTATCCTTTGTGAGCTGCCCCGAGGCTTTGTTGCGATGGGGGCGGCATAGAAATGTTTTAAATAAATAAATAAAATAAATAGTTCAGGGTCTACTGTATATTTAGAAGGGAAAAGCTTAGATGGGGAGAGACTGATTTGTGTTGGGAACCACATGCTTCAGTGCTGCAAAATATCTAAAAATCTGTATTGCTAAAAATAATCCCCCCACCCCAAGAAAAAGACATGTCTCTGGTGAGAAATCCTGGATAGTGACAGCAAGCGAGGATAGAAGGGAGTGTTTGGTATCCTTCAGCCAGAGGCTGGGCCCAAAATGAATGAGAAGAGTAAGGTACAAAAGTAAGGTCCTGAGAAGAGTAAGGTACAAAACCTGAAACCAAACTCCTTCAGCAAGCACTTTTTCGGCCTACAAATCCCATCATTTCTCACTCTTCCCAATGCCATCTACATCTGATTGGAACACTAGGTTTTCCCTCTGGATGGTCGCAAGGGTCCACCCCCTCTCATGAAACACACTGGTGTCTCCTGGCTGCTGTCCAGGGTCCTGAAAGGCCCTGCCTCTGATAGTCCATATTTTCTGGAATCCTCATTTGAAACTCCAACCGGCTTTTGCCTGTGTTCTCCCCTCTGCCCCAGACTGCTATCTAGATCCGAGACCAAATGCCCCTGATGTGAGCACCACCTCATCAAGACTGAAGAGGCATCATGCAAGCAGCGTGGCAGCCAACCGTCGCCTGGGTTGTGCAACGCTGCACACCTCAAGCTACATGTGACTAGACGTTGCGCCAACAGCCTCCTTCATCACACTGCAGTGTGAGATCCTGGAGCCCGATCTGCAGTTAGTCATGGGGCAGTGTACATTCTATAGGGTTACTTGAACTGCACTCATTTCCCCACTGATGAGTCACTTCTTGGGCTGTACGGTCCAACAGTATATTTTTATTTATTTGTTTGTTTTTTTATTTATATCCTGCCTTTATCCTACAAAGGGCTCAAGGCAGCTTACATCATTCTCCTCCTCCACCTTATCCCCACAACAACCACCCTGTGAGGTAGGTCGGGCTGAGAGTCTGTGACGGGCCCAAAGTCACCCAGTTGGCTCCATGGCTGAGCGGGGACTAGAACCCAGATCGTCTGAGTCCCAGTCCCACGCTCTTCACCACCACACCACACTGGCTCGATATACTTATGTCTGACATTAATCTGACATTAACATACAGTGGGATACATCATTCATTGTAAGCCATCCCAAGATGTTCTGTAGGGAATGGGATAGAAAAGCTTTTAATTAATTAATTAATATAATAAATACAGTGTTGCTAAATTCTTTGCAGCTGCGATGGGTGTCCAGAGAAGGATCCTGAGGGAGTGTGAGTCTACCTAGCTGGATATGACTAAGTCTGGGAATGCCACTTATTCAAGGTGACGGATATGGATTACAGTAGCAGTATATTGTGTTGCATTATCTACTAATCTGAGGGGGTTTTATGACCGATACCCTTTAATGTATTTTCTTCTTTTTAAAAAATCTATTTATTTATTTATTTATTTGAATTGAGCTGGTCCTTGACTGTAATGCAATTTTATCTGTCGATCTACCTAGTTGCTGGGTCAAAGAGGGAATTCAGGGCTGGCTGTTTATTAGGTGTTCCCATAACCGGAATGCTGGAAATACAGAACAGAACTTGCAGGCTCACTGGTTTTCTCTCTTCTGATGTTTGGGTGATGAGTGCTGTTGCTTAGCAACCAAAATGCCCTCTCCCATACCCAGAGCAGCCTTCAGGAAACACCAAGATGTATGGAAGATAAAAAAAAGATCAAGCGAGAAGCCCTGAAGTGGAGAACCTTCAAAATGTCCACTGAGGACTGAACAGGCTCAGCAGATACAGAAGTCTGACCATATTGTGCTAGAGAGGAAGGCTAGGGTGGGGGAGCACGGAATTCAGTGTCTGGAATGCTGGATAAAAGCACTCCGCACCTTGGGGATTCATTCCAGAAAGCATGTCCCAAGGTTCTAGAAAAGAGCGCTTTTAGTTCTAGAAAAGAGCTTTTATATAAAAGAGTGCTTCTACTGGGGACATTTTTCAGGGGTGGATTTAAATGGACTCTGGGGTCTATTCAACCCAACAACGGGCAAGTTATTGTAACCATGTATCTTCATGGCATTTTCAAAGAAACCATTGGAACACTCCCAAATTAGCATCACAGGTTCAATGTCTGGAAGGTGGATATTTTCCATCATGGAGCCCACTTAACTCAGCACTGCATTGTTTAAAAAGTCTCTCTTTCCTTCATATTGATTGTCACCTTTTCAGCCACCTTGGAGGTAGAAAGGTATTGCAGAAACGGATATTGGTTATCTTTGATGTAACTATTTATATTATTCCCAAGAGAACGGAATAATTTGCATGGCACCTCAATACATCATATCCACAAGTCTTGTCCAGAGACAACCTAAACCTAAGCCCAAGCCTAAATCTAAGCCCAATACGAATTGAAGATGGCATGTTAAAAGTCAACTAGGGTTTCATTTCCTCCAAATCAAGTTATGTCTGAAATGCTTCCCAAGGGAAAAATTACTGCAGGTTCTGGGATGTTTGGTGTGTCTTTATACATTAGGCGAGACTGAGGGAACTGGGTTTCTTCAGCCTGGAGGAGAGGACACTCAGAGGGAATATGTTGGCGACATACAGGTATGTGAGGGGGTGTCACACGGAGGTGGGTAGAGACCTGTTCTCACCTGCAGAGGAGGGTAGGATGCGCTCCAACGGAGCCAAACTCAGGGAGCCAAGGTTCAACTTGGGTGCCAGGAAGCACTTCCTGACAGTCAGGACCCCCAGGGTGTGGAATGGGCTTCCACGAGAGGTGGTTGAGGCCTCATCGGTGTGGGTGTTAGAGGACAGGCTGGACATGCACATGGTGGGCATGTCGTGAGCGGAGCCGGCTGGAGCCAGGGTCAGACTAGATGGCCCGGGAGACCCCTTCTGACTCGCTCTGTTTCTATTACACTGCCTCTTTCTCAGTCTGTTATACAAGATCACATTTTAGGCTGTACAGACATGACTGCTTCAGGCTGTACATTAAAGAACATTGGGCATCCCTCTTTGTAGTTCCAGGCCAGAAAGCCTTTGGGAGGAAGATTATTACACAGCTCAAATGGGCCTGATTCTTGGCTGTTTTCTACCACGTGCGGAAAACTGGCCCAAGGTAACCCAGACAGCTTCAAGGCGGAGCAGGGACTCAACCCAGGTCTCCTGGGTCCCAGTCCAACAACCTCACTGTGCCACCACTGCTCCACAGAAAGATTCCTACAGAGTAGCTGCTGCTTTTTGAAAAGCCCACTTCTGGTCCATACTATGGATCATACTATGGTCCATAGTATGAGTGGCTCTCCTCTCATACCCTGAATAAACCTTTAACGAGAGAGTGGGGAAAACCGGGAGGCTGGCTTCCCTCATTTGCACGTTTCGTTTCTGCACAGATATTCCACTGCAGGCAGCCAACGCCATTTTCACCCGCAAGAGTTCCCAAGAATGAGACAGCAATGCTCGCTGTGCTGTGATTCCACAGCAGCCAGTCCTGCTGGTGGGGGTGATGCATTAGGAGGTGTTCAAAGTTTTGCAGAGACGGGCAGGGAAGGCGGGGGTACAGGGTGTCAAGGATGCGTGGAAGCTGCCAAGAAGGCATGTGCAGTCTGACCAGCCCCCTCCCTTCCCTTGGGATCTAACGGGCATGATCAATACCCAGACACTCCAACACACGAAAATGGAAGAGGCAGGAAGAATCATTCTTTCTAAGCCTCCTTCTTGGAGCGGGACTTTCAGGAGGAATTATCCATCGGAAAGGCATGGAATCTGCTGCGTGTGTGGGCACAGCATGGTGTCCCCAAATCTGACAGATTGGGAAGCTTCATCTGCCACAAGAGGCTGGCGAAGGGATGATCTAATTGGCATGCTCGAGAGAAGAAATGTTGCCATGATATCCTAACCCGTTCTCAGCTGACCTGCAATTTATTTGCAAGTGGAAGCGTATTATTTGAAGGAAGCCTCTCCAGACAAGGGCACAGTGGAAGCAAAAGGGAATTAACACAACAGCAGGTCTGCACTTAACACACAAACATTCTAGAGTTTCGCTGCCTTGTATTTTGCAGAGTAGGGGCCTTTCGTGACAGAGGGGTCAGGGTAATTAATGGCCCCCTCCATGCCAGTGAATGAATCAATATTTTTTTCTTGTTTGTTGCTGATTAGAATAGGGCAAACTCCCCCGGTCCGGTGCCTTGGACTACAGCTCCCATCAGCCCCACCCAGCACAGCCAAGGGAGGAGGGATGGCAGGTGTCATCCAAAACAGCTAGATGGCATGAGGTTGGAGGTGGAGGGCATAACAGGAAGAATTCAGGGGAGACAACGAAGCAGAAGCTGGAAATTTATCTACTTCCTCTTTGACAGAAAACCTATTTTAGACCAACAGTTTCAATCCCAAGGCTTCTTAGCAAGCCTTGTTCTGAAGTAAAAGCAAAAGGTTGGGTTGCATCTGGCAGAAAATCTTCTATTAAAGCTCACTAACTGGGTTTGCACAATCACTGGGGAATACGCAACCACCGTGGCTTGTTCCCCATCTCTCCCCACACGTGTGGGCCTTGCACCGTGTGCTGCGCATAGCAGGGACGGCAACCACCAAGCCACCAGCTCGCAAGTGGTCTATTCAAAGCACAACAAACCGGAGCTCTGCCCACCTCTTGTGTAGAGGGCACAACACCCCTCCCCCACCTGGCACCCTCCAGATGTTTGGACATCTGCTTGTGCTGAGGGGAGCTGAAGTCCAAAACATCTGGAAATCTCATGTCAGGGAAGACAGGGCTAAAGTGTTGGATTTTTATTCTCCCAGTATGTTAACTGTTAACTTGTTTTAATGGTGGGCTTCTATTTTAATATTGGATTCTTATTTTTTAGACTAATTTGTTGTGAACTGTCCCGAGACTTTTAAGTATGGGATGGCAGAGAAAAGTTTTAAATAGATAAATTTAGATTGGAGAGACCAGCATTCAAAGCCCTACTCACCCCTGCAGGGACGACACCCTCTCTCAGTCCAACCTACCCCTTGGGGTTGCTACAAGGATAACAGTTTGGTTTTAAAAAGTCCAGGCTGTTTCAGTGTCATTGAATTCAATAGTTGTGCTTGAAATAAGCAGCTTTTTAGCATTCAGGGGAAGGTGGCCCCGTACCTGTGTGAACCTGCAACACCAAGCAAACAGTCACCTTGGAGGGAGCATTTTAGTCAGAGCTGTGTGGCAGGGAGAGAAAATCAGACGGGCTCTCCCTGAGCATACAATCCTAAGAAAGGTGCCCCGAGCTGCTAATTATGGAACAAGAATATGTGTGTGTGAATTGCACTCAATTCACACCACATCTACTTTGCCCCATAGGTTTTACAAATGTGAACAGAACTGATGTTGTGGAAGCAGAAAAGCCACCGTTGAGGGTAATGGGGAACTGCCAATGCTTGGAAAAACAACCGCCAAGAAAATACACAGTTTCGGGGTGAAGGAAGCAAGTGTGTGCTTATTACTGCGGAAACAGGGTTGTAGGTGTTGAGGTCTGAGACAGCTAGAGGATATTCCCCCCCCCCCAGAAACAAGCACATTTCACAAATAAATCAATATTGCAGCTAATGGCTTTCCAGTAACTTGCACCAACTCTCCATTAGCAAGTCGCTGTGGATTTTGAATGTGCATTTACCAGCGACTGTGCAACTTGAAAGACCATTAGCAAGTCACATTTTGGCAGCAGAAAAAGGATACAGTTACCAAAGAGCGTCAGGACAATGAAGTAGACCGAAGAGAACATTCCTGAATGGACGCCCCCTTGGGATTCGATCCCCTGATACATGACTACATTCCAGTCCTCCCCAGTTAGAATCTGTGAAGTTAAGAGCAGCAGAGAGAGAAACAGTGTGTGAAACACAGAGGAAAACATGGAAGCCTTCCGCTCGGTGCCCTGGCCATCAAAATACAGCGATAAGCCACTGGGGTTTTTCATGGGATGGCCTCCAACCAGGGAGCTGTTCCGAGCTCACCGGAAATTGGTTCAGCAAATTTGCAAATTGGTTTTCACGTTGAAGAAAAGAGGTCAGGAGCCTTGCAGCCCCCTGGTTGTGGCTGGACTACAAATTCCCACTCCGTGGCTGAGTGGGGACTAGAACTAGAAACTGGGTCTCCAGAATTCTGAGCCAATGATCTAACCACTGCACTGCACTGCACTAGCTAGTGAATGACTTGCATCTTCCTTTCTTAACTGTTGAAAATCCTGAAAACCCTCTTTCAGTGCAGGTTTTCTAAGATGATGCAGGGGTGCAGTGATAGCCAGAAAGGCACCTTAGATATTTTGGGTTTCAGCTCCCAGCATCCCTGACATTGGCCAGGCTGGCAAGGATTCCCAGGAGCAGAAGTCCCAGATGCCTGCACTTCTCTGTGAGCGTGGTATAGGCCTGCAGGCAGCCGGGGGGGGGGGGGGTCTAGTGGTTAGCACAGGCTTCACCAACCTGGTGCCCCCCAGATGTGAAAGAACATACCCCTATCATTTCTGACCACTGACCCATGTTGGCTGGCAGTTATGATTATTATTGTAAGCTGTCCCAGATGCTAGCTGCAGATGGGTTAGAAAAGCTTTTAATAAATAATAATGAACAGATGGAGGCATCAGGTTGGATTGGTGCAGTGGGACTTTGGTTTTAATCCCCCTGGTGGATTCTGAATCACATGCAGGGATGGATGTCCAAATGCAGAGATCATGAGAAGGGTTCCCTGAAACAGCAGCTTCTCCCTTGGCTGACTCCTCCAGGTGAAACTGTAGTTTGTCAGGGGCAAGCTCCTGGCATCACGTGCTCTGCAAAGCTCTGTGCTCAGGCAGGGCCTTCCGCAGGCAGTAACAGTGAGCAAAGGCCCCCTCGCATGCACCCCCTTCGCCTTAATCCTGGAAAGACTGGCAGGACGGGGGGCAGGATGCGTTGCACAAAAATCAGCCCCCACATCACCTTCTCTCACACCTCTGGGTACTCCCCCTATGGATGGGCTGGCCTTTCGGATGCAGTCAGTGCCCCCTTGCTTCATGGCCTTGGAAAAGCAGCAGGATTCAGCCCTTCACACATGTGGCTTGTCCCCCACTCCCTGTGCAGCTGAAAGCCACAATTTCCCCCTTATACCTCCTCCTCCCTGATGAATATTCCAATTATACTCTGCAGAAACTCCACGACCTCCAGCCCATCCTGGGCTGTTGTCCTCATTAATTTGGGGAGCTGTAGGCAAAGATGGAAAGCAGGTCATGTTTGGTTGCTAGTTCTGCATGGAAACAGACAGGACCACAGGATCCCTGGGAAGCGGGGGACAGGAAAGCTGAGGGCTGTGATGTTATGTCAAAAGAGAGCCACAGGCTGGGTCTGGTCCCAGAGGATACAGCTGAATATCCTTTCCTGCTATTGTGCTTGCAAAATATCTGGGGCAACCTTTCCAGTTCTTTCGCAGAGTCCTGTAGCGAAAGGTGCCAAAGGTAACCAGAGAGAGAGAGAGAGAGAGAGAGAGAGAGAGAGAGAGAGAGAGAGAGAGAGAGAGAGGGCAGCTTACAACAGCTTACAACTTACAACAGTTCCTAAAAACAGTCATTTTTATGGGCCTACTAAACACTGGTATAAATGGAGGCTTGGAAAGCCAAGTGAGAATTAAGCCATAGAATTTATTTGAAGTCATCCTAACAAGGACCATCTTGCTACTGGATTTCCTGACTGCCAGCTTCAGCATAGGAGCACCTTCAAATTAATTCTCAATGTTTCTGAAACGCAGCTAGCTAAAACTGTCCATCTCTCTCCTGCACAGGTTCTTGGGGGTGTCTCTGGCAACAAGCAAGCATCCGTACCTGAAACACAGTAAGAATGGCAGTGGGGAAGGTATCGAAGTTGGTGGTTGGAGTTTCGTCATTGAAATGAAACCTAGGAAGGTGCAGAAAATCCATAGTGAGGCAGTGCAAACACGAGAACCTTAAGAGCATCTTGAGGAGTGACCCAAAACAGTCGTCTTGCTCCACAGAACAGCCTACTCAATGCCTGTGGGAAGCTCTCAAGCAAAGCTAGATACCTCTTGCTCTGAGCAACTCAGCGACCGGCTTGCAGAGGTACAAGGGGACCTGCAATGAAATATTGCAGTGTGGAGTGTGTGTTCTTGGTTCACTTTCCACTTTGTCGGGCATGTTCCTCTCAATCTCTCACTCCAATGCTCTCTCCCACCCAGTTTTTCATTTTCCCGCTCAACACTCATTCCACTTTGAGTTGTTGACTGCCCCCTTCTGGTGCTTGTTCTAAAGATGTTGTGTCCTTCTGCAAAGCCTGGGGCTCAACCCAAGGTTGGGAACCACTGGTAGCCCCATCCAACGTGGATTTCTCTTACAGGCTGACCTCAGCGTTTGTTGTCTGTTCTAGGTCCTTTGGACAGCTCCTTCTATCCAGGCCCAACCATCACAGGGTCCCACCACAATGCATGTGCACCTCCATAAATCACAAGACCGTTGAGCTATACCCTAAAGACTGATCGGATCTGGGGGGCACTTAGAGCCGGACTTACTGTCCTCCAAAGAGCTGCATCCCCAGCAAGGCAAATACAACGATGAAGAGGAAGAGGAGGAAGAGCAAACTGATGATGGACTTCATTGAATTCAGCAAGGAAACCACAAGGTTCCTCAAAGAGTTCCAGTACCTAGGATTCAAAACCAGAAGCAGACATATCACAAAGCTGCTGGAAGGAGGTTTCTTCTTCAAGGAAGGAAGGAAGGAAATAGCGGGCTGAAGCAGGACACGGTGAGTTGGTCGGGCTACTTCATTCAGCAAAGTGGCTAAATTAACTCAAGATAGATGGGGGCAAAATGTGTTCTGTGCAGGCTGTGACTCTCCTCTTCCTTCCAAACAGACCAAGACAATCACCTTCTAACTAAAGGCTTTATTTATTAAATTAATTGACTGATCAGACTGACTCAAAGGACAAGTGGAGTCAATGACCAAAGAAACAAGCAGAGTCAAAAATCTAGCTTTTAAAGAATGGAGCTCTCTTGGTGAGAAGCTGATTCCCAAGCTAATACCATTCCTCCCTTTCCGACTCATGCTTCCAAGATAGATCCTCTTGTTGGTTCTGGAAACAGCGGAAAGGATATAAGACTTAGGAGGAGGAGGGTTAGAATAAGACACAAATTTGTTGAGGACAAAAAAACTCCCTCTTCTTTGTTGTCTGACCGTGAGAGAGACAGGTAACACCAGCTAGCAATTATGTCTCTGTCTAGTCGCAAAGTCATGTCCAACCCATCCCAACCCCATGGACGACATTCCTGCCACCCAGGGAGCCATGTGGCTAATGGAGCAGGCTGGAAATCAAATAAATAAATAAGCTTTCTAGAAGCAGAGTTAACAGACCATTGCACCACCCGCTGAAATAGGGAAGGATGACTCCATCAAGCTCAGTTCCACCTGTTACTTTTTATCCTGTTCCACCTGTTATTTTTTATTTCCACATTGAACTGCGAAAAATTTTTGTTCATGCCAAAATCTGTATGAATCCCATGCGCCACACAGGAAGAGAACACAATTTCACTGTGCACTTTTTGATGTGTTTCCACAAACCCACACATTAAGCAATTTAGAAAATTTGAAACATCTTTCTGTCCATGTTTCCCCTAATATATCCACTTAGTGTCCATTTTTCTAAAATAGCCTCATTTGTGTCTGTGGGTTTTTACAACTGAAGTTGAAAGTACACTGAATTCTGGTGCACATGTAAGTTTTGGAAGTACAAATTTGGCACATGCACCTTAAAAAAACCCAATGTTTTTCTTATCCTGCACAGCAATCCATTGATTAATAAGTTTCAATAAGCAGAGCCCTACATATGTTTGCTTAGATGCAACTCCAAATTGGACGAATGGCTTACTGGGTGTTTCCAAGAGCAGCCTTAAATCACTAAAGGCCTTCCAGCTGCTGAGCTGGCGCCTTAATTACTTATTACCTGGTCACTCGCTGCTCCAGCATTACAAAGCGAGCCGCTTGCCTTTCCCCTCCTGGACAACCTTTTAACCACTGGTTTGCTTTCAGAATGTGCTCATTTATTTGTATTGCAATTGCTCTTTTGTGATCAAATAAAACATTTGCTTTCAAGAACATAAGGGAAAAGGCAATTGATGAGTGAGAAGGATAATTAAATGACCCTTCGGGCAGGGATTGACAACGCAGCTAATTAAAAGGGACAAATCAGGTAAGATCACGACTTGGGGAAAACATCAACCGGACAAGCTGGCACCTCCATGGGAGCCAGAGAAATGGTCACATGCCATGGAAGAAAGGAAGGTGCAAGCTAGCTTCAGCTGCGATGCCTGAATGATGGAATGTTTATTCCGGAGAAAGATGGTGACGAGCCCAAGTGGAACAGGAGCTGTGGCGTAGTGAAGCCATGTCTGAGGAATCCAGTTTGTGGGAGGAACCTGCTGGGTTTCTTGGCTCAGCTCTGCAGACTCCAGTCTGCTTTCTCTCTGCCTTGATCAGACTGTGCATTGCTGTGATTTCTGTGATACACTTCTCGGTTCAAGCACCAGGCACAAAAATGAGCATCTTAAGGAAAGCCATGTAAAAATGTCCATGACAGAGGAAGTTGCATACAAACATACATGTGGAATTGTACTTCCTTCCTCCCCTTTCATCACTACTGGGCAGAATGGGACTATATTTGAATACAGACAGACCAGACCCACATCCTGAGACACTGTCATGTCTTCTCCTCACAGGAGCACCTTGCTTGTTGTGCCTGCTGCAGGTACATGACCGTTCAGAAACTGGTTATTTTAATTTATTGTTGTAAGCCGCCCCGAGGCTTCGGCGAATGGGGCGGCACAAAAATGTTTCAATAAATAAATAAATAAAATTTTCTACACCTGACTGCTGCTAGAGATACAGTAAAACAGAGATTGCTCTTGGAATAGGTGTTGGAAAGGCAGGCAGGCTGGCAGGCAGGCGCCACTCTTAAAGGACTAGATTTAAAAGAGCCACCAGGCTCCAAAAATTAAGCTGCAACTTACTTGGTGACTTTGAAAATCCTCAGCAGCCGGAGAGCCCTCAATACACTGATGCCGAAGGACGTGCCAGGTTTCACTGCTGCCCAGATGACTTCAAAGATGCTGCCCACAATCACCTGCAGGAGGAAAAGGAGGTGATGGAGGGATGCAGGAAAAAGGGAGGAGTTCCCTGATATTGGGAACTCGCATGGTTCAGAATCCTGAAACCTTCTTCAGTGCATGTAAAGGTTAGGCTGGTCAGTTCCAGTTATCAGTGCAAGTAGAAAGAAACAGAAACAGGAGACAAAGTGAGATGAACTGAAGCAAAACAAAATGAAGATGTTTCATCCATTGCTTTAGTCATCAATACCTGAAAGCTCTCCACTTTAAAATTAAAGAATCCAAGTTTTTAGCTGTGACGGCTTGAAAGGAGGAGATGGCAATATGAGAAACTAGAAGAATAGCTGAGAAACCAGATGAACCAGCTCCTTGGTGTATTTTGACCCTTTCCTCGGCTGGCGAATGCAGATTAATTCACACAAATGTATAAGAGAGAGAGATGGTAACTTCTATTTGCTTCAGGGATCGCTCTTTTCCTTTGTTTGTTTAAAAGCAGTCAACACACACAGTCCTGGCTCAGGCCCAGTGAAATCAATAGGATATACGCAAGATAGATATTCATGGCATTCTCTCTCTCGGAGAAGCAGAACATGAATATTCTATTCCAAACCCTGCTCTTATCCACTTAATGTTCACTTAACAAGCAGACAACCCAAAGCAGAATCCCCCAGTTTTGTCACTGTGGAATTTCAAACTGGGAACTACAGCCAATTCCCCCCCACACACACACACCTTTTTTTAATGAATGCACCAGTACAATGCACCCCTTTGTAGTCACATTTGGATGGTACATTTTTAGCCATAAGATAAAAATAACGATGCACACCTAAAAAAATTAACATGTACAGAAACTCACAGGCACAGGAGTCTATTTTTTTTTTAAATTCTGCAGACAGAACTGCTCCATGTTGATTGAAATACTTACCCCACCCCATCCCACTTGCCTCAATGCCCTTCATTTTGCAATCCTGACAAGTCTGCATTTCTCTCCTTTACTTCTGCTTTCACTACTTTGGGTTTGCTTTCCTCAGCATCTCCCCCCGCCCCCCCACACACACACCCCTTCTCTTAGCTTAACATCCCCTCCAAAGTCACTCAGTAAATATATATCCACCCCATGTAGCCTCCCTTGACATTTCCTGCCACATTCCAGCCCCGTCCTCCTCCGTCTACTTCACATTCTAAGGCTGAGTTTTCCAACTGGCATTGCTCCATTTGGAAAGAAACGGGCCTCATCTTTACACCTTGTTGCGCTGCCACTGAAACTTTTCTATGAGCCCCACTGATCATGACAACAACAACAACAACGCCCTGCCGGCCAATATTTTGTCACACTAGACCCAGCTCTGAAATATTCCCTGGTTACGAGCAGCTCTAAAAGGAGGCAGTTGGGAATTCAGAGTGACAGGGAGCAGGGGAGGAAGACAAACGATGGAACCCCACAGGGAGACCGTGTTGCGTTCCCCGAGGGATTGGGGAGGGAAAATCAGCCAAGGAAGCAAGAGCCTTCCCTGCACAGTTCCCAGAAAGGCCAAGCTCTGTGCAGCAAGGCTAAAAGCAGCATCCAGCCCAGAGAAAAAGCTTGGAGTTTTCTCTGTCCCAGAACCTTTGCAACTTATTTCCTCCCTGATTAACTAAGGGGGCTCTCTTTTCTACCTCCACTCTCTCATGGAGCATTTTGAATTATTAAGCGCTCCAGGAAATGCACAATGGGGACGTTTAAGGACAAGTGGAACCTGGTCTCCCTATTGCTCAGTTGCCTTTTGACAAGGGCTGCCATGCCCTTTCCCACAGCCAAAATATGTTGCAGCCTCTACCAGCCAGGGCTCAAGGTGAAGCATGGCGAGGCTGGCAAGGCAAGGCACCCCTTTCTGGAGCCCACAGGACCAATCTTTCCAGATCTGGAGTATCGTAAGTAGGAACCACGAAGCCTTTTGCACAATCCTCAGCAAAACTAAGAATAATCCATGTTTTTATAATGTTTTCAGGGTTTCAAAGTGCTTCCCACACATTCCTCCACCTGAACATTTGCATGGATATCCATCGAGATTATGGTCTCCTGCCTGCCCCTTAAGATCTGGGGTGCAGAGGCCCTTCTCTGGAGCCCTTCCTGAAGCAGATTAGGAGGGTGGCTACCTGGAGAAGGGCCTTCCCTGGGATGGCACCCCAATTACGGAATTTGCTCCCCAGAGAGGCTCGCTTGGCGCTGTCACTTTATTCTTTTTGGCCCCAGGCTAAAACCTTTTTATTTTCCCAGTGTTTTAAGATTTGATTGGTTTAATCAAAATGGTGACATACAGATACGTGAGGGGATGTTACATGGAGGTGGGTAGAGACCTGTTCTCCCCTGCAGAGGAAGGCAGGACGCGCTCCAACGGAGCCAAGCTCAGGGAACCAAGGTTCAGTTTTGGTGCCAGGAAGGACTTTCAGACAGTTAGGACACCGAGGGCCTGGAATGGGCTTCCACGGGAGGCGGTTGAGGCCCCATCGGTGCGGGTGTTCAAGGACAGGCTGGACGTGCACATGGTGGGCATGTCGTGAGCGGAGCCGGCTGGAGTCAGGGTCAGACTAGATGGCCCGGGAGACCCCTTCTGACTCGCTCTGTTTCTATGTTTCTAATTGGGGTTTTATTGCTGGTTGAAAATTTTATTAGGATGCTGTGTTTTATTTTATATTGTCTTATTGTTAAACTGTCCTGAGACCACGGTAAGGGATGGTCTAGAAAAGGTTTAAATCAATCAATCAAAATAAAAAAATAAGCTAGGACAGCATCCTATTTGCTCCAGATTCCTTGGCAAGCCTCTCAGCTCCCACATCGCACCGACTACATTACACCCAGCCAGGTGCATGTACATGAAATTTGCATCGTGAGTAGCTGGGTGCAGGCTGGGACATTCTGGCACTGGAAAGGGAAGGATGCTTGACCCTCACCAGCTCCGGCTGGCTAGAAAAGCAAGTGCTCCTTCGTGCTGACACCAGCCCTGCCCAGCCTCAGATCTATCAAGGAGCGCCCGGCTTCAGCTCTGATGTCTGCCAGTGAAGTAGCTAATTAGTGTCAGTCATGCAGTGGAAGTGGACACCTGCCAGGGGCTATTTTGCTTCAAGAGCGAGGACTGTGAGCCGGAGATGGCGAAGGCCAGGAGGGTGCAGCTTCTCCTCCGGGCCCCCTCGCAGCCAAAGCTCTCCGAGAAGCAACAGCGTCATTGACCAGCACGTTTGACAAATACTTCCCCCCAGTCATACTGCATGTGAGAAGGCTGGACTGTTTGCTTTGCTTGTTTGCAGCAGGGAGCTCCGGCTGCAGAATTTGGCTTTGCAGGCCTAGATGTTAATATTCTAGCCCTCAGTGTTCTTCCGGGTGGGGGCTCGAGAGAGTATTGCAAAAACCTGTGAGGTCTCCAAAGTCATGGGCCTGGTAAGGATTTTCAGCACAACAGGAGAGCCTTCCGGGCCCGTTCTACTAAAGGGAGGGGCAATAAACACTGAACAGCAAGGAAATGTTTACCTCCAGTCCTGCATGAAGGTCAATGTCCTGCTGTACACAGCGGAAAGCAAGGACTACTATTATCATAGTTTCATTTCTGGATTGCCCATAGCTCAAGCTCTCTGTGGCTAGAACGGCTAGAAAGATTGGCTAGGAAGCAGGATGGGGAAGGACCACAACCCCTTGGCAGAGTGCGGGGTTCACATGGAAATATCCAGGTTTAATCTCCAGCATTTGCAAGGAGGGCTGAGAAAGGTCTGAAGAGCTGCTGCCAGTCCGTGCAGATAATACTGAACTCAAGGCACCCATTTGCGGGCTCTGTATTATACAGTGGCTTCTGGGTGGGATCCCATGGATTCTTTCTTTCCAGTTATCATGCTCCAGGTATTAGCTTACCTTTACATTCCACTGTTTTTCCTGCTGGAAGGAAACCACAGTGGTGTACAAGGTTCTCCTCCTTTCCATTTTATCCTCACAACAACTGTGAGGTAGGTTAGGCCAAGAGACTGTGACTGGCCCCAAAGCACCCAGAGAGCATCATCGTCAAGTGGGGAACTAGGACCTGGATCTCCTGAGAGCTTCGTCGTCAAGTGGGGAACTCGGACCTGGATCTCCTGAGTCAACCTGAATCATTTTACAACTGTGTGTGTGTGTGTGCACGCGCGCATGCACACACACACTTGCTATGACAGGGCAAGACAGGAGATCAAATTAAGAAAGGACAACCCTACACCTCACCCCACCTATTCCACCTCTCTCCACTTGGAGGCACAGCAATGCTCTGGGAGCCTTAGATGCGACGTCACGGGTTCCCGATGCCTCCCCTGTTGTGGTGCTACCCCCACCATGGAAGAGAACAAAACCAACTCTGGGTGGCTCAATGTTGTCTCTCAGAGCTTCTTCAGAGGAACCCCTAAAGGAGCAGAGGTGACCCCCACTGTGCAGAGCGCAAGGGGAGCATTCTGGGGGCAGAGCAGAGTGCCACCCGTTTTGTCTTACCCCAAAGTCAAAGCAGTTGAATGAGGAGTGGAAATAGTTCCTTGGCCCCAGGCCGTACATCTTGAGGGACATCTCAGTGAGGAACAGGCCGAGGAAAACGAACTCGGCAAAATCTAGAAGAGAACAGCAGAGCGTGAATCACAGATGGGTCTCTGAATGGTGATTTCAGGTCAATACACCTCTCCCCCATATGGAGTGCATCTTACCAGCAGCGGATGAAAGCATGTTGCGGGGGAAAACATGCAATCTAAGCCATGGAAGGCAACCTTAGGCCCTACAGATGTTTCAGCCTACAAATGCCATCAACTTGCACCATTGGCCATGATGATGGGTCTTGACAGGAGCTGCAGCCAAAACATCTGGGGGCTACTGAGTTCTCCACCAATTATTAGTGGCATATTTTGCACTATGGAGATTTTGTTCAGTCCGTATCTGCAGGTGAACTGACCTAATCCTCACTTTCTAAACTAATGGGATAATTAATAACTTGGATCGGAACACACTTCTGCTCTCAGCTTTGCACTCTGAGGTGTAGCAAAACCAAGGCTAACAGGGTGGTAGTAAAGGGACTTCATTATTAGCGGGGACACGGATGTCCATCTGCCACCCCTTCCCCTCTGGGCTCAGACAGGGAGAACTGCATTTTCCATGTAAAAACAACACTAAACATTTTATCTGCTATAGCAGAGTAGTTAGAGGGTGGCTTGATGCTGAATGGGCAAGCTAAGGGTAATTAAACCATGCTGGCTTTGCTCCTAGCAGATCAAAACTCCTAGAACCAGTTCGTTGACCCGGATCACCAGAGCTGCCTACAGTTTTGGTACCCGTATGTGTGTTTGTACACAGGGGACCCTCATTCATGTCCTTGTGGTCATCAGTTGTCCCAGTGTCTAGCACTGGCTGGCCTTCACGGGTGCTCTCCTGGGAAGCCAAAGACATGTGCTCTTGTGGCCTTGGAGCCCAACAATTCCACCTCAAGAGGAGTCAGTGCAAGGCTGTTTGGCCGCGTAAGAGGCATGCTCCACAGGGAACAGAGCTACTTCTCTACCTAAGGCCCCTGGTCGATTGCTGAAACGAGTTGCAAAACCCGCAGGAGCTCCACACGGAGCTGCCCCCCACATCTGGGCTGCCTGACGTAACCTGAGCATCAGCCTGCTCTGCCAGGCCTCACGTCGCTCTGTGCCCCAGGACTATGATCACCAGGAACCTGCCATGTGGAGCAGAATCCTTGTTCTCTTGGGATCATCGGCTGGACCGGAACACAAGAATGGGCTCCTGAAACAAGAATGCGTCCATCTTACTGTGGCAACTGCTCCCCTTTCGGCGGGTGGGCCAGGATTCCTTCTGAGACGGCCTTACCCACGCAATGGAAAAATGGAAAAATTCCACTGTGTGCTGTTTGGCCTTCCTTAATCTAATTTAATCTACTTTTAACAGAAACATTTTATGATACAAAGGGATGCGGGAAAGGAAGTGTAGGGAGAAGGCTAGCTACAAATAGTTTAATTTGATTTTTAAAATTTGTTCTCCCTTTCTACCCAATACATTTGAATTAGGTGCTCAGCAGCTCTTATTATGTCAATCACTGACAGTTTAACTCCATTTTCATGTTAGCACAAAGTCTGAGGTCATTAGCAGCAAGCTATGGATAAGGTCGTGCAACTATTGCTCTTCAGCCTGGTGCCCTCCAAACTCCTAGCATCCTCACACAGCCTATGCAAGGATGATAGGATCTATAGTCCGGAGAGCACCCAGTTGGAAAATGCTGAGAAAGTTCCCAGCTTTTCCATGCCCTTCACACATTATAACGCATCCTTCCCACCCTGATGTTCGGACTACAATTGCCTGCGAGCTGGGAAGAATGGGTCTTGTGGTCCAAAGCACCAGGCTGGGGGAGGAGTTTGTAAACAGTTAAAAGGGAAAGAGAACTTTGGCCAGCTTGCTCTTCTAGAAATCTATTTTATGTTATTTTTATATTTCTATGCCACCCCATAACCTGAAGGTTCTCTGGGCGGCTTACAAATGCTAAACAGCATTAAAAAATAGATAAAATACAGTAAAACAATTGATAATCCAATACAATAGATAAAATAGTAAATAAAATCACTTAATAAAATGTATGTACACACAACAATAAGCACAGCCAAAAAATTAACCAAATAAATGAAAATAAATAATCCGTAAATAATTCAATTTTATACTGGTATGTGTGAGTCTAACAGACTCATTAACTCTTTTCCAAGTTTAAGTTTATCATGTTCATTAATTAAGTGCAATTATGCTATTTAAGAAAGTTAGTATTTCAAGTTACAAAACTAATAACATTCTATTTAAATTTGTCATATTTGATGTGTATATTATCTATTTTTATCCACCCTAATTTGATATGCTAAGTGCCCAACTGCGATCCAGACTTGATTGTTCATTATAAGATTGTTCAGCAACCCATTGTTCCTGAATGCAGTATATCCAATATATTATATTCTAGGCAGTCTTGGGTTAGACCAGTGGTGGCAAACCTATGGCATGCGTGCTGCAGTGGGCACACGGAGCCCTCTGTTGGCACATGAGCCAAGTCGCCCCAGCAGCTGAGCATTGGATAACAGCACACACAGGGGCCATGCGCATGCTCGGAAAGGAGTAGAGCGATGACGTCACGAGCTGCGACTCACTAGCCGGGACTCGTCCGACCTTTCGCCTGGCCAGTCAGTGCGCTGCCAAGGATATAGATAGATACATATTTGCTTGGACTGACTTTGAGGTGTTTTTTCTGAACTAAAACCTCAGATTTCAGGTTTTATTGCAGTGTTGACACTTTGCAATAAATAAGTGGGTTTTGGGTTGCAGTTTGGGCACTCGGTCTCTAAAATGTTCACCATCACTGGTTTAGACCATTCCTTTCCCTGAATATGCAGAGGTACTTCAGCTACAAATTCATGAGCAAGCAATAAAAACAGCCCCCCGACGGATTTCTCTCATCTCCTTTTAAAGCCACTTATGTTAGTGGCCATATCCCATGTCTTAAGGGAGCAGATTCCAGAAATCATTTATGCATTGTGGGAAGGACCGTCTTTCGCTCATCCTGAATTTCCTGCTAGTCAATTCCACTGGGTGAAGATTAAGTGAAAATGTGGCCGTCTTCAATTATCCCGATGAGCTCTCATGCCGAAGATGAAGCAAACCTAGTCTCTGATGCTCCAGAGGATAAGACTAGAACCAAGGGGCGGAGACTGCAGGGAAGCGTTCAGAAAAATTTGCAGGAGAAATTGAAATGGCCATTTATTATTTCCAACATGCAAACGGCTTTCACGACTATTCCCCACCGACGGGCCTCTCATTCTCCTTGAATTTGCCTAATCTAAGTCAATGGCTACTCATACACCTTGTGACACTAAACCCCATAACTAAATAGTGTGGCGTTTGAAGAAGTATCTTTTTTCTCTCTCCCGGACTGGAAATATTAGATGTCCCTAGAAGCACGGCATGATGGTAAAGCTGTTCTCCAGCTGTTCTTGGCCAGGGACTGGCCACTTCCCTTATAAATCCCATAATTTCGGTATGCCATGTGTGGACAACTTCTTCCTTTTCTCCATCTTGAATCTATCACTACTCAGCTGCATAGGATGGCCCAAACTTGTAATATTATGAGAGAGCGAGAAAACATCTACCTGTACATTTTTGGTAGCCATGCATCCTTTTATTTAGAACTCCATCAAGCCTAGTTATGGCCCAGGAACTCAAAACTAGGGTTACTTGGTAGAACCCAGAATGTTTGGAATGCTGATATCTATACCAAGCTTAGAGGTCCATCGAGCACACCTTAGTATTTTTCATGCTAGACCACCCATATTTAAAGAAATAGCCATGTAGGTTATGATCTACACCTTCCTTCCGTGTTTCCAAGTTCCTTGTGACTTATTTTCCTTTCTGAGTCCTACTGATCTACAGTGGCTATGGCTCATGGGAGCTGAAGTCCAAAGCAACTAAGGATGCCAGGTTGGCCAGGGCTGCTGGAGGCTCGAAAGCCCCCAGATGTATTCCAATCTTTAAGGTGTGCATTGACAGCTTTAATGAGCCTACAGGCTTCTGAAAAATGTGGTATCTGGTCTGAAAAAAAATGGCAAAGGAGTTCTTCTTTGCAGAAGGCAAAGCTCCAGTGCCTTCTTCAGGGACACGAAGCAATAGCATTTCCTGTTTTTCCTTTCTCTCTGTTTTTGCCAAACACCTGTGGATCCTCGTTCAAAGCACTTGAAGCAGTTGGAAGCATCAAGCAGAGAAAGTTAATCAGAGCATCTCAACAAAGAGAAAGTAAGGAAGAAAAAGATGATGAAGAGGGAGAACCAAGACAAATCAATGCAGACCCCACCGGCTCTCAGCAGCAGCGATGTTAATTTGTAACGTAATTAAATTCTCCCCAGAGGAAGAGATGCAATTGAATTAGAGGCGCCAAATCGGGCGGTGGGTGTTGCTGATCCTTCCTAGAGCAGAAGTGCTGCTTTCTCCATGGAAGTTCACACATCTTGCTCAAAATCCAATGACAGAAACACCCCATGAGGCCATCTAATCAGGGACGACTGCACTTCAGTCCCCAAGAAGGTTCATTGTGTATCGATGCTAAAGCTGCCGGGGGAGGGGGAGTCATTCTCTTTCCATGGCTTGCTGTAGCTTCCAAATAAAGCACACAAGAAAGCCAGAGAAGCCACCATTGTTCAATGGGACCACAGCCAGTGCTTTTGGGAAATCCACAAGTGACCACGGGTAAGATTGTGCTAAAGAACACTTCCAAGTTGGCCCAGAATATGCCAAGCCAGCCTTCTCCAACCTGGCAGCCTTCAGAGGCATGTGGACCACAACTCCCAGAATTCCCATCCAGCGGGGCCATTGACTGGGAATTCCGGCGGCTGTGGTCCAAAAGTGCCTGGAAGGCTGTGCTAAGGTATCTCGCCCCCACTGCCAAAATAGAGATTTCCAAGCTCATTCAGGTCCAATCAAGTCAAGCTCCGAATCAGAAAGGTAATAGGGTTTGATAACTTTTCTACTCCCACTGTGCAAGCTTCCAAGTCGCCTCCTCCTTCCCCCACCTACACAAGTTTCTTTTTCCCATGCAGTTGGTTACAACTTGAACCAAAGAAGATTTAGGCTGCCTCTCACTGTGTACAACCAGTTGCATTAAGCAAAAAAGTCCACCTGAAAATCGGTGTGTGTTTTTGTGCACGCTTTTCAACATGACTTTGCTAGCACATGCAATTTTGCAGACTTTCCCCTGAAATAACGAACTTTTCTAAGCTGCGGACAGTTTCAAGTTCTAGTGAGCAAGCTGAGATGGGAGAGGACGGACTTCGCATCCTCCTTCCAATGGTACAGCATCAGCTTAAGAAGATGGGCCAATTAAGAAACATCAGGCTTTCCAGGCGATTGGTCCATAAGCAGCAGGATCCACCTTGAAGGTTGGGATCAGCTTCTTACCATTAAACCACATTTCCTTCATTCTAACTTGGCCTTTTCTCTTATACCTCTGTAACACCTTTTCTTCTGTACTCCAATGCAAGCCTGGCCAGTCCGGGTTAACTTAATACAGCTTTTGCTTAGGCAGCTGCAGTCCTAAGCTGCTTGGAAGGATCCAGTCCTGACAACTTGCTGGCTTGTAATCGCTGTGTACAGGTTGCTTTGTCTGGAAAATGACATTATCCGGCTTTCTTGAGACAAGCCTAATTCAGCCAGCAGGTGCCAATCCCACTTCACCAGCATCCTCAGCGTACAGGTCAAAGCACCTGTGAGCTTCCCGTATTCCCTGCTTTCTTTCTCCTCCCTCTCAGCTGCAGCCTTGCTGAATTATTTTTTCTGTTTTGATCCAGCCTTCCCCCCGCCTTCCTTGTACGTAGCCCATACAATTTTTCACTCCATTTGTAATTAACAAAAGCGTTCTTTCTGACACCAGCTGGGAGATGAATATTTGCTCATAAAGTTCCCTTGTTTAAGAGGTCTGCCACAAGCGTTTCTGTTCAAGGAAACACTCATAGCTCTTTCTCTTATGCAGATTGGTAGTGGGGATGACCAAAATCTGACTTTCGAAGCAAAACACGCAAAGTCTCGGGCCTGGATGAACACATGAAATCACAGAAGCACCCAGACAACGTGTGGATGGGTGACTTTAATCACCCTCCCATTGACGGTATAAATGTATGGTCCACTCACAAAACTGAGGTTACACCGCTTGATGCCCTTAGTGACTCAGTGCCCTTGAAAGTTGGCCATGGAACCGACCAGAAGGGTTGTGATCCAGGATTTAATCCTAGGTGGCGTCACCCAGGACCCAGTGGGAGATGTGGCCACTGCTGAACTACATGGAAACAGCAACTCCAATGCTGTCAGATTTAACATATATCTGACTGGGACTTTGCCAAGGAAAGTTTGGCCTAGTTGCAGGTGACTTCAAAAGAAGAAACTTCTCTAAAATGAGGAAAGTGATAAAGAGGAAGTTGAAAGGGGGAGGCAAGGAGGTTAAAGCTCTCAAATTGCTCACAAGGTACACAAAACCACAACAGTTTTGTTCTGCTATAATGCATACCACAAGATAGGAAAGAGGTGCAAGAGGTCTCCCAGCATGGTTGAGAAGCAGTGACAAGGAAATTATTTTGGAAAAGAATTGCTGATCGTCTAGCGGAGTTTGCCACCTTTCCTCCAGAAAGCTGAGGGAGATGCCTCTAATGGTCTCATCCATTTTATCTTTCCGAGATGCTGAGCTGAGAGATTGAGACTTCTGCTTAACTTGTGTGTGGATTTGACAATGGCTCTCACTTTCAAAAGTCAAACACTCTTACTCAGAAACTGGCTCATTAAGTAGAGTGCTAGCTCAGCCCAGCTCTTCAGGTCCTTGCGCTGGGAAAGGTCTTTCGCAACTCTGGCTGCAAAAGTTCTTTGGGAATGGAAAGCGAGGTCTTCTACATGGAATTCCCACTCAACGTAGCCAACCTGCTATGGTACTAAACTCTGAGATGCTAAGCATGTAGCACCCTCTATCACAGCCAGTAGTAACATGGAGAACATCTTCTAGAGGTTCCCTTCCTGGGAGATACATGCCAGCTTGGTTTGCTTGATGCCTTTCTCCAGCTGGTCAGTATAGAGGGCCATTGTCCACGGTTCCATCCATGGACTGCCATGTCTTACTGCAAGACACCCCAGGCTCGCTTGCCCTGCCCCACTCAGCTTTCTATTTTCTTGGCGTCTCTGCAGTCAGTCAGTATTGGGTGGGTGGACTCTTTGGGGAAGGGGGCTTTGCCTTTTTTAATACCAAAATGGGGGGGGGGGGGTGCCATTTCTGCAAAGAGTGAGGCTCCTCTGCATTCTCTTAAGGGCAAGCGTGCTACCTTAGCTCCAAAATAAGCATATTTGGAGAAAGAATTTGCTATTTGTATACAGCAGACTTCCCCAACCTGGAATCCTCTCCACATTCTGGACTAAAATTCCCATCATCCTCAAAAGTCAGCCATGCTGACTGTAGCTGAGTGGGCTTTGCTATCCAAAATATCTGGAGAACACCAGGTTAAGGAAGGCTGGTCTATGGGTGATCATGGGCCAAGCATGTGTTCAAATAAGAACAGAAGTCACACAGAAGTTGGGTTTCTTAAAAGGACTGAGGAATGAAAAATCAAGCCATGGGAACAACGGCAACTCATCATCACGTATCTGTGTTACTGAATATTCCTGGGGGGCGAGCAAAGCAACCATGCCAGCAAATTCTGCTGGGCCTTCCCACCCTGCATGAGAGTAAAGACAGACAGTAAGAGGCGCATCGGGGCCTTACTCACACAACGCAGTGGTGAGCCCTTCTGGCTGGTCATAATGCACAATGGCGACACACATGGTGTTGAGGGCCACAACGCAGAGGACCATCCAGTAGAAGCTCTGGGCTTTCACCATGCGCCGGATGAAGAACCGGAACATCTTCTCTTTTCTGCGGAAGTAGGAGGAACTCTCGTTCTTGCCGCTCTTGAGGCTGGCCCGGGCAAATGGAGAACCTGGGGGCATTGAAGGGGAAGAAAAGAGGGTCATCACTTGCAGGGAAAGTCAAGGAGATGTCCCAACAGTCACGCCCTATGGAGAATCACACTCTAACTTCATTATCCTTTAGACATGGCTCATCTCTCTAAAAGGATTCAACAAGGTCATGAAGCACAAACTTTTCATTGGTTATAATTATTATTACATTATATTTCTATACTGCCCATAGCCAAAGCTCTCTGGGCAGTGCACAACATTTTAAGTCCCCCATCCAGATTTCCACCAGGCCTGACTCTGCTTAGCTTCCAAGATTAGGCAGGATCAGGCACTTCCGGCTATATGGAAGACTATTAGTCATGTTCAAGGTCCAGATAAAGCCCACCATTGATTGGTCTGAAAATATGCCCCCAGGATGCCACTGCTGTGAAAAGAGCAAATACCATGTTAGGTTCAATCAAAATACAACAGCAACTAGCTTAATTGAAGTAGGAATTTAAAACAAAGCTGCCAAGATTGTGCTCCCCTTATGCATTTTGGAACACCATGGCCCAGCTGTGACCACCACCCCTAAAAATGGTACCCTAGAGGTAAGAAAAAGGCAACAGAAGCGATCCTCAGGCTACATGAACACCCCCTGTGAGGAAAGGTTACTGCAACAGGGATTGGCTAGGTTAGGAAAACGGTGAGTGACAGAGGTGTATAGAATCACGCACGGTGATCCCTCTCACAACACTAGGGTCCAGAATCACATCGACAGACAGATTTAGTGACAGACTCGGGACAGAAAAGGGAAGTATTTCTTCAGAAGGCGCCTAAGTTCAAGCATGGAAGTTATTTCCACAAGCTCTCACGATGGCCACCCATTTGGAAGGCTTTAAATGTCAGGTTGAGGATAGCACCGTTAGCCTATTAGCATCTTTCCTGCTCCCAAAGGCTCCAAAAAGCCTCCTTAATGCCAACGTCCTGCTGGGTTGAAGTTGACAGGCCAGGAGGATTGGTAGAGGTGATCCTTGCCCCTCTGAGTTTTGCTTTGAGAGTGCTTTGGAAAGTGGCCGGAAGAAATTCAGGAGAAACCCTGCCTTGGCTTCTCCAACTCATTTCCCCTCCTGGCCACCGGAACAGCCCCTCTGCTCCCTCTCCAAGGCTGTTCTTCCAACCTGGGGGAGGCAGACAGTGCCAGGTTCTGCAGAGCAAGCCAGGTGGCTTGACAGGGCAGCCAGCCTGGTTCACCTTGTAAGTAAGGTGTGGATGAACCCTTTTGGAGCCCATCCCTCCAGCATGCATGGACTTCCTCTCCTGCTTGGCCCAGTCCGGCAAAGTGAGCTGAGCCAAGAGGAAATCCGCAGGTGCCCAAAGATGCCCGGTGGCACAAGCAGCAACCTTCTGTACCAGGTGCCGTCACCCAAGGGGCAGCAGCTGCAGGACACAGCAGAGGAGCTCTGGAAGTGGCCACGCCAGGCACCATTACCAATGACTAAGCTTCTTCCATAACCAGTGCAGCCAGCAACCACAGTGCCGGACTGCTTGCTCAGTGCTGGGGGCCCCATTCCTCGTACACACAGTGCCTCACTTGATCTCAGGGAGCATTCACCAGGAATTCATGGCCGCTGCAAGGCAGACTGAAGTATGAGGAGCTGAGCCCAGGGAATCCTGTGGATTCCTTGCAAATCCCTGCTTGTGAGGACCGATACCAGCCTCGTTGGCACCCGAGCCTTGCTCGCATCCCATTTGGCCTTTGCCCCTGGCAGTGCCACATCTCACCACCAGCTCCATCCCTCCTGCTCCTGGTACTCCAAGCACAGACTATCTACTGCTTCGTTCTCAGAGCTGGCAGCCAGCGCTGTCTCTCTGCATGGCTGCAAGGCGCCAAGTGGAAACAGCTCTCCACCTTCTGGGGCTGAAGCACTGCCTCTCTGCTTGGAGCCAAGTACAGCCACCGGCCCAGGGTCTCTGCAGGACTGCTCTTTAAAAGGGCATCATCTTGGTCACCACAGCAGAGTGATACAGCCATGCTTCAGGAAGGCCTTTGCTTTAATAAAGTGGATTCGGTCCTTTGCCACCCGTCACTGTAAAACGTGATGATGAGTTCTTGCAGACAGTCTTGAGAGGATTACAGAGCAACTCACCCTGTGACCAGCCTGCAGAAGCCTCTGCTCCACTGCTCAGCATATTTTCATTCCAGCTCGGAATTATGCAGCTTGTTTTCATCGAGCCCCAGAACCACACCAGAGGAATGATCCGTTTTGAAAACACAATAATGTGAATGTCAAGCAGGCCAGGGATGTGGGGATATTGGATTGGATTCTAGCCTGTGCATCTGGAGGAAAGATTGCTAGAGGGGCACGAGCTAGTCAGAGTGAAAGAACCTTGCTAAATAGACGAGAAACTATCTTCTTGTTTTCATCAGGCTGGCCTATCCAAGCAGCAAGATGCTGGCCTATCCAGCAGCAAACACTGATCACAGAAGACACTGCGAACGGCCAGTCTTGGCCACTGATCCGCCCACCATGCTCCTTTAGGGGACCACCTATGGGTAAAAGTGCTGCTCCCATCAGACTTGTGACTTACCAACCGAGCAAACATCTGTGAAGTGGTCCTCGCCCTCTTCAGCGTGGATGAGGTCGTTTTTGCTCTTCTTGATCGTAGCTCTTTTCAGCACTGAATACAAGGGGGCGGGGGAGGGGAGACCAAATATGCTGGTTAGTGTTCGAAAGCAGATGAGCTCTCTGGACAAGCACACGGTCAGAGACTCCAACCGTCTCTCCAGCTGGAGGCTGGTTCCCAAACAGCCATGTAATAATAAACTATCACAAAATAGTCAGGCTGACAGCTCCCCTCATATGGTCTTTGGAGAAAGGTTGTAATTTAGTCTTCTGGCTCTGATTCTGGTGCAGCTTTTCCATAAGCTGCACCAGAGCTCCCTATAGCAGATGCAACCAGGGCGATGGGCCAAGAGTGAAAGCATGGGCCAGAAAGTCCCAGGAGTTCTGCCCGCCATATGTCTACTGCATGGTCACGCTTCAGGGAGATGCTGCAGGGAACCTCCAGGTAGCAAGCAAGATTGCCGCGCAAAACCCCTCTTGAAACACTCACTGTGCAGCAGAAGACGGTTTGCAGCTCACACAAGAAATAGAACGCTCCCCACTCCTCTATTCTGCTCAAAGCTTCCAAGGTTCACACATCTTACGTAAAGGAGGAGGAATGCAAACCAGTGAACCTACCATCCAGGGGCGACTTCTCTTCGGCATTCTTGTCTTCCTCTGCTAACATCACCTCCTCTGCAAACATGGGAAAGACAGCACTGAATTTCGGATAAAAGCACAGCCAAAAACTGTGGCACCTAAGGGCCAATGCACCAGGACACATCCAAAGGGAAAGGAGCCGTTATAGTCCAGCCGTCTGAATGCATGCCTTGAATGTCGAAGGCTGGGACTTCAACTCCAAGCATCTCCAGGACTGGGAACTCAGGAGTGGAAAGTTGCTTTTCCCAAAATCCTGGAGAATGGCTGCCAGTCAGAGAAGACATTATGGGCTTCAATCAGACAACCTCTTGGGGCAATGGGCTCAGCGGAGGATTTGAAACGTCGGCCTGAGCACTGCTGCACAATGGCTGCCACGGGAGGGGCAGCAAAGGACAGAGACCGAGCACAACGCAGCTCATTGAGAAGTCATGAGCTGTTCAACATCAAGCCCTCCTCTCTCCCCACTCTGCCTGCTGGTTAGAACGCTTTGCCTGATGCGCTGACTTGGAGGGCTTGAACACCTGTGCATTTTGCAACCAATGCAGGTATTACCCCTCACTAGAGTTTTTGTATTTTTTTCTTTATATATCTAATTTTGCAAAGAGACCAAACCAGTCAATCTCAAAGGAGACCAACCTTGACTGCTCTTTAGAGGATCAGATACTGAAGATGAAACTCAAATACTTTGGCCACCTAATGAGAAGGAAAGACTCCCAGGAGAAGGAAGGCCCTGATGCTGGGAACAACTGACGGCAAGAGAAGAAGGGGACGGCAGAGGATGAGGGGGCTGGATGAGGTCACTGGGGTGGTGGGTGTGGACTTGGATGGACTCTGGGGGATGGCGGAGAACAGGAAGGCCTGGAGGAATGTTGTCCATGGGGTCGCGATGGGTCGGACACAACTTCGCAACTCACAACATCTTGGTGGGCTAGGACACTGGAGGAATGTTGCACATGGGATCATGATGAGCTGGGCTTGACTTTGCGACTAAACAACAATATCTAATTTTATACGACCAACCCAGAAGCATCTTTGGGTGATACCAGCGAATGGCAAGGGGAAATAACCATTTGCCATAGCGGGTTAAAATGTGATGATAGTCCCCAACTTAGATGGCTTTAAGAGGGGTGGGTGTTGGGAGCTGGGCTTTCCCTTATTCATTTCAAGTGTTCAAAAGCCCCTTAAAAAGTCCCCCTGTGAACATGCAGTCTATTCTTTTAAAAAGAAGTTCAATTTACACTATTTATAGCATGTCCCTCTCTCCTTCTCTACCCCGGAAAAAACCAAAGTTGCCGAGATGGCCGGCCAGCCCATCACTACCTCTCATGGAAGTGAATTTTCAAGTTTAACGATGTCCTGTGTGAAGAAGTCCAACCTTTGATCTGCCCTCAATCTCCCACCCATTAACTTCATGAGATGACCCCACTGGATTCTATCGTTGCAGGAGGAGGAGCAACAGCTTCCCTCATCACTTTCTCCACACCATGCATAACCCGGCACCCCCCTCTCAGGTCTCGCCCGAGCTGTCTTTCCCCTCCATCTCATCCGCTGCTCCACTGCTTCATGCATTTTGGTTGTCCCAGACCGCAGCATTTCCCTCCTCCCCATGCATAAGATGGGAGGAGCTCCATGGCCTCCATCCATGGACAAGACCACCCTTTTTCTTGGAGCAATATCCAACTTTTTTAAACAAATCTATTGCTCTCTATGCCCTACTTTCCTTAGAATGTGGAAGGCAGCTCACCTAGACCATCACCCATCTGTTTTTAACACACAGTCCCCAAAACTGGATCAAAAAGCAACGGTTGTATAAAACACGACAGGAATCCGAGTGGCTTTGATTGTCTTGACAGAAAAACAACACATACACCATAAATTAAACTGAAGCGTGGGCTGACATTTTCTTCCCTTTTGGCTTGGCTAGATGAGAAAGAAGTGTGAGGAAAGACCGCTAGAGAGTTCTCCTGGACGCAAACCAGCCTCCTTTGGTCACAGCAAGATCTAAGGTGACTTACAACACAACACGTTTTAAAGGGAACATTAAAACACCATGCACAACGAAACCACAAAATCAGACCATGCAGCCAAGATGCTTAAAATCATCCTAAGGTCATACAAGACATAGACATAGACATAGACACACACACACACAGCATCATGTGCTGAATTTCCCCCTTTGCACATTCGAGAAAACAGACCATTTCTTTGCAAAAAGCTCTTTATCCATTGCAAGATATCCAATAAACCCAAGCACTGTGTAATGAATCTCCGAGCATGCACAGAGTGCAGCATTGAATCCAGTCTGAACAACTCCTTCAAGGAACCCTCCTTCTGAGTATGCCCGGGCCCGATCCCTTCTAAAGGGCTCCCTTGGAAGCAAGCCTGCTTCTTTTCTTATCCACCTCTCCTCTAGCTGGTTGGCCCTCCATTCCTGACTGCATCACTTGGTCAAGAGTCGGACCACAGCTATTCTGTCAGGCCCCAACCCGACACTTGTGCATCTGGGCTGCCCTCAGAGCCTGGCCGAATGTTTGGGGAGAGCAGCCTTGAGACTATTGCCTCCTCTTTGATCTCAGAGCCTGGAGCTCCACTGGAACTTGTCTCCTGCCCTTCCCTGACTCACAGTCCAAATCGGCATGATCTGTGAGTGTGCACCAAGAAACAGAGAAACAGAGCGAGTCAGAAGGGGTCTCTTGGGCCATCTAGTCTGACCCCCGGCTCCAGCTGGCTCCGCTCACGACATGCCCACCATGTGCATGGCCAGCCTATCCTTGAACACCCGCACCGATGGGGCCTCAACAACCTCTCATGGAAGCCCACTCCACACCCTCGGGGTCCTGACTGTCAGGACCCCGCGGGTATGGAAGAAGTACCAGATCCTGCCTAATCTTGCAAGCTAAGGCCCGGTTAGTATTTGGAGAGGAAACTTATGTCCTGCATTGAACAGAAGGTTGGAGCCAATGGCCTTCCAGACCTCTCCAACCGTATGATCCTATGATTCTGAGCACTTCTGCCCTCATTCCCACACACAGGTTTAACAGCCTGGTGAAACTGAACAGATCAGAGCCAGTCTATCACCCGAAGGGATGGAGCGTCACAATCGACTCGTACAAGAAACGAGCCCGAACGTGGCATGCCAGCCGTGATCAGCTGGAAGCTGGAAAAAAATTAATAAGGCTTTGGCAGCTCCAGAACATCCCTCAAGGTGCGTTAATGCTTTGTCACAGAGAAGGGAGTTATTGCTAATTAAAGCTCTACAGTTATTATGTGTCGCCTCTACCCCAATATTCATCATTAGTCATAATGAAATCTACCAGCCCAGCCTCCTTATTCAATAAGCCCTCCTCGTGCCAGCTAAAGTACGGTCTGCCCTGTCACATCTGAAACATTCAACAGGCAAAATGTCTCCGTGACTATTCCTCAATGCAAGAGAAAGCTCAGCCTGTTGGGATGTTTGCTTACCATGCAGGCCTGAAAGACACAGAAGCCCCGTGGAGGCAAAAAGGGGTGAAAGTAAGTATGCCAAGCATAACACCAAATATATATCATTCCTCCTTTTTTATCTCTTTTTTATACCTTATCTTTTAGACTGTACTTTGGAAAGCAGGAACTTTTTAATATTTTTATGCCACTCAGGGTGTTGTTGTTGTTGTTGGGGAATGGAGAGGGATAAACTATTAGTGTTGTGTGTGCACTCGGAAGAGACTGGGCTTCTGCTGGATAACAACATTTCAAAATGTGCAAATTACTGCAAGAATGGGAAGCAAATAACTTGAAGCTTTTGTTTGTTGACTGATTGTTTTTCACAAATATGGTAGAAAGGAAACCTGACAGATGCATCCACCCAGGGAAAAGGGTTGGTGGACTTCAATTCTTGTGTATTCAAACTAGATTTATGGCACTGAATTTAGGGGGAAGCCTTCTTTTGCTCTCCATGGGTGAGGATTTCATTTGGTTTATTGTTAGGTATGAGCTTCCGCAACTTCACAAACTTCTGGAAGTAAATTTCCTCCTCTCCATGCATCTGTTTTTACAAATAGGACTGTCCTTCGGAGACAGGGTCCCTCAAAAATACAGAATAGACTTTAGGGCATATGCAAATTAGTACATGCCAATGCATATGTTTGCTTTTGTTCATCCTGTGGGCTTGAGTCCCAGATCGCTGGGAACCTAGCACCACCCCCAATCTCTTTGCAGCTCCAAATCCTCTGAAGCAGACCCTGGAACCCTTTTTCTAGACTAAATAGCAGAAAGAAAGATGGCTGGTTGTGAAGGTGGAGGTTAGATTCGGGGACTTGTCTCTGAAGAAACCAGCAGCAGTGCAGTGCAATTTTGTTAAGGTTTTGTATCACATTTGGGGCCACTTTTTGCCTTGGATCTTACTCTGGACCCATCGAGGTCTCCCAGACTAAATTCCACCCTCCTCCTCCTCCTCCTCCTCCTCCTCCTCCTCCGTGCATGCATGCTGCATGCCCTTCCAAGACATGAGGCATCACCTGCAGGAGCCCATGTGGGGTCTCAGGAAGTCTTTTGTCCTTGTGGAGAGAGGGAGCTTAGAAATGCAGCACGAGACTGCATTCCAATGAAGGAAGCAGCAGCAAATTCATTTCCGTGGGTGGGATTCATGTGTCCCAGAGGTGCTTTTAAGGCTTGTGTTAAGCATGGATACAGTAACTCCGCTCGTTCGGTCTCTGCCCTTTTCTTACTGAACGAGGGGAGACACAGCCGGGCTTTGGGAAACGGGCAGGAGCCGTGGGACAGCCGCTCAAGGAACCGCTAGGAGGCTGCTTGCTTCTACAGGAAGCAAAACATCGCTGGCAGGTCCCCCAAGGCGGTGCTGTCTGTGGTCCTGAATCTTGGCTTTGAACAAGCACCTCCGCCCCTGTCCAGGGTCCTGACCCCAGCACCAGGCCAGGCCAGGCCTGCCTTCCTCCACCTTGGTTGGGCCACTGCATTTCCCCAGCCGTCGTGGCTATTGTGGTGGGTCAGGGCATTAAATTGGACAAGCCCAGCTTAGACTGAAATGCACTCGTGCGTTAAAAAAATAAAATAAAACCTCCCCGGCATATAAATTAAATTAGAAAAGAGAATGGTGCTTGGCAGTAGGTATTGCTTTGAAGGAGAAAACATAGCCAGAGCCATCAACACAAAAAGGCATATTTTATGAATGGGAATGTGGCATGAAGGGCTCTCTTCCTGAAGCTGAGAAACCGCAGAGCGATCACGCGGAGATAAAGGGAGACTGGATCACAATGGGGGAGTCCCGCTGAGCGGCACCGGTCAGGTGGGCCCCCAACCCAGAGGCCTTCAGACAGGCCAGGTGCAGCTTCCACTCTCCCCAGCCATCAGGTTCAACATGCGTGGGGTGAGGAGCAGCTGGAGAAACTGTTTTATGGCCCAATATTTCTCCTGGCACTTCCAAACCCTTGCTGGTTTCGGGGCCTGCCTGAGCACCTAGAGACGGCAGCCTTGACATAAGCTCACCCTCTTCCACTATCTCTGGCTGCAGACCTCATTTCCCACGCCTGAACAACCACATCCAAAGAGTCGGTGCCACACTGGCCCTGGAAGCACACCGAGAACAACGGCCCCTTTCGTTCCCAACATAACTTCTACAGCCCGCCAGTCACATTAGTGCACATACGTAAGTCCAGTCTGGCTGGGTGGCCACCCAGACGTCCCTTGAATGCCGAGGAGACCCACACGTGGCCCACCCCAGCCCCCTACATCTATTGTGACAAACGGCTGCCTGCCCCAGACCCCATGTCCTTAGAAGTGTGGAATGTTATTCTCTGCTGAGCACATTATTTATATGATGCAAAGTCCATGAAATACAGCCTGTGATTTTTCTATACAAGCTCAGTGGTGTACCCAAAAGGCACCGAGAGACCATCCGTGACAACACTCCCGATCATAACACCGTCCTTCCTTCCTAGCTTTGCTGTACTAATTCAGCAGCTGCAGTGCGAGAGCAAACCTTGGTCCCAGCCGAGTCCTAAATAAGCACACCAATTCCCTGATAAATCCTAGCCTGTCCCTTTCATGCTGAAGCATCTCTTTTTCTTGCCTTAGGTGCAGTTGAGAGATCTTCTAAGGAAAGGAATGACAGCCTAAATGGGAATTTTGGCTTTATCTACTCCCCTATTCCCACCCCAAGAGCCCCAAGCTCTCCTGCTTACCTGCCTTAAAGATCCATTCCAAGTAGCCATTGAGTTCCCGTTCTATTTGTTGCTGCCTCCGGAGTTTTAGGAAGGCCCGTCGGTTTTCGACTCTCTCTCGTTCTTTGGCAAACTCTCTGCAGAGAAGGGAAGAAACAAAAGGCTACAAGTCTTGCCCCATCTGAAGCCTGTTTGCAAAGGAGCTGATTCTTCCTACTAAGCTGATTTCTCAGAGGCGAGCCGCATTTGGAATAGTTTAAGTTTCCTGGAATAGCAGCATTTCAGAAAGACAGAATTGGAAGGATTTGCAAAACAGCCATGCCAGAAATAATGCTCAGTGGGAATTCTTGTCCAGGCCAGTCTCACTCCATTTAGGGAAAGATGTTTGAGGAGGAAACACAAATGCATGATCGGCCACCTGCACTTGAAGCAATCCAGCCACAGGAAGATTTCTGCAATTCCTCAGAAATTATGCAAACTACCTATTTCATGCCCCAAAATCATGGATGGCTGTGAGACAACCTCACAGCTGTGGCACAATTGGGCAGCATACAAATGTGTTAAACAAACAAAACTTTAGATACTAGAAATAGGCTATTGTAATGTCCCCTTCCAAGGCTAAACATGCCCAGTTCTTTCACTCTTTCCTCTTAATGCCTAGATTCTAGTCCCCTGATCATCTTGGCCTCCTTTCTCTGAACTTGTTCCAAATCCTTCACAGAGAGTAGCATCCAGAACCAGACATGATGGCTGGGTTCGCACCACACAACCAGCCATGCTGGTCTTTTGTTTTCTTGGTTTGTCATGCTGTTCAAACCTAGTCACAGTATTTCAGTGTGGTACATTTGGTCTTCAGAAACCATGATAGGAAACCATGATTTGTTCCATGGATTCTTTATGCCACAATGGTTACTACTCATGTTGTTTTCAGGGAAAAGCATCTCTCCCCTCTATTTAAAGCCGCCTCTTCAAATGGGGTGGGGTGCATGATGTAGGGAGTGAACTAGACTGCCCCTCTTGGAAGACATTCCAGAATCATCATGCCCTAAATTCTGAAGACGACGACCTTGCAGACTCTGTGATGGGAGTTTTGGGAGCTCAGGGAGAGGCTAAGGTGTTTGAAGTTCCCTCACAGGTTCTCAGGCCAACCAGGAGAGCAGAAATGCTTCGGAAGAGACAGGAGGAGTCCAAGAAAGGAAGGAAGGAGAGCTGTTGGCTTGCCTGGTCCATGACCCAGTGACGAGCCATTGGGGGATATGAGCTCCCCACCTAGAGGGCTCGCATAGGACCTGCCGACTGGTCTTCACCAACTGAGTCACCCTGAGTCCAGCTTGTGACTAAATGAGGAGACACAGGAGAAGTTCCCAGTTTGGGTTCCCCTCTTGACATGAGGAGGGGCTTAACTTTCAGCTTGCTAGAGGGTTTCCAAAATTACTTTGTCTTGCAGCTGTGAAGTACCAGTAAAGATCCAAATTGCAAGGAGACTGACTGGTGTCTGGGAGCCCAAGAGCAAGAAGGTAAGGACTAAACTCATGACACGTGGACAGCATATGGGGCATTCAAACAGGAGAATGTCCCCTGGAAAAACCCTACCCTTAGCTCCACTTTCCTTGCCTACAACATACCTCAGGACTGTCAACAGGGTCCACCATCACCTTCCACCTGCAGCATAGTTTTTCCTAAAGGACAGCCTAGCAACACTTCCAGGGAGCTGCAGAGAGGGCTGCCTCTGGAAAGTTATTCAGCAGCCCATGCCGTGTTCCATCCCTGACACTGGTGCCTGGCCTCCAGGGCAGAATGGACAAAGGCATCAGGGGATGCTGATGTCAAATTCCCAACAGCCAGGTTCTTCCCCAGAACGTAGCTCCCTCCTTGGCTCCTTCTCAGCAGCACTTCCTTCCTGGAGAAGACCCCATCAGCTGCAGAGGGGCAACCAGCACAGCCCAACCAAAGAGTGGGCTCCTACATATGGACAGAAGAACCACCAGGCACATCCACTGACCCTTCGGCCAGCCCAGAAGCTCAGGCAGACCTGAGCGGCACATCACACAACTCCCTCCCCCTTTTGGCTTTTGAAGCAACTGAAAGCACCGGAGGGTTTTGTCTGCTGCCTTGCTGAAGTCAAGATATACTCCGCCCACAGCATAGTGACAATCGAAGGAAGTTAACCAGTTGTAAAACAAAATAGGATTTGTCTTGCAGGAGTTTTTGCTGGACAAGCCATCTGGCTTCCAGGGATCCCTGCATGACAGAGGCAATGCTGTGCCCCATGTAGCACCAGCTAACTTTGGGTTGTAGAACCTTGACAGAAAGAATCAGAAGCCCCCAAGAATGCTTCCCGCTGGAGGTGGAGGCAACATCCTGGACCAAGGATACAGGTCTACAGATCTCCTGAGTTGGGTCACTTGCCTGGAACTGGATCACAAGGCGACACATGAACTTCCCTGCTGATGCTGGTAGAAATGTTTTTCAGCAGCCCATCCAAACTCCACATCTTTCTCACTGGGTCCCTACTTTTCTGAGCCTGGCTGTTCAATGCCCCTTCTCATCAGCAATGTTGCACTTGTCCGTTTACACTCCAAATGAGGGATCGAGGCGCACATGTGCTGGTTTTGTTGTCAAAGGAGCCGAGGATACAAGCGCCCTGGGACAGCCTCGTCTCCACGGTCCTCATTGTACCTGTCGAGACTGTCACTTGCATTTAACCCAGAGGGGCTGGGCCTGAGCTTCCCCGAAGCACTTCTGCCTGACCTCAGAGTGTTCCTTTAATGGCCATCAGCTGAAATCTGCCATCCGTTTCTCCTCTCATTTATAGCACTGGCCCTGTCTTTCCCATCTTCCAACCATCAACGTAGCATCTCCTCTCCCGATAATAAAATGCCCTCTTTTCTGGGTCAGTGCTCCAGCCAGTGGCCCAGTCACTCAGCCTTGATGTCGCATCGGGAAGAGGAAAGCAACCTGACAGCTACAAGGGAACATCAGCCTGCATGTCGGATGCGCTACGCCCTTCTTGCCACTGCACAATTGTTTCGATGCAAATAGAGTGGAGGGGCGCACCAGCATGGAGGAGCAGAAAAGCCCCCCCCCCAACCCTGGCTTTCTAGGGAGTACTGGGTGAAAACCTGAGCTGCACCGAAAACTGGAATGGAGACAAGAGAAGACATCTTCTGAGCTGGGGATGTGAGTGATGAGGCAGTGGAAAAGGTACGATTGCTCTTGTACTTCCACAGAAAATCTCCCTTTTCTAGGAATGGATTGTCCCACCAAATGTATTCACAAACCAAGACATGAACACACTGGCTCTGTTTGGACATCACTCTAAAAGTGGGGTTTAGATGGTCCCAACTTTCTTGGCCTTTAGAAGGAGTGGCCTTTCCAAATGAGCCCCACACACCCCAGAGGGAGAACACTGAAGGGAGCCAAAAAGGGGAGCAAACCCTCAAAGGGCCATGCCCGACAGCCATCGAACATTGTGCTGAAAAGCAAGAACGGAAAACTGGGGGATGTGAAATGGAGCATCATGGAAGAGCGACAGGCTGGCCAGCATTCAATCGGGTCATGAAAATACACAGCAACATTCTATGGCCCCCTCCCTCTGTGTGTTTGTGTGTGTGTGTGTGTGTGTGTGTGTGTGTGTCTGTGCTTAAAGAACATATTCAGTAAGCTCTGTTGGCTGAAGAGCTCTCAGTCTCCCCTTCAAAAAAATGGCAAATTAAGCAGCTGTTGGGCTGAAATGAATTCTCCAGGTGGGGACATGAAAAGAGGCCAAGAGAGATGGATGGCTTTTACAAGAAGCTAAATTGGGATCCCATTGTCGCAGGATGTTGGAGACATCGTTTTCCAGCGTGGCAAAACCTTAAAGATGACTTGATGGCACAAAGAGCAGGAAAGGAGGAGGGAAAGTGGGTGAAATAGAGCAGGGATCTCAATGAATCTGCAAAGGAATTTGAGCCCCGTCACTCAAACAAGCTACGTTCAACAGCTTTGGAACAAGCCGTGATACTAAGCCAATTTTGAGTTTGGATTTAATTGTCTGCCTTGTTCCAAAGCTTCCCACTCAGACAAAATGCAGAACTGTAGTTCACAGGAAACCTCCTAGGTTGTTTGCTTCTGTTCACTATGGTGTGCCCAACGCTCCTCACATCATAACTTATTACATAACACTCTGATTCAGTGCACAATTTGCAGCACAAGCCCACATTTAATTTATTAATTCCTCTATTCGTATTTAATTTCCATGCCACCCAATAAGCAGAGCTCTCCAGGCAGTTCTCAACATCATTTCCCATGGCCAGCCTGCCTTAACGCTTCTGCTCATCAGTGGGAGCATATCCCCGATTCCACAAATGGTGCCAGCTGGTGTCCCAATCTGTAGACATAAACCTACCTACCTTGCAACGTCTGCAAATTTTGCAACCCATTCATGCAGTGGGCTATGCGAGCACTAAACTAATGGACAGAGCACCATCCAGGATTCTTCTGCAGCTCCCCCAGGAGCCATGGTGCAGGTGGAGGAGCATGCAAACTACTGCACAGAGGCAAATAGCCCAAAGCATGGCTGCTGGACCCTTCGTACGCCTGGAAGAAACATCAGGGCTCAGCCAGCGATTAGCGACTACTCTGGCATGAGCGATTCTGTGCATTCATTGTGTGGCTTGGCCTGCACACTCAGCCATAGAATGCTACCTTGGACTAGGTCCCACCTTTTAGCCTGATCTTCCCGTATTGTCTCCTCCGGTTGTCAGTGGCTCCCCAAGACCCCCGGCAGAGGTCTCTCCTATCACCTTTTAGTGGGAGAACCTAGAACTGCACCTGGGACTTCCAGTGTGCAAAGCAGGGGTTCCAGGACCTAGAAAGGATTCTGTTTCCCCTATCCACTCTTCCACGCTCAGCCTCAGACTGAAGACAAGCTTGACTTTCCGTGGCACAAGCTGGAAGGATAAACCACCAGGCTGGGCCTGGCAAGTGCTGAAGAGCATGAATATTTTCAAAGCCCCTCGTGGCTCACGATTCCCCCAGGAGTCAGCCTGAGTTAATGTTCTCCATGCTTCATTTCAGTCTAAGAATTAACAACGTAGTGCTTGGAAAAAGCAGATCCTTGCTCAGGGGGAAAGTATTTATTCTCAGGTTTCAGAGTGCTGTCTCTTGCCTTCCCCGAGCACAATAAATCGTCTCTAATATGCAGCCCCTCCCGGGGCTCCCACTATGAGCAACAGCCATTTTGCCATTTCCAGCTGTTTTGCTGAAATTCAAACATAATCTGAGCAACAGCTTTTACTGCACGCATCAGTGTTCTCTCTGCAAAGCAGCTTGGAAAGAAAGGCCAGGCAGGAGCTGCGATGGGGAGGCGAGGACAAGTCAGGAACGTTTGGCCCTCTGGACGTGGTTGTATCATCCCTCATCAGCACCACCAGTGGTGAGAGCTAATGGGAGTTGCAGTCCAACATCTGGAGGGCCACACAAGTTGTCCACTCTCGGCACAGATGTACAGGAGGCAGACTTTCAGGAGAGAGGGCAACCAAGCGAAGTATCAGACCAAGGAACCAAGACAGAGGTGTCCGAACACAGTGAGGGTCAGACTCCTGACAGTCAAGTGATGGCTCCAAAGGGAGCTAATTTTCACTCCACATACACCTGAGTGGTGAGATGCAGCTGAGGTGAGCCAGCAACCAAGGCCTATGGACTGATGAAGAAACCAACTGCTCCTCCGCACCTCTGCTGCAAGGACTCGCACACCGGGGGTGGACATGTGGGAGCCCCGTGTCAGACACAGCCTGCTCCCAAAACCATATGAGCGACCCGAGCTCGGAAAGGAAGAAAATCAGCATGTTCCCAAGAGGATGGAGAAGCAACCTCTCGCTTTGATTTTAGGTCTGTTTGCCAGAGATATCTCGGTCTGCTCTGACCTTCTGCAAGCAGCTTGCCTGAACTCACAGCTGGGCCAAGAGCCCCATGAGAGATCTTGCGCTGCCTCCTGTCAGCCCTTGCAGAAGAAGAAGCCTGCAGGGCTGGAGTGCTCCGGCTGGCAGAGATGCTGGACCTTGCTAATAGCCGGTATTTATCTGAGGAAGGACTGGGCTGTCTCAGCCCATCACAGTCAGAGAAGCCGCTGCTGCCACCACTGCACTCACGGCCTTCCTGTGCCATGAAACAGCTGCACGCCGGCTTTATATTCCTGAAAATGCATGCAGAAATAGATAGTCCTGAAGAGGCAAGCAGAGTGCGAGAGTACCTGACAAAAAATGGGGAGAAATTCATGCAGTCTGGTGCTTTGATTCAGAAAAATGACTCAAAATTCAAAATATCCTTCATCAAGAGGATGGAGCCAACCTGGAGGTTAAAAAATGGAGGCGAAGGGTGCTCTGATGGCACTCTGCAAGTACTTGAAAGCCTGTCACAAAGCGGAAGGACAAAACTCAATCATCCCAAAGTGCAAGACACAGAATAATGGGTTCAGGTTACAGGAAACTGGAATCCAGCCGGATATCAGGAAACATGACCTGGAGAGGTTGTGGGACTGGAGTCATTCAAGACACAACTGGACAGCCCTCTGAGAGGGATAGTTGAACAAGGTGTCCTGCACCGAGCAGGAGGTGGAACTTGATGGCCTTCTAGACCCCTTCCTACTCTATTTTAGGATTCTGCCTTTGACTGTCCCTCACATGATGGTCTTCTCCAGGGAGCACTGTCTTCTCATGATGCGTCCAAAGTGGAACAGCCTTGGCTTTGGCATGTTTGCTTGCAAAGAAAGTTCTGCCTTGGTTTGATCTGGGGCCCACTGGCTTCTCTTTGTCAGTCCAGGATATTCCCTTACTTTAAGAAATTGCCAACATAGGAACATTTCTTCATAAATAGAAGAGCAGGAAGTTGAGGTGAAAAAGAATTGAAGGCGGGGGAAATAATAATCTTGACAGCTGTCACCCATCCTTAATGATGGTCCAACATTATATGCATTATAAATTCTATATTGCTCATGGATGAAGCTCTCTGGGCGGTTTGCAAGATTCAGTCCCCCAACCCTGATTTCAACCAGACCTGATCCTGCTTAGTTTCCATGATCAGGCAGGATCAGGCACTTCAGGGTCTACAGAAGCGATGCCTCTTCATCAAGGGAGCACAAGATCCTCCTTCTGATTCAAATTCACAGCTTCTAAACCTCTGATGGACCATTTCTCTCAAGACCTCATTGCAAGAATAAGACCCCTTTGCATTATGCCACTGGTTTAACCATTTTGCTCCATCACCTTCAACTTCACAGGCCATTCAATGTAGGAAATAAAGACCTTCATGAATAAACAGAATTCCTTGCACTATTTCTAAACAGAATCAAGGGGTCAAGAAAAGGGAATTCAAGAGCTCGTCCCTATTGATCAGCAAGTATCAACAGAAAAATTAGGGCTTCAATGCCCTAATGATAATTATCATAGGGTTGTTAATAATGTAAGAAGAGGCAGGGTGCATCAGACAAAAGGTACATATAGTCTAGCTTAATGCTCACAGAGAGGTCAACCAGCTGCCCATAGAAAGCTCAAAAGGAAGAGCTATGTATAAATAAATATCAAAAGAGTTCTAGTCTTCTTTTGGGCCAGTCTTTGCCCCTCATCCAAAGAGTTGTTCTTGGATGATACCATGGAGAAGAGATGATCCCTGAAAGCTACCTTGGGTTGCTTTCAAGAGAAACAAACAGGATATAAATGGAAAGGAGTAATTCTGTCAACTTACTTATTGGAACACTGGCTAAAACTTCAGAGCGTCAGAACATTCTTTTTATACACAATAGAGCTATCATAGCTGATACTCTTCTCTGATGTATATGTCAAAGGGGAAAAAGGGGGTTCTTACCCTGACAAGACACCAAGTACCAGGTTGAGCATGAAGAAAGAACCGATGATGATAAGCGGAATGAAATATAACCAGTTCCACATATTCCCTGCGGCGTCATTAGTCTGAAAAGACAGAAAGGAGGAAAGAGAGAAATTAGACTCCAAGGCCATGTATCTGCCATACAAGAGGCCATGCATTGTTTCCAAGGGTCTGTTGTTACACTTTAGGACTTGCCACACATCACATAAAATGTGCAACCATTCTAGTGGGGCCTCTGACAAAACACTGAGAAGTGTTCCGGTTCAACGTTCCAGCCAGCCGTGCCTTTTGCCAGGATACTCCACTCCAGCCCCACTTCAGTTTTTCCATTTTCCCAAGCACTCAAGTCAGCATTTCCTGGCCACCAAGGATGCTGCTTGAGCCAATTTTGAGGTTTTACCCTATTCCCTTCCCCATTCTGCACTGCCCCATAACACTAACAAAAATATTTTGCCCTGCTGCAAACTTTGGAGTTTTCCCAAGTCAGCTCATCTTTCCTTCTTGTACACAGATGTCCATTTACATACAAATAATATGTTTGCTCTTGGCATATATGAATATCCGTAGAAACTGGGCCCAATTCTCCCAAAATGCACCATTCCAAGATGGATACTTCAGACTCATAATCTGAACTAGAAGAGGAGGTGTGGACAGAAAACTTAGCTGAAATGCCAAGGCCATTGAGCTTCCAGATAAGCCAAGTGTTTTGTGTCCAGGGAGAGATGGTTAGGAACAGGAAGAGTTAGGGAAGGAATAGCGTCACTTGATCAGATCAGTGGTTCGACATCACATCAAATGAGTGGATGAATTAAGTAACATCCCGCATTCCCACTATCTGGCCCACAAGCAACATGAACCTCCCTGAGGGTGGTACCAACTCTGTTTGGTGGAGAAGCAAGAAGAGGAATTCGATTTGCAGTAAATTTCTGCCTGCAATTCCTAGGGGGCACATTCACTTGTTGGATGCTTGTTGCTAGCTTCATGTACCACAAAACCAGTTCTGGCTGGCCAGCTTAATCAAAGACTGTAGTCAGAAGCCTCTTGATTTGATCTGCTGGGAAAGGAAGAGGAAAGGGCTTGGAGGAGAGAGGGAGAGACCAGCTCTCAATGATAACAGAAGCAATCAGATTTGAGTGGAGAGATTTTCATTAAGTCAGGTGGTAGGTGGGGCAACCTCACAGCAACTATACAGGAGATTTTTTACTTTCACAGACTGAGGAGCTGGGTTAATCCAAGTAGGACCCCAGTGGCCCTTTCTTCACCTGACCTTGCTGCAAATTTTAGCTGCAGTGCCTTTTCTGGCCATCTTGAAGGAGGGCGCTGGTGTGCTTTGCAGTACAGGACAGCTCCCTGATGAGCTGCTCCATCCCATGTGCCTTGACTCTTTACATGTGGCACTTCGTAATCCACACATCTGTACGGGAAGCAGATCGCCTGTGCCGAAGCACCCAGGCTAATGAAATAATGCAATTTGCAGAGCACAAAGAGCCAAAGCCAGCAAAACAGACAACAGAAATCAACCAGCTGTTCTTGAGCTTAGGAAAGGCAGCGTGCCTGTGAACGTTTTCCATCTCATTCCACTCGAAAAGAGGATCAAAGGGGGAGGGATGGGACATCTCCTCTCTTGCTCATTAACAGCTCGAAGCCAAGAAGTGAAATGATTCTTCATGGCTTCAATTAAAATATTTTAATGCCTGGGTGACTTTCTCGGCTGCTCTCTCCTGCCCCCACTAAACCTCAAAACCATTTGGATACAATAGGGATGGGAAAAGGAAGCAGTGTGTGCCCAAGGCTTGGAAGGCATTATTATATTATTATTATTATTATTATTATTATTATTATTAATAATAATAATAATAATAATAATAAGTGCACTCTTGGAAGGAACCCAAGGGCACGTACATGGCTCCATTTTATCCTTGCAACAACCCGGTGAGGTAGGCTAGGCTGAGAGTGCTTGAAGGCATCCTGTTCAAAGGGCCATCCAGCCCAAGTCAGGTTCAAAGAAAATGAATCCTAAGGGAGAACAAACAGGGAGCTTGGCATCATCACTTCCCCACAGTCAACCCCTGGAGAGCAGACCCGCATCTCCCCTGGCACAGTCTGCCCCACTGGGGTGTGAAATGGTTTGCTACGATAATCCAGTAACGTGGACTTGGGGATTTTTGTTACAATCAACACAGCTAGCTTTGACTTTTAGGAATGGGTACATTTAGCCATTCTACTCCAGGACCCTACACAGAGCTCCCATCGCTCAAAGCCCTTCTTTGTATGTTTCCTTCAACTACTCTGTAAAGCTAACCAATTTGGCATCAACTGTCTTTAAAAAAAAAAAAAAAGACCGTTGCAGGACATCTAAACTTATCTTTGGTTTGGTTAATATGAAATCTGCCTGATTTTGCTTGGTGATGCACCGGTGAAAGGAGACAGAGTCTTGCCCAAATTAGAAGCATGTCTGAAAAAGAGCCTCCAAAGGGACATTTTCCATTTTCCATTTCCCAGCCCATCCTGGGTCCAATTCACGCCCCTCATGACCCTCTCACCCCACGTCAATTTTGGATTCTGAACATGCAGGCGCAGCCGTTAAGCCGAATCTCGCTGCTGCCCCCAAACCTGCTCTTTGTATCTTCCCCAAGGACGAGATGCAGATCACAAAAGTTTGCAAATCTTCTGGTGGGTCTTAAAAGGAATTACACTAATTGGAGTTTTCAATCTGCTTTTCTAGGTAAATGTTGATATTCTAAGTTTTCATCTATACATATATAGATCATTGTATGCACATTTATCTGTCCTCTTTTGTCTTTTTTCTCTTGCGATGCATAAGTTGGTCATCCAAAATTATTCAGTTAATTGCATGGGTTTCAGGGAGTTCTAGTAATGCATGTATGTTGGATTATTATTATTATTATATTATTTACTCCTATACCACTCCACAGCCAAAGGTTTGGAGAACGTATGGACCTACAGCTGCTTGGAGTGCAAAATCCCACAAATGACCCTTGAATTCTTAATCAAGCCAAAACCCATATGTTTCTTACCTGTGATTCAAAGTCACTCTCAAAATGCATTAAAACACATGGATTTTTTTAAATGCACTTGAAAAATGCTTTTGTCAATGGGGGAGATGCAAGAGGATGCACAAAATTGTGTGAGTTTGGGGAAACATGTAAAAATGCAGATTTCTTTAAAATATACAGATAAATGATTACAAAGTTTCATGCATGATACCAGACAAATCCAATGCAGAATTGGGACAGAATAAATGGAGCACCGGAAAATTGAGCTCAACAGATTACAACATCCTTAATTCAGAGCCATTTTAAATCACACTGCAGCATGCCAGTTGCCCGGACTATAATATCCACTGTTCATTCAAATAATCAATTTGCTCCCGGAAATAATTTCTATGGTTTCAGGCGTGCATCTTAGGAGAGATTGTACATCATGCTAGAAAATGCTACTCGATGTGGAAATAAACAGTCTGACTTCCCAACAGACTGACAAAGATTTAACTGTCAGACACTTTGCCCTGAGTCAGAAAAGTAACTTCATCCAAAATAAGAAATACTATCCATCTGGGAAAGCTCTCCTTCCCTGTCTCCTGCCCTCAAAACTCAGCTTGGATTACCTCTGTTGCAGCTTCGCAGGTGTGCTTGCTGCGTCTGTTAATTAGCCAAGCTATTGAGACTTTGTTTATTTCAGTTTATCCCCACACCTAGTTCAGGGAGCGGACACAAACCTGACAGAAACAAAGGGACACGATCCAAGTTGAAACACGTCCAGGCATCTCAGGTGTGGGCCTGCCCCCGAAGCCCTTCCCGCACCCGCTCCCAGAGCCTCTCCAGGGGCCATGTGTTTTGCCATAAACGATGGGAGAACATTACTCAGCCATGCTGGAGCTCCAAGCACCCATCCTGAGTGACTAAGAGGAGAGGATTAGCACTGCTGGATCAGGCCCAAGTTATGCGCCTCGCCGTGCGCAGCGCTTCCCACAGTAGGGCAGCTGGTCAGTCCAGCCACGGGGCACGAAAGCAGCAACCTTCTCCCATGGCTGAATCGCAGAAATGGGGAGTCTACCGCTTCTGAAACTGAAAATCCAGTTTGTAGAGCTCCCGTGCCCATGCATGGGTCCAGCCCTACTTAAACGGCATCACTGCAACCGATTCCTGATATGAACTCAGCACTGTCGCAAGACCCTAACCATTCCTTCGGCCACATCTATTCCACTTGACCTGAGCATGTGTCCCGTGTTGTGGGGAACCCAAAGATGCTGCGCAAATGAGCACAGGGTAAGGGTGGGGAGACTCACTCGTGGGAGCCGAGCTGCTTCCTTCCCTGGAGGTCTGGGGATCTACTGCTTGGTGCCTGGTGCAAAAGCCAAACACTTAGAACTCAAGGAACCTGAGTCTTGACTATGAGATCGACTCGTAGTTCACAGTCCTTGAATAAAAAATCCCCTCCAGTTACCCTCCCCAGCTCCCCAGTATGAGCTCTACTGGAGGAATTTCAAGGAGATTATTAAGGTTCAACAGGCAGTGCAGTGAACTTTCCCTGTGTCCAGAAAAGGAAGTAGTTGATTGAAGGCTTGCTGAAGCCTTACATCCTTCAGCTTGTGAGGAAGAGTGCCAGAGAGCATGGCCCCGAAGCCACCTTTCCAACCATTCTGTAGATAAGAGCAGCTTTTGCTTTGAGGGAAAAAAAAGCAAAAAAAAAAAGGCCTTACTAAAGTCACTTCACCTCTCTATCCCCAAGGAACAAAAGGTCAGAGCTGGTATGCGTGCTGGCGGACTGCAATAGTAGGAGAAAGGAAATCTAGGAAATCTTAAAAATCCACCACAAGAAGAAATCCACCATTCCCAGCCTGGGGAGACCAGGCTTGGAGAGTCACGGGCAGCCCCTGGCCTATTCAGGAAAGCATTACAGTCACACATATGGGAAGTCGACACTTCCTTCTGCATCACTGTATTCAGTGCTGTCATGCACCCTTGTCCAGGTGGTCCTGTTTCTTCCTGAGCATCCCTGCATGTAAAGGAAGGTGCTTTGGCTGGAGCAAGTCCCTGGAGTTCACACACACACACACCAC